GCATTTCTCTCGCAGGGTGATGTCAGGCGTCACCGTGAACCCCCCGCCCAAAAAACATGTATTGGGAAGGGGAAAGATTGGCTGGCTCGGCCGGCATGCAACCGCCGTTGACCTCGCGACAACGACAACTCGTCAGCACCAGCAATGGTGGCGAGCCACTCCCGCCGGCTAACGCTGGGATCGACAGGGCAACCGATAGCCACCTCTCCCGTTTGCCTGTCGTTCTGCCCTGGGTCAACCAGGTGAGAGAGCATCAGAGTCAGAGTGCGTGGGTAAAATTAAAATGCATTGTTTGTGACACTTGACCTCATAACGCGTGCGTCCCGCAACGCCGAGGCCGGTCAAACGAAAAAGATTAAAACAAAATAAAAACTGCCTCAAAACTCTAAGGCCGTATAGGGTATTCCGTCCTCCCCAAAATGCGAAGCCGGATGCAACCAACCCCCCAAGCCTCCGCGGCCCTCGAGATGCTTCCAGGGTGACAATGCTCTAGAAACCCCATTATGCCGAGGTCGCTCTCTCGGGGCCCGTGTTTCCTCTCTGGAATGGTCCGGGTGTAAACGCCTCCTCCCAGTGTCTCAATGTTCGTATATGCATTTCCATCCCTCAGGCAGCAGCTGCTGCTCTGGCGGAAAGCCGGCCCCTGCCACCCCGCGCCGCCCGCACTCGTTGACGAGGGACGGGGGCGGGCGGGCGGGCGGGCGTCGTCTCCCGTCCTCTCTGTCCCGTGTCGGCCCCACCGCCCATCTCAGTCGTACGATTCCCAGTGCTGGTTCCACGGCTTGTTGGTGCCCTGGAAGTCCTTGCCGTGCTTGTAGTGGCCGAGCAGGTTCTCCTGGTCGACGCCGCAGTGCGTCTGGCCGTCGCGGCCCTCGAACCAGCCGAGCCCGTACGTCTTGCCGAGCCCCTCGAGGTGGCGCACCATGCCGGCGTTGCTGAGCTTGGACGTGCCGACAAAGTCGTAAATCATCTTGCTCTGGTGGATGAAGGCCAGGTGCGACGAGATGGTGCTGGGCTGCCGCGGCAGGAACGGGTGCCGGCGCCGGAGGAAGACGACGGTCGCGACGGTGCCCATGTACAGCAGGATAAAGGTGGCGAGGCCGAACGAGATCCAAAAGGACGCGACCGTCTCCTGGCCCGCGTTGATGCTCCCTTGCTCGGCGTCGCCGCCGGGCGAGACGGCGGCGTCGAGGAACTCGGTGCCCACGACCGTCGCCAGGCCCGTCAGCAGCACCGTCAGCACCTCGGCCATCATGCTGCCGAAGCCGACCAGGAACATGAGCAGGTGGCCGTTGAGGAAGGCCTTGAACGGCATCAGCGCGAACGGCATGGCCGTGTAGTCGAGCGTGAGCGTCCTCGACGGCGAGTGCCTCTTGGACAGGATGTAGTAGGGCTCCATCATGCGCATGTCCGTCTCCAGCGCGCCCCAGCCGAGCTTGATGCAGACGGCCAAGGCGGTCACGACCCACGGCGCGTTGGCCGTGATGATGCTGGCGCCCGAGAAGAGGAACACGGGGATGAAGCCCATGAAGAGGGCGATGCCGATGACGAACGGCAGGAACCCGTCGAGACGCAGCGAGCGCGGGTGCGGGTTCTCGGTCATGTGGTCGTCTCGGAACCTGTCCGTGTCCTGCGAGGAGACGGGGTTCTCGTCGTCGGGGGCCAGCGACGCGTTGCGGAGGACGTAGCGGTGGTGCTTGAGCTTGGCGTGGATGTCGCGGTGGCTGACGACGTCCAGGTCCGCAAAGTCGACGAGGATGTGGCTGACGACGGCCATGGACGCGAGGCCCGCGATGCCCCTGACGTCGGCCAGCAGGCCGGACCTCCTCCTCTGGAGGATGTAGAAGAGCACGCAGCCGCAGAACGCGCAGACGCACAGGGTCGAGGAGAGCAGCCTCGCCCACACCGCCTGCAGGCGGATCACCTTCTCGCCGTCGGGGTGCGCGAGCCGCTCGGCCCGGTTGGGATACAGAACGAAGGCGGCGGCGCCAAACGTCGGCACCAGCGACACGGCCAGCGAGGTGGCGACGGACGACACGGCGACGGCAAAGTGCCGCAGCTTGATGGCCCGGATGGGTCGCAGCCAGCTGAGGCTGGTGACGTAGTCGACGTTGATGGACTCGGCCGCGAGGGCGCCGCCCTCCTTGGACAGCTGGTAGTAGGCCTCGAGGCGCTTGACCTCGAAGTCGGTGACCTGCCACAGGACGCCGTACATGACGGAGAGGATCGTCGGCAGGAACTTGACGGCGAAGTACTCGAGCCCCGGGACCTCGGCCGGGGACCGGAACCGGACCAGCGGGTGCGTGCGCGACCTCTGGAAGAGGAGCTCCACCATGATGGCCAGCGCGATGGACAAGCTGATGAGCCCCGTCAGGTAGGGCCACCTCATCGAAAAGGGCTTCCAGTTGGGCTGCGGGTAAAAGATCTGCGTCTTCTGGCTCTTGTTGACGGGGAACGTGGCCTGGCGCATGTTGACGCCGTCGTCGCCCGCGACCGTCGGCCCCGCCACGACGCTGAGGTCGACCTGGTCATGCTGGTGCTGCCGCGGGCCCTCCTCCGCCGTCGTCTCCTCGATGATGACCTCGATGACCTCGCCCCTCTTGTTGGCCTCGTCCTGGCCTCGGTCCTTGATTGTCGCCCGACGGCCCAAGCTCGGCCGGCCCAGGCTCGGCCTGCGAGAGAAGGACCGTGTAATGGATCGCCTGGGCGAGGCGGTCGGCGGCGCCATGAGATCCTCGCTATTGATCCTGGCGTCCGGCTTAAAACCGGCCCCCAGACCGCCGGTGAGACGACCGCTCGCCTCCTGCTCCTGCAATTTCTTGATAAAGGCCGCGTCTTGGAAGCCCATCGGCCCCAGGGTGGCGGTCACATCGAAGATGGGTTCGTCGTCCTGATCCGACTCGTGCTGCGACGACTTGCCAAAGGGCGCGGCGGCGCGCAGCAGAGAGAGGTCGTGCTCCTCTTCTTCGGGTGTGGTCTTTTGGCCGCGTCGCGACGTCGCAAGGCTCGACCTCCGGCCCGCATGTGAGGACACTTCAGGGGGCACGGTGGATCTGGGTGACAAGGCCTCATAGGCGGTTGCGCCGCTATACGAAAAGGACGCGGTCCATGAGGCCGACAACGGCTGCCTTTCGAACTCGTCTCCCTCATCCAGCGGCGGCGAATTGTGAAGTGAGTAGGACTGCATCGAGATCAGAGAATCCCTCCCGCTAATCGTGGCGGAGGTCCCCTCGTAAGTGTGGCAGTCGGCGTCGCTGACCATGGTCATGCTGGAATGCCGCTGGCTGAGTCTTCTTTCGGTCGCATCAGGAGGCTGATGGGACGCGCCTAGGTCTTCGTTGTGCGCCATTGTTTACGGAGCTCTCATGTCGCCAGGACCGGTTCCGGAAGTCGTGCGTGCTGCTTCTCTGTAAATCAAATCGGGGAGTGAGTGAAATTGCGCGCGAGTGGGAAGACGATCGGTCTGTCAGGTCGGTGTAAGTCTGGTACCGAAAGCAAGCGAAGCTGCGAGGGGGGGAGGGAAGAAACGAATGAAAGCAACTCGGTCAAGCAACGACAGGCATCTCTGGCGTTTTTGTTGCCCAGCCAGCTGAAGGGGAACAAGGGGTGAAGGGGAATAAGACAGACGTGGAAGCCGGAGGCAGGACGATACGGGGCAGCTGAGAGTAGAAAGAGGTTGTATGTAGGGCTGTCGGGGGCGCGCGCCTTGGTGGTGGAGGTGCAACTGGCCGCGACGCATGGGAACGAAGGACTCTAAACCACCTCCGGCATGGGGTCCCCGCTAGCTTGGCCGACCTGGCACAACCGCTTGAGCCACCGGGCGACCCAAGTCAGGGACGGTAGGCCATACCTGTCTCTGGACGATCCAGCGCCGGCAAGGCTGAGTCGAGGGAGAATGGGGTGATGCAAGAGGCAAGGCAAGGAACGCATTCTTTGTCCATCCGGCGCCAAACGACGTGATCTACCACTCCGTTGCGCCGATTCTACGTTTCGGATGTTGCCCGTTGACGTTAGGTCCACTTTGTGCTCGCCCGCGCATAACGCCCTTGTCAGATTCCCCGTTCCAACACGAAATGCGAGCATGTCAAACGGGCCGTCCAACTCAAGAACCTTGCTCCTCGTGTGAAAGAGCAAAAGGGTAGGGGGGGATGCGACCGGTTTCCCACGCTTCGGATGGCATGTCTCTATCGTCCCCTGGGCTCCGTCCTGGCTCAGATTAAGCGTTGCATTGGTTGTGGGACAGGGGAGGGCGACCCATTGGAAGGAACCACAGACCACAGCTTGATGAGCTCTACATAGGTACTATACCGTATCTACTCGGTCAACTGGTCCCCCATATTTGTTCGCGGTAACGGGATCGAGACAACTCGCTGGCAGATCCCGGGCTTACCATTGGATACAAGGTGAGAAAAAGGAACAGAGTAGGTTTAGAGAACTTTGATATGGGGGCTCAGTTGACCGAGTACATACGGTACTATAGTGTGTAGGTACTGCAACGAACATGCAGGGCAATCGATAGTCAGTGTCGCCCTCCGCCCCCGAGCCGCCGTGCCTGATCTGGCACGCTGTCATGCAGGTGCTGCTGCTGCTGCGACTGGGTGTGACAATGGCGACTGGCTGAGTGAGTGGGTGAGGAACAGACGTCTGACCGTTTTGGGCTTTGGACGTCGTCTGGCTGCCTCCTTTGCTACAAAGTACGATGTATTCTTAGTCGCATGCATGTCTGGGGGGGCGGGCTACATTCAGCCCTCGCGGTCGGTTTCGCGCTGGGGCGTCACCGTCATCATAAAAGCTTGGCAGCCCCAAAAAGCTGTCTGCCACACGATACGGATGAGATTCGGCTCCCGTCCAGCTGGGACGTGTTTCTTGATGGTCGATCGTCGTCTCCGACGAGGGACGCGTTCGTGTCTTGCGATTGGCGTGTGAAAGGCGCCGGCGGACCCTTGGGACGGTGTCTGGGAGAGATGGGGTCTTCGTCCGATGGTTATTGCTCCCCCACCTAGCGCCAAATATCCCGAATTAGCGGGTTGCGCTTGGAGAGAGTACGATGGGTAGATATGAGGATCGAAAACGTTCATCCCTCGTCTTCGCCAATGCAAGGCTGGCCGGCCGAGCTTATCGAGCCTCATCCAGGAAAAAGAGCTTCCGACATGGTTGTCACATTGCAGTCCTCGTTTCAGAGCCGAGGATCACCTGAGGCATTTGTCCCTTTCTGCGGGATCACCGTCACCGTGGCATCTTCCGAGTCGATACGACGTCACTCCCTTCTTTCGAAATCGTCGGTGCTGCTCTTCCACGATCATGGGGAGCCGTCTCTTTGGTCCTTGGTGGACGTCGCGTCGGGGCATTAAAGAGCATGAGAACCCGGTTTCTTTCTTTCGTCTGCATGCCTTGACCAGATTCCACGGCCCGCTGTAGTGGGCAGTAGGTCGCCTGACTCGGCTTGCTTCGGAAGCTCGGCTACATGAATCGTTATTCCCCGCTCCTCTTCAACAACAGCTTACAAGCTGGTCGGTTAGCTCAGTTGGTTAAAGCGTGGTACTAATATTTCACCTGAAATGTTGTGTAATGCCAAGGCCGGGAGTTCAAGCCTCCCACTGATCACGTCTTTTTGCTCATGAACGCATTGAATCCGTTTTTGCACCCGATGGCATTTGCCTGCACGTCATTCAGTGCACCTCTCAATTCAATTGCACCGATGACCTGAGATGCATGTAGATCCTTTTGTTCTTCTCGCGGCTTGAGTATTTCAACATAGAAGGTAAGACAGGTATGGTATGTTGAGGTGCAGAAGCAATTCGGCGTTGACCTGGGTTCTTTTGTAACGGCAGAAATTTCATCGTAGAAGACCGCAAGCTTCAGTAATCCTTCCATTGGAACATGTCGACCTGCGTTCCTCTGATCCAGTCGAACGGAACCATGTCAACTCGATCTGCAGTCCCTCCATACTTCCCCGAGTACGGCGAACTGAGGCTTTGAGAGTTTGCAACCCGTGTCAGGAGTTTGAGGTCCGGAACAGCAAAGCATCCAGCAGCAAAGGAAGCCTGCCTGCAAGCGTTGGGGTTCTTGGCATGTCAGTATATTGGGCACAAGGAATGATTCCTGTCTCACGTAATGTTTGAGGGGACGTGGGCAGCGGCGCCTGGTTCCCGATACTCCTGGTGCCTGCATCCCTACCTCCGTCAGCGTTCTCTAGGCTCTCTGGTTATAAATCAAAGCAGTCATGGCCACCAGCAACTATTGCTGAACACTTCAGTCACATAGGCTCTCTGGGTTTGCCAAAGCCATGAATAATTCTATTTTGAGTAGGTCCGACTGGTGGCTTGGAGACACTTGCTTTGCATGTAACGTTGAGGCTTCCGCAAAAAAGCTGCTAACGTATGATGCTCCTTGGAGACCTTCCCACCATGTTGGGTTACACAACATATGAGGCTCTGCTGAGAGGACTGAAGCGTAGCGAACTAAGACCAACAACCTAGCTCCAAGGAAATAGTGATCGCAAACTATAGGGAGCCGTTGATGGCATCGGCCCGGTCTCTGCGCCGTAAGGCGATCCTCGGGTGAATACGAGGTGGACCCTCGCGATGGTTCACTGAAGATGGGACTTCGTCCAATACCGACTTTCAGTGGACAAAGACGGCCTGCCTTGCCTTACCGATTATACGACCTTCCACTGCAGTGTTATACCAGATCTCCGACGTTGTATATTGCCTCGAGAACCGCCGCACATTTATGCCAGCCTAACACACGAGGAGACCAACTCAGGTCATTGCGATGTTGAGCACACAAATACAATGTCGAGAGCAGAGTCGAGCCTCGAGTATCTGAATCCACTGTATATGCTTTACTCACACCATGCCGCCAGCAATGCAACAGTAGCAGGAACCGTAGTCAAGCACGGAACACGGATCACGTCTTTGCTGGGACCCAAGGGCCTATCAGAATACCATGCCAGATGCCCCTCCGAAAGGAAGCCTGCAGTAGCCCAAGTAGGTGGCAAGAAGCTTCCTTCGATAATGGCGATACATTTTAGGACGAGATAGACCTAAACTACTTGGCTAGCACCCGGTATCGATTGTATGGCAGAGCTGAGACACAAGGAACGTCGACGAGTTTGTCTAGCCATTGCCCATGGCTCGATACCGGTGGGCAAAGGCATCGTTCCTGCTTCGATGCTCCCTCGGACGAACACGCAGCGGACGGTGCCGAGTTTTTGGATGCCATTGGCGTCCAGAGGAGCCTCACTGCTGACGACGGCACCTGGCCTTATATACACATAAGAGCCATTTATTCATATCGAAGGGATTGGTGACTCTGCTAGTTGGTGGTTCGTTCGTCGCCGTCAGCCGGTTTCTGTTTAGCCTGCTTTGTAGATTCCGGAAACCCAGTTCCATAATTCAAGAACACCACAAGTCATGCTCAGCCAGCCACCTCTCATCCAGTGGTTGTGGACACGTGGGCTTTGGCTCCGTAAGAACGGACCGGTGTAGCTCCGACAGAGGCCTATCATGTCGTAAGGTCCCGGAAAGACCGTATGAGCAGGAAGGATCTTGGTGTCATACGCTTGGGAAGCGACCTGATACTTCCAGGAATGAGGGTGAAAAGCAAACGCTGTGGCGTCGTCCGTCCTGGACACGCCCATGGACGAGTTGGCCCAGATCCTGTATATGGGAAGAGCCGTGTTCACCGTTCTTGTTGCCAGTTTACCGAGTCGACACAAGCACTCACAAGCGTGAGGCGAGAGTTGCCACCGGTTCACTGTGTATCAAACGCTTAGCATCAACTGGCCCGGATGCGCGAGACACCAACTGGATGCCCGTATACAACCAGGACGACCTGGCCTGAAACAACGCGGAGAGTCGCCCGAAACAAGAGACTACCGAGTCTTCAGCGGCCATTGTTCGCCATGGATTCACACGATGACCATTACTGTTCTTTCAGACACATCTGCATATTGTAGTATGTACGCCGTGGAAACGCTCTACAGTCGCCCACGTGGTAGGTACAAAAGCCCGGCAGTCTAAAAGCCCTCCCATATCCACAAGCCTGTGTTTTTCCCGTCTATGCATAACCGCCCGTCCCAAGAACTCCTGACATGCTGTATCATTAGACTGAAATTACCAATAAAAAAGGCATTAAGAGTAAAAGAAGAAAACACACTCGCCCTTCCCCCTGCCCCCGCCTCAGGCCAGCAACAGCGCGCAGGCGAGCGCCATGCCCAGGATCACGGCCGACGACACGGCCGGCCGTCCCGGCGACGCGCCGGTGACCTTGCCGCAGCAGTCGCGCGTGTATGTGACGTTGTTCATCTTGGCCTGGACCTCGAAGACGGACCCGGGGAAGCCGCCGTAGTTGTAGTAGTCGACGTTGAGGATCTTGGGCGGGCGGCCCCAGTCGGCGGTGCACTGCTGGGCGCCGACGCCGAGGGAGCCGTAGCCGGTGGCGTTGTTGGTGACGTTGAGCAGGGAGACGGCGGGGACGAGGATGGAGGCGCCAAAGATGCTGTACTCGGCGTTGAGGTTGTGGTTCAGGAGGTAGAGGCGGTCGCGGGCGGCCTCGTCCGGCAGGTCGGGCGGGCGCTGGACGGTGCAGGGGAAGGAGCGGTCCATGGGGTCGAAGGGGCTCTCCCACATCTGGGAGAATTCGTCGAGCAGCCAGGGGAACTTTTGCTGGTCGGCCATGTAGTCCATGAACATGACGACGCGCTTGCCGCCGAGGATCATCTGGGAGAGGGTGGGCCAGTCCTCGAGGGTCATGGGGAGGAAGGGGGGCTCGTAGGCGTATTGCAGGATGCCCGTGGACTCGATGAAGGGGCGTACAGGTCCGGCGTGGAGTAGTTGCCGTTGCCGAGCAGGATGGTCACGACGTCGTAGGGATGGGCGGCGACCCATTCGCGGACGGTGGTGAGCCACTCGGTGATGGGGCCGACTGTGCGGTGTGTTAGTCGCGGCCCGGCAAGCATGTGAAAAGGGGGAGGAGGAGGAGCTCACCGTCTAGGATGTCACATGAAGAGTGGCAGAAGTGCGGCACGGTGCCGTTCGTGGGCCACTGGATCTGGGCCTGGAGGAAGCGGACGCCGTCGTTGAGCTGGGTCGTGACGTCGAGGGCCTGGTTGGAGGCCGAGTTTCCGGGGCGCACAAAGGGGGAGTTGTGGCAGCCGATCTCGGTGATGTTGCTGTACTTGCGGTCGCAGAACTCGACGTAGTTGTTGCACGGCTGGGTGTTGGTCGGACCGGCGGGGGCGGTGGTGCTCTGAGTCGCGTTTCCGGTAACGGTGGACGTGACGACCGAGGTCTGGCCCGAGATGATTACGACGGACTGGCCGACCGAGTTGGTCGTGGTCTGGGTGACGTTGCCGGTGACCGTCATGGTCCCGGTCATGGTCGAGAGGTCGCCATTTGTGAGCGTGATCCTCGAGGTGTAGGTCGCATAGGGTCCCGTCGGCGTTCTGGGCTGGGTGACGGGGACGGTCTTGGTGCCGGACAAGAAGGTCACGTCTTCGGTGTTGGAGAGCGTGATGGTGCTCACACTCAGATCTTGAGCTCCGGCTGGAGTCGCGATGAGGGACAGCAGCCCGAGGGTGAGAGCAAGGAGACGTCCTGTCATGTTGGGCGGAGTTCCCTCTCACGAGGACTCTTTCGTATGTGTGTGTATGTGTTTAGGGGTGTGGTATGAGCCGACCACAACGAAAGGGCCAGGTGAAGGTCGACAATGGTGGTGAGGAGGACCGGGTTGAGAGAGGTTGTTTGTATTCCGGCCAGTCGTTGGGATGGCAGCGAGACGCAGAGGCCGCCAGGTGCCACTTAGGGGAGAATTAGGTTGAGCGAGGGACGGGAGAGACGGGTGCCAAAAACCCAAGAGGGAAAAAAAAACCCGTTATCAGACGAGGGACGACGACCGACAAACGACGAACGACGTTGAGACTGACTCGGAAGGGTTCGATGACGATCTTCGCGCAATATCGACAACGACTAAGGCACGCTAGAGGGGCAGAGGGGAGGATGAAAAAGCGAGAGAGGGATTCACGGGGTTTGACAAGGGACGGCAGAGGCGGTCATTTGCATTTCACATGAGAAAGCTCGGCTCAGAGAAGGAATAGTCTCTCTCTCTCTCTCTCTCTCTCTGCGACTCGTCGGCGGCGGTGCCAATGTGCGCCAGCAGCAACGCGAAGCTCAAACGAAAAGTGCTCTCTCCTCCGCCCCTGTTGAGCGAGCCTATGACATAATTTTTGTGTTGTGCTCTTGGCGCTCAGGTTTTCCTGGGGTGGCCCAGGCACTTGTTTTGGAGGTGGTCCGGGCCCCAGACAGCGCTACGGCGCGACCGCAGGAAACGAAACCAAGCCGCCAAGGGTGGGTTCCACTTTGGCGGGTCGAGGCGGTCCACCTCACCGGAAGGCGCTGCGAGGATCGCTGGCGATGTGCCGGGGACCCTGCTGGCCATCGTGTCATCTCATCGGCGGCTCCAGCTGGGCAGGGTCGCCGCCCGTCACATCTCGCAAAGGCGCGGCGTGAAGAGGAAGGGGGGGATGACTGGCTACATCAACAGCATCAACAACAACGGCAAAACACACATCATCACCACCACCACCACCACCACCACGGGAGGCAACAGCAGAAACACACGAATCGGACGGCCGGGTCGCTTGCGTTTCTGCGGTTGCGGCTGCGGCAAAGGGACAGGGGCAGCAAAGGAGAGAAAACGAGGGATCCGACATGGGCGGACAACCCTAGCGATCGCCGGCATAGGAGCCGGCGCGGCGGCGTGGGCGCGTGTGCAACATGGTCCTGTTCCCATGAGCCCCCATCTCGGGCTGGTGGCTTCTGGAACCGGAGTAAACTTGGGCATTCGTAGTCGTAGACAAGCAAGACTCGGCGGTGAGCTGAAGGGGAAATCGTGAGCGGGAAATCGTGAGCTTCAGATGTCTATGATGATGCGCCGTGCAGAGATGATGGGAAACAGAGTTTTAGGCTCAGCGCCTGCCTGCCCATCCTCATTTCGCTTTTTCAATCAAGACGTTGGGCCTTGCTGGGGTCGAATGGGCGGGATCGTCACCCTTGATGTTGCCACGGGGAATTAAAAGCACTATTTCTGACTCTAGCCCATGGATTGTTCTTGCAACAAAGCCTAAGCATCATTTAGGTAAGGCGACCCAGCGAGTAAAGACTGGCCTGGTACTACGTACCCACGTACCTAGTGTACACTACAGTCTGTATGGAGTATGGTTATGCATGTTGCAGAGGCACGGCGCGGCTTGGGGGGTACCGGTAATAGTAGACTCGCAGTCGGGGTCCGGGTGTCTGGTTGATGGTGCAACAGGACAGGAGAGAAAGCGGCTCCAATCCACCCATCGGAAGCACAACTCACACATGTCACAGCAGCTGGACGCGTCTTGCGTGGCCCTTGTGCTTGCTTTCTGCCGAGTCCTCTCCCTCCCAGAGTTGTTATTGTTGTCTCCTTAGTAACAGCTGCCAACCATGGTGGTCCCATTTTCAGCTGTGAAGGTGAAGGGGGCGCTATTTACTGATCGGCCACCCAACGGTAAACGAGCGGCACAAACGGCCCCGTTGACTGGACTCCTTCGAGGCAGTGCTGTGCTGGACTTCTACTATTACCATGTACCACGGCAAGAGGCAACAACGGCAGCAGCGGCCTCGTATCGATGCAGTTGCTCGGGTCCCCGGAATATTGTGACTTTGCCTACCCATATTGCGGCAGTGAGGCAGTCCCATTCCGTTTGGAAAACTTGGCTTTGCTGCAGCAGAGCCTATGCAGTGGGTGGTGCTCGTAAACGACCAATGTGGACTGACCAACACAGCAGTCCCGTCCCGCCTGGGCCGTCACAACTGTTCTCTGTGGTTCATTCCATTTGCTATCCGAACTCTTTTCCCTCTCTCCTGTCTTGTATCTGGCTGTCGATGCTGGGACGAAGTGGGTCCGTAACAGGGTCAAGGGGCCCACCCAGTCCCTCACAGCCAAAAGCCAAAGACCCACTAGCCGTGGCGCCGCTAATGTACCAAAGACACGCTTGCTTGTCGACATGACCGGGAAGGAGAAGGCAGAAGGGGGAGGAGAGTGAAGAGAAGGAAGAAAAAAGAAAAGAAAAAAAAAAACCACCTCCAATTGACCGGCGTTGCTACGACGTCATTCTTCTCCCTGTCGGGAGTGTCAGTGACCCTCCTTTAAGCTCCTCCCCAGCAAGCAAGTTGCCTGTACGCTGCCAACCCAGCTCGACCGGGTTCTGGTTTTTCTTTTCTTCTCCCAGTCGAACCCTGCCTGCCCTGCCCGTATTTACTAACTGGGGGATCCATTGAAACTGGCGTCCTGTTCTGGCCTGGCCTGCTCTGCCTGGTGATTCCTGTTGTTTATCCACGTTCTGGACTCAACCCCCAATATTTCAGACCGGGCTCTTGGAATTTCTTATGGGCTTGATTTAGCTTGTGTGCTCATCGTCATCGTCTTCGCCCTTGTTCGACCCGTCGAATAATTACCCACAAGCCACAGGCTCGACTCCTTTCCTTGAAGGAGCAAGCTTGGCCTGAGACAACTGCTTGATTTCGAGCTGCTGGCAAACCCACCCCAGCCCAAGCACTACCGAAATCCAGCTCCTATTCTGTGTGTCTCTCTCTCTTTCTCCATACGGACCCTCGGCGAGGAGAGACACCTCCCTATACCGCGTCATACCGTTCCTCGCCCACACGTCGTTGGTAAACTAGATATCTGGGGAGAGGACCACAGCCGGTACTCGGCCCTCTCCATCGTCCCCCGGATCTAGACCTGGTCCCACGTCCAACTGCCTCTCGCGACAACCTCACCTCCCAGGCACCCCAACTCTCGCCCACCCTCACCCACGATGGCAAAGGTCCGCAGGAACAGCGCCATCGCGGCCGCCGTGTGCTACTTCATCGCCATCATCTTCCTCATCCTCGTCATCATCGGCAACACCTCCATCAAGCCCGTCCTGACGGACATCTACTTCTTCAAGCTCGATGTCAGCGACATCATCCCCCTCTCGTCCGCCAACGCCGTCCTGCTCAACTCCGTCGCCAGGAGTCTGGGCCTCCACGACTTTTACCAGGTCGGCCTGTGGAACTTCTGCGAGGGCTACAACGATGAGTGAGTGCCAGCCAAACGTCACCGTCCGTCCCTCCCGCTACACCGCGCATACTGACATGACACCCCCCAGGGGCGTCACCTACTGCTCGACTCCCCAGCGGCTGTGGTGGTTCAACCCCATTGAGATCCTGACCAACGAGCTTCTGGCCGGCGCCACCATCGCGCTGCCCTCCCAGGTCACCACCATCCTCACCATCCTCCGCATCGGCCAGCAGGTCATGTTCGGCCTCTTCATCGCCGGCATCTCCCTCGCCGCCGCCGTGCTCATCGCGACGCCCCTCGTCATGCGCTCGCGCTGGTGGAGCCTGCCCGTCGCCATCTTCGCCTTCCTCACCGGCCTGTTCGTCACCGTCGCCTCCATCATCGGTACCGTCGTGAGCGTCGGTGCCCGCATCGCCCTCACCCAGCAGCAGGAGCTCAACATCGAGGCCATCCTGGGCGTGCGCATGTTCGTCTTCATGTGGCTCGCCAGCGCCCTCGTCGACGTTGCCGCCATCCTCCACATGGCCATGGGCTGCTGCTGCTCGCCGCGGAAGGAGAGAGAGGCCGCCGCCGCTGCAACGGCGAACAACGGCACGCCCGAGAAGACGACCAACACGACGGAGAGCGGCGAGAAGCCGTCGAGGTTGCCAGCGTTTATGAGAAAGCGCAGCCCGAGGTCATCCACGTCGTAAGCCGGGATGTCGTATGGAGAGTAGTCAAGCACGACCCGCGCGGTGCGCGGATCAGCGGTCCATATCAACCGGTCCAGGCTGGAGCTCCTCGCGAGAGCAACCTCGTCCTGCGGTCGGTGCAGAAAGCGAAGGAGCGGATACTACTAGTAAATGTCTCGGGACTCGAGCCCGGCAGCGCTCGCTCGTTGCCGGCATGGACAAACAATTGAAATTGAGCAATGGCGTTTTGGTGGTTGCGGCAAATCGGGATGACCATGACAATAGACTTTCTGGAGGGTATTAGCAGTAGAGACGACACACGTGCATAGATGAGCATAGTTTAGGCACATATTCCATAATCATCACCAAAACCCCTGCTACGAGCACACATACACTGCGGCCTCGCAACAATCATAAGAGAGACGTTCAGGCCGGGGTTTGCAGAAAAGACGAGGGTTCCCCGACGTCGCATCTGGGTTCGAGAGACTTACATCCCACATCATGATGAGATGTACGCCGCGCAGCGCGGCCGGATGCACCGCGGTGGATGTACCCCTTATCGCGCCCTGGCCTGGACCCCTCCATCAACTTGTGCCTCGGCTCGACCGCAAGCTCGCTCGACCCCCCCCCCCCAGCCGAAGCTCATCCATCCCCAGCTTCGCTCCCGCCTCCCATTTCCCCGGACGGTCGCCAATAATCTTTTTCCCTAGACCCCCACGTCGCCATTGATTTATTCTCACACGTGGAAGGGAACACCAGAGAAGGCAGGCCACGACCCAGTTTCAGCACTATACATATACACACTTACACACACGTCGCAACCATGGACGTCGCATCGCTCTTCAATGTCAAGGTAAACCTCACCCCCCTCCATCACCGTGGGAACCTCGAAGACTGACCCGCCCGCCCCCGCGCGCGCAGGACAAGATTGTGCTCGTGACCGGCGGCGCCAAGGGCATCGGCTACATGATCTCCGAGGGCTTCGTGGCCAACGGCGCCACCGTCTACGTGTCGTCGCGCGACGCCGCCGCGTGCGAGGCGGCGGCGGCGGCGCTGACGGCCCAGGGCCCCGGCCGCGCCCACGCCATCCCCGCGGACCTCCAGAAGCTCGACGACTGCCAGCGCCTCGTCGCCGCCCTGTCGTCCCGGACGGCCGGCCGCCTCGACGTCCTCGTCAACAACTCGGGCGCCGCCTGGGGCGACGCCTTCGACACCTACCCCGACGCCGCCTGGACCAAGCTCCTGACCCTCAACCTCCACCGCGTCTTCACCCTGACCCAGCTCGCCGCGCCGCTGCTCGAGGCCGCCGCGGCGCCCGGCGACCCGAGCCGCGTCATCAACATTGGCAGCGTCGACGGCCTGCGCGTGCCGCTGGTGAGCAGCTTCGCCTACAGCGCCAGCAAGGCCGGCCTGCACCACCTGTCGCGCGCGCTGGCCCGCGAGCTGGGGCCCCGCGGCGTCACGAGCAACACGCTCGCCTGCGGGCCCTTTGAGAGCAAGATGATGAAGGCGACGCTCGACTCGATGCGCGACACCATCGAGGCCGAGATCCCCATGCGCCGCATCGGCACGCCGCAGGACGTCGCCGGCGCCTGCCTGTTCCTCAGCGGCCGGGCCGGCGCTTTCGTCACGGGCGCGACCATCACCGTCGACGGCGGCATCGTGCTGGCCTCGAAGCTGTAGGATTTTGCTGGTGTCGTCGGGTCGGGAACGAGGATTGGGGAAAAGGTCGCGGCGCTCAGTTGGGGGCTGCTGGGGGGGGGGGGGGGGGGAGCCAAAACGTGGATAATGTGCAACGTGAGGAAGACCTGGAAAAGCCGGACCGTACTGTCACAAGATGTGGCAAGATGAGTGTAGAGGGAAACCGCCAGAAGGCTGGCATGTTTCTTTAAACTCGTGTAAAACTAGAGATTGCGGCAGGACCGTGTCCTCCGACGTGGTATTCATACATGATAAAAAAAAATATGAGCGAAGATCCAACCAGATGACGGGGGTGTGCGGTGATATGCCCCCGAGTCGTTCCCACCGTGTATTGCCAACGCCTCTTTGACTCCGTGTGTATAGATCGTAACGTCCCTCCTCAAAGCAAATATGAAATGTTTCCTCCCAGATCCCGCAATGCAATAAATGCCCGGTGCCGTGATGCGCCAATGTGAGCTGTTATGGTGAAAAATAATAATGAGGAATGATGGCTGTTCGAAACCCCATGTCTATCCCAATGTCCGTTTCATCCGAGAGAATAAATGCAAAACCGAAGGAGAAGAGAAACTTCCATGTCGATTAAACATTGTAGCGAGCGGAGAGGAATGCCGAGTGATGGGAGTGCAAGAAACGGCGGGGAAGGGCTCGATTGTCGGCAACCCGCCTCGTGACTTCTCCCCGGTTGCCCGGATCGTACGAGATCGCCGTCCGCGGAGCATCGGCACCCTCTCGGGACCGCGTTGTTTCAGCGTCCCCTCTCGTCCGATACTTCGGCATGTCTGGCAAAAATGGCCCAAGCCCCGAGTAATCACTAAAAAAATAAAGATAAAAAGTTTCCAGAACGACGGGCCCTTTGCGTTGCGAACTCCATTTGGCGAATGAGGATGACTGGCCGAGGACACCACTATGACAGGCCGCACGACTCAAAGTCGCGCATCATGACGGCCATCTGGGCGCGTTTCGCGGCTTCGGCGACAAGGGTGAAGTCGCGGAGGAAGGCCTCGGTTGACGGAGCGGCCTGGCCGGTGGCCTGGGGCGGCGGAACCATCTGGTTCGTAGACATGTGCGACGATGACGACGATACCGAGGACGTGGAGTCCTGGCGCTTGGGAGACTGGATCGGTGCGTTCATGGTGACGATGATGATAAAGTGTGTTGTGTGTGAGATTGATGGCGTGTTGTAGTGTAAGGGTTTTTTGAGGTTGATGTATATGTATAGAGTTTCTCTGATGGCAAGAGAAACAAGGGTTAAAAAGGTGCGGGTGGTGTGGCTAAGCAGTAGGTTGGAGGGAGCGATGGCTGGCGGTGTTATATTCCCCAGATCTTCGATTTTGGGGTGCCGATCTTCTCTCTACGTGAGACCAGAGCACAGGTACCTGAACCGAGGTGATGTCAAGCGCGGGGGAAAGGCAGATCAGGAACGGCAAGGTCAGAAGGAGGCGTCGGGAGAAAGTGAGCGTGCGGGTGATCCGGCTCTTTTTTAAAATGTCGACGTTTGTGTCCGAGATATGGACAGACAGGAGAGACGGACGGGATGACCGTGAGGCGTATGTGGGTTGAGGCGAGCGTGTGCGTTTAGAGCAGTCGTGGGACGACCCTGGGCTTGTTCGCAGTGACAGGCTAATTGCGGGACCGGCTTGTCTTGCTTGTAACAATATTGGATTGCAATATTGGATTCTCGGCGCGATTGCGGATAACCAACCCCGGTAAGTCGTGCGGGCGGGTGGCAGCAACCAACAGTGGTGCCGGTGGAATAGATTGGGGACGTCGACAAGGGGAAAAACGAGAGGCGGATGGCCGGGCGAGGCAGGTCAAGCAAGTCCTTTCTATTTTGAAAGGAGGGATGCGAGAGAAGAAGCTGCAGCAGGAGAGTGAGACAAGTAGGGGGCGGGATCGACTAGACCTCGCTCAGGCGCGGAGGGATGTTGCGACTCTTATGCGTGGAATATCGTTCGAGAGGAGGGCCAGGTTGCGACTGTGCAGGACCTTTTTTTCCCCTCAGAAATTTGAGCGCCGGTAGTCGATGCGGGTTGGCCTGGGTAGAGTAAAGTAAAGTAGGCTGCGGGATGATGGTGTGGGTAGCAAGCAGCTTTTTCTTGCTCGAGTGTAGGATTCTGGGCCGAAAGAAGGCTGGGGCGTAGGGCCAGCTTGGGCGGGATTGTGTGGGTGTGCGTCTGGAAGAGAGTGATGATGTGATGTGCTTGACTCTTGATTGGGGTTGGTTGCTTCCAGGCTTGTCCAGTTGACTTGCTTTTGATCCAAACGATGTGGACGTGTGTGGGTGGTGCGTACTGGAGTGTGTGGGATGAGGGTGGGAGGGATCAATAGGTGGTAGCAAGACAAGAAGGCAGAAGAGAGTTGGGGGTGGTGGTGGTGGTGGCGGGCGAGTCGAGGATAAAGAATCTGAAATGTGTGTATGGTTCCCGTCTACCGACCCAAGACCGAGATGGCTGCTGCCCTTGGGTGGTTATTTACTTTGCCCAGAGTACGGATACGGAGAGTAGCCGCGGCTGCTAAGAATCCATCTTATCTCCAGTTCTTTTGGGGCCAAGAGAGAAAAGGCAGACGGAGAAAGGGAAAAAAAGAGGGACGATACACGCCTTCCACGTTATTTCGCACCGTCTCATCCATGACGCTCAATGCTCCTAGACCCGACCAACTCCTGGAGCCGCGATAATAGGTCCGAAGATGGGGGTGGGGGGACCCGAGCTTGGTATGACGCCGAATCGTCGTCCCACTCTGCATGGGAGATTTTCCCTCTCTTCCTGGGGCCTCTGTGTTTTGTTATTTCTTCTTCTCTTGCCATACTTGTATCGTACGGGAGACGACGACACACCCTTCCCCATATTTCCCATGAGAACGAACGAACGGCCCAGCATGACCCAGCGGCGGGAACACGCCTACTTGCCTGCCTGTTTTGTTTTGCCTTGCCATGGCGGGGAAAAAAGGTTGCTGAGGTACACTACACACAGTGACAGACGTAAAGTAAAGCCTCGCGGTAAACGTCGCCAGAAGCAGTAATGGGAAGCCCCCCCCCCCCCATGTGCCCATGTGCCAAGTATCGGTACAAGCTCCCCCGTCTGAAGCGGCGGGGGGGGGGGGGGGAGGGAGGAGGGCAGAAAGGGTTTTGCACCTCGTCTCGCGACTCAGCCAGAGGCCCTTCAGGGTCTGCGCGGATCGGCGGCTCGAGCGACCGCAACGCCCACCCAGCTGGTTCGGGGAAACACGGTGAATGGGCAATCACAGGCGGCGCATCGAGGTCGGCCTTCTCGCCGGCGAGCGTTTCGCTGTGTGGGGAAGGGCGGCATGTCATGCTGGGCCAGGTCAACCAGGGGCCTGGGCTGGGAGCATAGCGTACCCACTCCGTGTACCGGTACCTGCTTCGTGCTCGCTGGCCTCTTGCCTCTTGCGCTCCCCGAGTCCCCTTCTGCCCAGCACCTGGGGCCATTTCTCCGCATTGTACTGGATCGCCTCAAACAGGTCCCTGGCGCGGGCAGGATCCTGGCAAGAGAAGGACGAGAGCCAATGCACCGAAGCCTGCCTCGTTCGATTCCGGCCTGGGATGAGGGGAGGCAACAGTCCAGCGATGACATGCTCTTGCTCCACTTGGCAGACCAAGGTTGCGCTACGCCCATGTCTGAATGATGTTCATGGCCAACAATGTTGCTTGCTCTTTGGTCCTGCCTTGTTGCGGAACGTCTCTTCCCTTGGTGTGTGGATGTGGACGGATCAACAGAGAACAGCACACGCACACACGCTCACGCGCTATGCCCATCTTCCCGTAATGGGGAAGCGAGAGACAATGCAGGAGGCGTTGCGATGCGACATGATGCTCGATCACTGGTCTCCGGCACGTACGGAGTCGCATCCCGTCCAAAGACGTGCCTACGTCGTCGTCGTCGTCAGGTATCACCTCGCTATGGGCGAGACCAGCAGCGCCTCTGGAGTCATGACTGTGCGGCTGCTGGAGCGTCGCGTTGGTGTTGGTGCGGGCTGAACTCTATCTTGAACGGGGATTGCGGGGGAGGTACGGAGAAATCACAAGCCTCGAGAATTGATCGCGCAAGAGCGTGGGAAACATGGGGAATCCGCAGGCAAGGGAGAACTCAAAAACGACGAGACGCGTGTTGGCTCATGCTCCTGTTTGCTTGTGATTCCACCGCTTTCCCTCCCTTTCCGTTGCCGGGCTGCTGGAGGCTGAAGCCATCGTCTCGCTATGCCTTGCCTCTTTGGCGTGGCAGGTACATGGCGCCTGCGCCTTGTTGCCTCCTCCTCCGAGGTACTCGTTAAGCTGGGGCTGGAGAAAATGGAAAAGATTGGCTTGGTTGTCGCTGACCTGACTTGACTTGACTTGAAGAGAGATGGTGAGGGAGAGAGCGATCCGACGCTAAGAATAAGGCCAGGGATGGCCGGCTGCGGTGGAGACATGTGAAATGGCACCGGGTGACTTTTGACGGGAAATCCGTTTTTTCCTTCCTTTTGGTCCCCACGTAGGCTTCTTCGCTTCACCTCGCCTCGCCTTAGCTTGCCTTTCGTCAACCTCTCGCCCGTCACTGTTATCCGACGCTCGGTGCGGAAAATCTCGGGACAGAGATCTCCCACATTGGCGAACGCCCACTCTATCCACTTTTTGTCGTCTTGGGTTTTCCCCATGGCCCCAGGCCCCAGGCCCCAGGCCCCACGCTGGGCTTGCCGGTTCTCCACGGAGGCCCTCCAGCCCAAGTGCAGAGCTTTCCCTCCTGGTTCGGAATACCTTCGGCATGAGAATGCCCCGGGCACGGCGGGTAACACCAAGGACGATGCTCATATAGGACCACTCTCTTCTGCGCCAGCGGCCGGAATCGCGCAATCTCCATATGATGGCGAAACGTAGAAATTTTCTTCGCGCCTTGTTGCCTTTTTCCACCCCCCGGTTCAATCACCGTTGACCCTCTCACCAGCGTCGCGGAGCGCAGCATTTCGGAACCTGGCATTCCAGCATACAGACCAAGTTGCAACCTCGTTTGATTGTCCGGACTCTGGCCGCCTTCCACAGTTGACCCGGGCGATAAGGGCGGTCCCCTTGGTTTCGGAGCATCAATCTGCATTGGTCGACCAGATTGTGTGGTCTCTGGTAGCAACGCATGTGTGGTTTGCGCCGACGGCATCGGGATGCCGTTAGCTCGCTGGTGTTCGAGTCAACATCCCGAAAACCACCATCGTCAGGCGCCGAGGAGGAAAAGACTATCGAGCTACCCAAAGACGGGAGCCACTCAAAGACGGTCCCATAGGCGAAAAAATGAGTGTGGATGGACTTTGATGGGCCTCGATCGCTGGGTCATACACCTGGCATCGGCCTGGCGCAGGGCGCGCATGCACTTGCGTCTTCTGCACGAGTCGCGGCAGGAAATCCGGCCCCTCCCCCTCGTCTGCTTGTGCCTGTCACTGGCCCGTCTGCTCGTGCTGTGTCTGCTGTCATGGTAAACATCGCATCCCGGGTCCGGTTGATGCGCTGGGTTGTACCTGCGGGCGGGTCAGCTTTCTTCCTGCGACCACTCAAGGGCTGTCGGAAAGCCCGTACGGTGGCAGAGGCTTAGTAACGGGCGGGCGTCGCCAGTTGAGCAGCCAGCGAGGAATTTGACCGAGAGCACCGAAAGGGGTTCACCTTGCACCCCGGAAGGCCGCCAGCCCTCAGATTGAGAGAGAAAAGGAGGGCCCGCCGGGCGACAAATCCCTCTCTCGAATTCGCCGTGATTGATCCGGAGCCACTCACCGACCGGGGTGCGCCGACCTCACCTCGGGAGCCGCTTTAGTCTGGAGCGAAATTCGCACCCTTCTCCGGCCCATTGGGAATGCCAGATGGAGGGTGGGTTTGCAGCCCACGCTCTTTTGCGTGTTCCAGCTCCTCACTCCAGCCTGCATCCTGCTCGTGACTGTCATCTGAAGCTGCATCGGCGTAGACAACAAAAGGGAAGGAGGAATGGGCCAGGAGACAGGCGATACAGACACGAGACGGGGGCCACGAGAAAATCCAGGGTCCATCCACAGCGCCGCAAACCCGCTCAGCTAGCAAGCGAGCACTGCACCATGTATGAGCTGCAGCTGTTCGGCAGCTTTATTCCAACCTGGAAAGCCACCACGACACGACAGTCCCCAATTGCCCATATTGTCATTTTCGCACGGGCCCGAGTAGGGAAAATGTCGTGCCACTAGCCGCCATTCCGGACCATACTTGCATCACTCCCACCCCAACCCACTCAATCAAACCCACTGGGCACCCGTATGCGCCGAGAAGGGGACAGCTAGATGGGCCCTTATCTCGCATGAGGGACGCGGTAGATTACTCCGCGAGAGCACAGATGGGCGGTGTGGAAAGCAGCGCATCGGGATAGTCCTCCTCCTCCTCCTGCTGGTGACTGCCGCCACACACGACACACGCGGGTCTTCATCCAAAGCTCCGTCGGAACCGACCAACCACGAGCTGGAATTCCGCTCGGGGCCCACCTCCCCTCCCCCCGACCGACCTCGAAAGCTGCGCTCCCCTTTCCCACGGACCAACGAGGAAAAGGCAAGGTCACCAACGCAACGCGACGCACCACCGCGCAATCGCCGTTGCACCCAACCAGCAAGCTCCAAGGGAATCAGAAAAAAACAAACGAAAAGGCCCCTCTTCCGACAGAGAGCTAGCTACCTTGTACGACAAGCTCCGTCTATCGGCGCCACATACCTCGGCCTGTCCGGTATCCTCCTGCCTCCAAGGTTCCCTCACACACACACACACTCTCTCTCTGTCTCTCTCCCTCACACACTCTCTCCGCCCCGGCCTCGCCGGCCGCCACTCTCTCTCACACACACACGCGACGCAACCATGCCGGACCACACCCCGAGGAGCTGGTTCGCCGTCCCCGCCCCGGTCGCCGCCCTCTTCCGCCGCTTCCCCCTGGCCGTCTACCCCGCCAACGAACTGCCCGCCCGCTCCCCCTCCCGCGGCGACCTCCCGACCCTCTACGTCTTCGTCGCGGACGACGATGCCCCGAGGGGCCGACCGAGCTTCAACCCCTCGTGTCTAAAGTGGCAGGTCCGTCGGCGCTCCCCCCCCCCTTCCCCTTGTTGCGCCGCAAACCCTCTCGGGTGGGCAAGCCAGCTGACACCTCGGCCCGCCAACCGTAGACGTTCCTCAAGATCGCCGGCGTCGAGTTCCGCATCCTCCCCTCAACGAACCACGCCTCCCCCTCCGGCGCCCTCCCCTACCTCCTGCCGCCCTCCCCTCTCCGCCCGGTAGCCGGCGCCGGCAAGCTCGAGTCCTACGCCCTCGCAAACTCCCCCCTCGCGCGCGAGAAGCGCCCCGCCTCGCCGACCCCCGCCCACCGCCTCGAGGCCTACCAGGCCCTCCTCGACACCCGTCTCCGCACCGCCTGGCTCCACGCCCTCTACCTCGCACCCGCCAACGCGCCGCTGCTGGCGCGGCTCTACATCCACCCGGCTTCCAACAACCCCCTCGTCCGCCTGACGCTGGCGCACCAGGTCCGCTCCGCCGCCGAGGCCGAGGTCCTCAAGGCCACGCGCGCCGCCGTCGTCGACCCGGAGAGGGTCTACGCCGACGCCCGCGCCGCGCTCGAGGCCCTCGCCACCCTGCTCGACGAGGGCGGCGCCGGCGCGTGGTTCTTTGGCTGCGAGGCGCCGACGCTCTTCGACGCCTCCGTCTTCGCCTACACGCACCTGCTGCTCGACGACGGCTTCGGCTGGGTCGACCGCACGCTGCCCGACGTCGTGGCCGCGTTCCCCAGCCTGGTGAGCCACCGCGAGAGGCTGCTGGAGAGGTGTTTCCCCGACGACGAGGGCGTGCTCGTCTAAGAGGCGGAGCAGTATCACAGACGGCCAAGGCGGAGCGGGAGCGGGAGCGGGAGCGGAACAGTGGAAGGGAAGAGAGACGCGAGAGACCCGAGGGGGGTCACCTTTGTATTATAATACCGCAGCAAACACCGTCTGCGGACGACGTCGTAGGCTGAGTGACTGAGCCGACGCAAGCATGCCACGTCAACACCACATAGAATCCTTGCCCATATGAGAGGCTTACAACCCCATCACTAGTCAGGATTGGCATTCCGTGGCTCACGAATCGAGGAAGGGCATCAGGCTGGGGTCCTGTTGTCGATGAGTGTCCCGTCTTTCTGGCAGCATCCGTCTCGTCACCCTTCGCCCTCATTATCCGCCTTTGGGTGGCTGCGATGTGCTACAAGTATATCGGAGAAGCCGATGGCAGCCAGAACAGACGAGCGTCCAACTCAGGGACAGCAGCGTGACCGGGGAACCCAACACTACGAGGCAATCATTGGTAACGTGTTTATTTGTGCAGCGGCGTCCGACGCCCCAAGTGAGACCTATGTAGACTACTACCCTACCCGCCCGCCGCATCACCCAATGCAAGAACCCTCGAAGCCGACTGTAGAGTTGCCATTTCCACTCCGAGACTAAGCCTGACGCCGATGATATGATGGTAGAAAATAATTGGAAAGAAAAGGGGGAAGCGGGGAGCGGAAGAAAAATCATATTCTAAACGTCACACAAGAGTGGAATGCCATCTGAAGTGACCCGACAGCCTTGGGTTGAAGGAGCTCTCTGGAGACGCGTTGCGGTTTCTCAGAGTCGCCAGACCCTCTAAAAAGGCTGGGATTTCGGTATGTCTTCGATGACGTCCTGTAAAGAGACAAAGGCGCCTGGTCCGCCGTTTTCCCGTAGGTCATCCAGCAGTACACTTGTCTGAGCATATATCTTTTCGAGAGCTGCACGAGAGGACTTGCCCAACGACACTGTACACAGTTAGTGATTGGCTTGGCTTTCTCTCCAGATGAGACTTACGAAGGATCGCCGAGTTAAGCTCCTCAGCAACTGCCAGACGACCTTTCCTGTCTAGCAAATGGGCAACGTCTTTCTCCTTTAGAGGGTTTGCGTACGCGAGAAGCGCGTAAATGTCCGCCAAGTGCTTGGTGACCTCTCGCCTGGGGTCGTTCTTGAACTCGGCATGAAGCTCCTGTCCGTACTGTAGGGTCGCTATCTCGAGCTCATTGATATCGAGAGGGGCCTCGGCAGAGTCTTCGGTGTCCATTTGGTCCCATGCGCCATTCTCGGTACCGTTGGCATCAAGGTCCATTGCCTGGGCGCCAGTCTCACCGCTGTGGCCATTGCTCTTCTTCGCCTCCGACGCAGCCCTCATTTCGGCGGCGGTCCGGACCATCTCGATAAACTTGCGGCACCGTAGCCGGAAGTATACCTGCTCGTTATCTTTGAGGACTTGAGGGTAGAATGCGTTGGTGTGCTTAAGTGCTCTGTCAATGTCGCCCTCGAGTACAGCTCTTCGGATCCCTGTGGTCGTTAGCCAAGTCGAAGCTAGTAGGTCGTGTGCAGACTTACGTTGTCGCTTGTTGGCATGTTCGTCGTCCTTGACATTGATGCCCTCAATGGGAGCATTCGGGTCGAGGCTCAATGCCTTCTTTTCGGCATTGATTTCTTCCGCAAACGCTCTCGCCGTTTCGACATAGCCATCGTGCTGTAGGAATTGTAAAACCTGGCTGGGGATTAGACTTATTTATTAACGTGAACCGCTGCAAGGCAACACATACAAGGGCTTGGACCAACTCGGTCTCGTTCATCGCTGGGGCCAGGCTCGCGGTGCTCGTTTGCGAAATATCTCTCTGGATGCGCTCCTTTTCTTTCTGTGAAAAGGTCAGTAAGGCAATTCCCATCATAGCACGAACGCCAAGCCAGTGGCGTGACGGTTCCGCTGTAATCATATCGCGCCACCACAATGTTTTGGTGGTTATATCACAATCACACAGGTACTGCCCTCCACGCACGTCGGTGAGGAGTATCATGAGAAAAGCCGTGGATGGCTCAGTTTGATAGCCCAGTTGGGCGGCCGGATTGCCTGGAATGAAAGGAGGGAAGAAAATGAGAATCGGAGACTCACCGTCATCATACCGTCAATATCGAAGACGAAAGGTGTTTGACCAAAGTTGACACGGACGTGTTCTCCTGACTTCTTGAGCCCAACTGTCGGGTAGAGGCTGCCGGCTTTTCCAACATCGCGGAAGGCGGTGCCTAACAGGTGGCCATTCTTTGTGAAGAAAGCACTGCCAGTCCTAAAATTGACGCCACAGCCGATAACATCAGACGCGGTAAACGAAGGACCGTAGGTCTTTCCGCCGCTCTGACCAGCATAACAGTGGCCGTCGTCACTGTGGTAGCCCCAAGAATCCGTTTCCCAGCCAGGGGGTCTTGCAAGTCCCACCCCCTTGCCAGAGAATCCGATGCCGATGGTCATGCTGTACAGTAAATTAGGATCGTAGCCATACATGCGTACTCGTATAACTTACTCATCCCGCTTGCCCGATAGCACCTGGACCTCGAAGTAGTAGATGCCGCACTGCGGGGGCATAGGGTTGTCGGCACGTATGCAGAAAGCCTCGTGGTCGCGCTCCGTCTGGCCCCTCGGGCCGATATATCTGACCTCGAGGCCGTCGGATAAGATGTCTAGAGCACCGTACTTGTCGAGACTGTTCCACCTCGTGGGTAGTGGGGCAAACGCTTCGTCTTCCTCAAAGGCGGGGGGCTTCTCAATGACATCGTAATTCACTCCTCGATGAGCACCCGGCTTGCTGTGAAGGCTGACGCTGCTTGCGCTCGTAGACAGGTTCCCGCCGGTCTGTGTCTGAGTTGCCTGAGACTCCTTCTGCGCCCGTACTTTTGCCCAGTGTGCTTCCTCCAGCCGCTGAACATGTGCCGAGCCCGCCAGATAGGACGGGACGAAGAAACCGCTCCCACTCGCGCTGCCAGAGCCTGCAGTATCACCTGAGGGGTTCGCCATGAACATATCAAAAGCTCTCGAAAAGGAGGGGAGCTGGCCACCACGGGACGGCCTCACGGACGCACCATTCAAGCCGGCGCCGTTCCTGTCCGCGTCCATGTCGTCGCTCCTGCTCGGGTCGTAGTAGCCCGAGGCCGGCTCGAAGGTGATATCGTCGGAGTTATTGAGGATTTGGGAGATGACCGAAGTTCGGCCGGGATGCGAGAGGTAGGGCGGGTTATAGTTTGGTGGTGCTCCCGAGACGACCGAGGCGTATGAGAAACGGCGCGGGAGAAGACCAGAGCTTCCCGCGGGTGTGTTTGGGTCGGTATAATGTGCAGAACCATGGAACGGGTTCGTCATGGTGAGGGGTCGAGGTTCGTGAAGGGGTCGGCGGGCTCGGCGCACCTGTGGCGTCTCGTACGCAACGGGAGCCCCGAGAAGCCGTAATCGGAGCTTCTCAGGATAAGTCTCCGGCGGCGATCGTGTGTCCCTGCCCTGGTGCCGACGTTCGAATCTTGGGTGGGTCGTCAAAGGTGGTCGGTCTTGGGGACGGCAAGGTCGACGGGTGCAACGGGCAATCGGCCTCCAGATGACGTGCTGTGACGGAGGCTCAGGTCGTGTCGCACTATCACGAGGGGCGCGGAGATGGTCAAACGGATGGATCCGGGTCGTCAAGGTTTACTTCGCTCTACAAGATGAATGCAACGGCACGGAAGAGACGACACGTCGAGGATGCTAAGATGCGGCGCAGGACAGCTCGATTCTCATGATACGGCAGCGATGAAAGGTCGAAAGATGGGGGTTGATTGAGGTCAAGTCGGGTGCTATCGCTCTGTGGAGAACGGGGGGGCGGTACAGAGTGTACCGGCAAGGTACTGGGTGCTGGTAAGGTACGAAAGGTAGAGGAGACGGAGACCAGTGGAGGTAAGGTTGAGTGAGCGCGAGGTGGTGGTGGTGGTGGTGGTGGACGGAGCGTGTGGAGAGTTGAGTTGCATCCATGCGAAAGTCACAGTGCAGGAGCGCTGCGGTGCAGTGCAGTGACGGAGGTGAGGTGAGGTCCAGCGCGCGGACGAATAATAGACGGGGGTGTTTTGCTGAGACTCGCTGGGCCTGGCCTTGTCCCGAGCGTGTTCGCCGCCGTCGTCCCAGTCGCCAGACGCCGCTAAACAATCACGAGAGCAGGTCATTGTTAGAGGCTAACCAGCCAGCTGAGGCGCCAAACGGGGTGGCCAGTCACAGCAGGCGCCGGTCCGCAGGATCTCCCCCTAACTGCGGGCAGGCAGGAGTCGTCAGGGATTTGACACGGTGCTATCGGAAACTAGCTTCTCTACCCACTGTCCCCTGCCTTTCTGGGTGCTGGCTTGTCTTGGAGTCGAAACACCAGCACGAGAAGAATCCATTCCATGACACGACGAGAGAGCGACGGGCTTGTCCTATGGGAACCGGAATAGTCCCTTTGAGGTCTCTACGAGACTAGTCAACCACATCTTGGTCAACAAAGGGCAACCCCTCGAGTGAGACGCTGACTGTGAGACTCTCAAAGGAAGAGGGCCGGGAAACGTTGTCGTCATCCAGTATGCCCACACTGTACGTACGCTGCTGCCGGGGAACGAGCGACCGACATGCCTGACCCGCGCCTTGCCTTAAACAGCCAGCCAGTCCAGGGCGGACTCTGCTTATGTGATATCACGTGCCTGACACCAACCACCAACGTCTCTTTTCCCGGCCTCGTCCATCATATGGAGGCAAACAGGCTGGATGGGGGGATCACGAAAGGGGGGACCAATGCTTTTTTTCCTTCCCTTCTTTTCTTTGGCGCATTTGACCCATGGTGGGTTCCCACATGTCTTCGGTCGGCAGTAAATCACAACAGCAATACCACTCCGCGCCCCCAATAGTTCCTCTCATCTCTTGAGCACCATCGTCTTGGTTTTTCGATGCACTCGAACAAAAGGAGTCAGAACGAAACCCTGCGGCGCGCCCGGGGTTGCACCCGCCAGTCGCCCATGGTCAATGCAAGCGATCTGCAAACTCAACTTGCGTCAGCACTCCCCTACCATTCCACCAAGCTTCATCCACGCATCGCACGTTGATTTCATGGTCCTTCTCCGATTTGCGCGTGACTTTCATCTTTCCGAGGGCTTCGGCACAACCCAACCGGCCACGTTTGCCGAATGAAACTATTTCACAGTTGCATCGCGCACACCTTCGTTTGTCACGGACGACGCTTTTGCGTGAGAATGACATTAACTGTATCGCCAGTCGAAATCTCTCCGCGCTTGCACCAACTCTGTAATATACACTCTGTGCCTCCATTCCGGGCAAACGCCGCTCTACCCTTGGCAGCTTCCGCGCTGAACCAAATACCTTGTGTCCGTAACGCCGGCGGACTAATGCCGCATGAGAAGGTCTGTCCAAAAGACCGCAAAGGCGACTTGTGCCTTTATGAATTGCTGCCTGTTCGAGACCCTGTCCCTCCCCGATTCCTCAAACTCCAAGCTGTTGTGTACATGGATGGGGTAGACCACCTCCAGTACCCGTCAATAGCATAAAACAAATGAGATAGCGACGAGCCGGGCGTCTATGAAGCGGCGGTAATGGCCATCGGGGCCGGCGAGCTCGCCGGGACACTACCCGGTGCGCTCCGCATCTCCACGTCGGCGCCGCTATTGGCGGCGCTGTTGGCGTCGCTCTTGATCTGGTCGTTTTCCTTGTTCTCCTTGGTGCTACTATCGGCGGAAGCTGCAGCAGAGTCTTCCGTGTTGGAATCGGGCACAGTCTTGGGCGGCGCGACCCACCGGGGGACCTCCCAGACGATGCCTGTGAAACTTTTGAGTGTGAAGCCGCCCTTCGCCCACTTGCGACAAGGCTTGCCAGATCGGTCGAGAGCTCGCAGGCCGGCGTTAATGGCACCCTGGTTTGCCTTGGGTCCCAGCTTGTGCCCACCGGCACCAGCACGGGCATTCGGATCGATTGTGCCATCCTCACTGTAAGAACAAATTAGCATGAATCGACGTAGCCAAGTCGCGAAGGAGTGAACATACAGTCTCGCCTTCTTCTTAGGTCCTGGCTTGCCTCGGACCTTGGGCTGTCCATCGGGGCCAAGTCCGTTGACGGCACCAGCGCCACGCTTGGTACCCTTCTTCTTGACTCCCTCCGTGGGGGGTCCCATTGACGTGGGTGCAGGAGTGCCGTCACCAGCAGGCGTGCCGGGGTTCGAGTCGGATGCAGTCTCGCCGTTCGTAGCGATGGGGGCAGGCAACGTCGTCGACGTGGCGGGCGAGTCCTGGGATTCTTGTGTCTCCTTGGTTCCATTTGCTTCCTCGATATCCATCTTGACTGGCGAGTCCTCCTTGACAGGACTGGGGTCGAGGATCTGCTTCAACTTGTCGGCACTGACGATAAGGGTGATGACGAGGTCGCCCTTGCCTCCATTCGACTTGCGTCGGCTGACAGATGGGGTGGAAGACATTTCGATGGGATCGGCTGTTGTGTGTGATGAACAGAGTAGATGTGGGTTAGGCGTAAGGGGAAAAGGCGAAGAGCTGGAGTAGTTCGATGGGCAGGCGGCGGAAAGCTCAAGAGGGAGTGGTGGCTTTGTCGGAGACAGCTGCTTTGATGAATGGGGTGGCGGCCGAGCCAGTCATCCAATGGGCCACGAGTGGTGATCTGGTGGGTAATGGATGGGCAAGGTTGGTGGGCGGTGCGTTGCGTTGCGTTGCGGTGCGGTTGGTTTTGGTGAGCGATGCGATGCGGTACGGTCTGTCTGTCTCGTCGGTGGCAGATTATTTCGCGTTGGCGACTCGCACAGTCGACGGCGAGGTGATGATGGCTTGGGTTGGCGATGGATGGAATGGGAGGGTGGATGGGAAGACGAGATGGGAGGAGAGAGAATTTTTATTTTATGGGGGAGTCCATCTGGTAAGTTTGGCGTCTCATTTTCGAGGAGAGCGCCAGACCAGGCGGCGTGACAATAAACGGTTCTCATGCTGGGTTGGGTGCGGTGCGGTGCTGGGTGCGTGGTGCTGGGCTCTCGCTCAAGAATTGACCTCCAGCTTTCGCTTCCTCTCGCGCACCTGCCACACTGCGCAGCAGCACCGCGGGCAGTTGTGGGTAAGGAAAAGACCAATGACCTTGGGGGGCCCGTGGCCCGGCCGGAAAGGGATGGGCGCACGGGTGGAGTTTTTCCCCCTTCCAGAGGTACAAAGGTACATCCATTCCTTCCTCCGCCCATTTTACCTGCACCTCGAGGCATGATACGTACCGCGGTACCCTCCGCCGGCCGGCCGGGGGCCATCCACGCACCGCGCACCCTCTCGTCAACTCAACTCCCGCCCTTCCTGGCTGATGATTAAATGCATCTCACTGGATCTTGGGCCTTGGCCGGCCTCTGACCTCAGCAGAAACTGGGAATAGGAAGCTCAGTAATACATACACCACACACACACACACACACACACACACATACACACACACTTGTTTTTTATTCCCCCCCTTTCTACCTTTTCTTCTCCCCGTCCGAAGCCCCCCTCTCTGTGCCATGTCCCGTCCTTTTCCCGGCCCTGGTCTTGTCTTTGCTTCACTTTTTGTTCGCGTCGTGTCGTGCCTCAGGCTGGGGCTCATCGTGTATCCTCATCCTCCCATCTAAATCATCCCGTCTGCCTGTCAGGGTGAAGGCGAAACACCTCGATACCTCGCGACATGGCCCAGCTGCCACTTACCCATTTGAGCATGGCTTGACTCGAAAAATGGCGATAGTACGCTACATTTTGCTCTCTCCACAGTACCTCTCGGGACACCGGACAATGATCCATGGCCCCTTCAGACTTTACGAACGGAGTATTGCGAATTATTTCCCTCAGGGCTATGGCACATGCTACGTCGCCACGCATCCGCAACCAACAACCCGGATTGCAGGACTCCAGATCGTTTTATCTTCTTGTTCCGCACTGGTGATGCTCTCTGAATGATGCATCCAGCCCAATCCAAGTGTCGATCGCGAACAAACAGCTACACCCCTTGACTATGTCCGGAGCGTTGACGATCGCTGTCGAGATGGTTGTTGCGGACGCACCCTGTTAGAGTATCGGTGGATTCAACAGGTTCGGACACTGGACGAGGATCAAGGGGACAGCAAACAAGTCTCAAACTAACACAATCCCCAACGGCTCAGGTCCACGCTTGGCTGGCGCACTCCAACACTTTGTCCAGGGCGGCCCAGAACTCTGAATTGGTGATGGCGACCTGCAGGTTTCCGGCTCAGCCTGGAAACCCCTTGAACCCTTCGTGAGTTACAAACTTTAGGTACCCGAAGCCCTCGCCTGTCATCAAGTCGCTTCGTAGATTATTGCGTCCACTGCATCCTGAGGCCGCTGTGACCGAGAAAGACACAAAAGGTGCACCGCCCACCTTCAATCAAGCTGCTGCGACAACGGCACTACCAATGAAGAGGCAATATCTCAGGACCCAATACCAGCAGAATGACGGGCGGGCTCAATCGTGAAGAACGGTGTCCAACCGAACTTGACTTGCAGCAAGCTGGATAGGACTCTGTCGGCTCTGATTCGGACGCCCAGTTGACCGAGACACCAGCGTAATCTGCCTGCCTCATTTCGACATGCGAAAGGGGCCGTCTCTCTGGATAATTACGATCCACTCCAAGGGGGGGCTTCACAGCTACAAATTCCTGCTTACTACTTCACCTTCCGGGACTCTGTCTGTGTTGAGAATGAAAGCAGACATTACCATTTACGCCATCGGCGCCAGCTTGCAGAAACCTCTGGTTGGCAACCCGGAGATGGATGCCCTAAAGATGTGGAAAGGGGGCAACGAAAACCTCCCGCATCTGCCGTAGCCACAGTCCCTGTCAGATGGATACAAAAATGCTTTCGACCCGAACTCCAATTCCACCCGACGAGGGCCAATCGTACATCCGAGGATCAGACATCCCAACCCGGCACCTACAAAAACACAGAAGCCAAGTGGCGCAAGCCCGGATGGAGATGAGACCAGAGCTCAGCACCGGTGAATCCACCCAACTCCCCAGTCGCCTGGTTCCTACGGAAGAGAAGCAAACGAGCATGCAGTTAGATTAATAGCGTCCCATGCCAATCCATCATCGTTGCACCTTCAAGAGTCAAGAAGCGGAAATGAAGAGGCGAGCGCTACCATGACCGATCTGTTATCAGTTTATGACCAGGGAGAGCGGGCTTTTGCTTGTCAACCCCGACCGTAGAAAAAGTGTCACGTTTGGCATGCAAGAAAAAGATTCCAACGGCGAATATCCTGTCCTTGTTTCAACACAATCGGGCGACCGCTGTCGGTATTCACCGCTGGAGCATCTTGTCAAACTCGCGTTTGATCCGTACCACAAGCGCATCTCAAGATGGCTATCTTGATCATGTATCGCTATCGCTCAGGGTCAATCAATCAACCATCGTCACGATCAGTATGAACGGGAACTCGTGCTGTCGTCATTCCAAAGTCAAACTTCGTTGCGTATCCATCCCCAAAACCACCCTGCACCGCTCCACAGCCAGGAGATACTTCCGTGAACCGCATCATCACCATGACTCTTGCGTGCCACGCTTTTTGCTTTATCATCCCGACCCACCATCCCAGCAGCTGCCGAAATAACCGAGGGGAAGGGCAAGTGTCTTGCGCCAGCACGTCTATGGAGCTCCAGAAGCAATCCGCCCGCGCAGTCATTGAATACCAATTATTCGAAAGACATACAAGCGTTGTCGTTCTCAATGACCGCCCACTGTTGATTCGTCATTGACCGAGAGACGATGCCACAAGAGGAATGCAACCGTATCAGCGGCTATGAAACGATCACTGGAATGCGTTGCTATTGTTTGGCTGGTCGCAACGCCACAAAACTATATCATGAGCTCCAGAAGTCTCGATGCTGCGGCGTCTGACGGGTGCATCATCCCTTACCACTGAACATTCCAACATGCATTTCACCAAGACTATTCTTCGCGTCTGTGTCGCTTTACAAGTCGTCTTCCAGGGCGCGTCCGGTGCGATCCTCCGTGGACGGACTAGCGGTGCTGAGTCCGCTCAGCTTTCAGCAAGCGACCTTGATACGTTGAGCCTAGCTGCCGAGGACCTCGATAATCAAGTGGACAGCTTTCTAAGGAACTGGGGCGGTGGCCATCGCAAACCCGACATTGTTGAAATTGCGAACCTCGCGAAGAGGCAAGCCAGCAGCATCCAGATCTCCCCAGAGGACCTTCAGAATCTCCTGAAGCTCATTCAGTCCATTGAGCGGCAGCTTGCGGCCATCATTGCGTCTGGAGGTAGTTCGGCAAGCGGAACTGCCTTGCCACCTCCGTCCGGCACGGTCAGCAACCCGGATCCGACCAGTTCGTCGCCGGTGCAGTCAGACGTACAGCCGACCGCCACTGGAAATGACCCAGCCGGCTCCGGTGTAAGTCCCTCTACCCCCAGTCCCTTTCTAACACCCAGTACCTCAGGAGATAGCGAGCCCCTTACCACAGCGTATGTGACATCGGTTACGACCAGCTCGCGATGCAAGACGACAGTCACTCAAACCTTCACTGAATACGTGTATGAGGACGGTTCATCGGCGGTGCCCCGAGTCGTTCGGTCTGCAGTCGAGGTCGACGAGGATGAGACCGAGGACTCGGATCCCGGTACATCACAGGATCTCGAGCAAGACGACGATTGGGAGCCTTGGGTCGAGTTTGACGGAACGACGGTAGAAGAGGACGGCTCGGATGTTGGATTCACTACGCGCAACACCTGGGCTTCCCTGGGGGTGACACGTCGTGATCCGGGAGGTGTCCCCGCCAATGCTGAATCCCTCTTCGTTCGTGACGAAGAAAATCTATGAGAGCTGGCTTCTGGCCCAAGGTAAGCTCTCTACCTTCCATGCGAAAAGCATGTTTGCTCACGATGTGCAGTGCATCATGGCTTGGAAAATCTTATGATGAACAAGAATGGACAACGTCGGACAACGATGAAAGAATTTTATGAATGACTTTTACGACTTTTTACGACATTCATTTAACGCAAAAAGATACGAGGAGCACTCGGTACCGGGGGGGTGGCTGTTGTCTCTTTCAGCAAGACTCGAGACGGCTGGGAAATCACGGGTCATGTGCCGCGTCTTCAACAGACGGGCTCTTCCACTGGCCTATCACAGAGCATTCATTAATTACACACTGCATTTTCTTATCGGCTTAACAATTGTCTTCCTCATATCTGTGTGAAACCTGTTAGCGTCTCAGCCAATTCAGCCCGGGTCCGTGTGCCAAGAGGCCGGAACGGTTCCGGCCACGCCGGCCATAATCGGTAGAAAAGCGGGGCCCGCCAAATTCATTACTCAACCACTCTCCAACTCCAACTCGCCTGCACCGGCCTCGCAGAACCACAAAACTCGGCATCTCGAGCGACAAAACACCTCACCAACGCCGAAGAAGAAAAACTTTATCAAAGTTTTCTGCGTCTGTCCAGAAGAAGGATGCCAGCTGGTCATATGGAGCCCGCGATGGGGCGCGTCTGAGATGCGGCAGCCTGTAAGGTGTAGAGGAATGCCGCTTATCACGGTCGACAAGCAGATGCAAGGGCTTGGCTAGCAGAAAGGGGGGGAGCAAACCCTTGGTTCTGGTTGTCCAGATGAGCCCGTGTGACCAGAGAGATTAGGATTGATATGACAAACAGAAATGGGACGGGCACGGCGGACGGGGTGCTTCGTGTCATGCTCTGCGGCCGGAGTGAAATGGGCACCCCCTCACTTGAGGCCGGAATCGATTCCGGCCACGAAGTATATACACGGCGCCGAGTGGCGGGAAGCCAGAAATTCCAACTTGCACTCGCACCCATCCAACGTCTGCACCGACAAAGCACTCTCTGAGCTTTGCAGCAATTATTTGTCATTTTTTGCGATTTTCCCCCGTTCTTCCACACACTCATATCACTTACACACAATCCATCGAGTCGTGTAAGTCAACTTACACGAACGACTCTATACCCAAACCCCCAAGCCTAGTCATTCATCACACACATATACCCAAACACAGAACCACTACACCACCATCAACCCATAACCCGCCATCCCAACCCACACACTTTCTCCTTTACACAACCCGGCCCTGCACCAACTTCACCCCACGCGTTCCACTGACCCCGGATCTTCTTTCACAATGGGATCGATCGACTCCACCCCTTCCCTGTCCTCGAGGACCCCCGTCCCGAGGACAACTCCCTCCCAGCCTTCATGGTCTCCACTACCCGCGGCTTCCTCCCCCGCGCGGACCCGGTTGCCGTTCTGCCTGCCGAGTTCGCCCCGCTCGAGGACATACTCTCCCGCATGCCCGTCAAGAAGCTCGACGGCACGCCGGGTCTGCTGGCCTCGTCCAAGCTGGGCGAGACGGTCGACGCCGAGTTCCCCGACCTGACCCACGCCATCGACCAATACAAGGATAACCTGCCGGTAAGTGCACACGCAACTCAGTGCTTCCGTTTCTTCGTCTGACCATGGAAACAGTTGATGAACGCCCTGTACCGCGACTACTCGTTCCTCGCGTCTGCATACCTGCTCGAGCCCTGCCATGAGCGCTTCGTCAGGGGCGAGGGGTACGGCCTCGCGAGGGACCGCCTGCCTAGGAACATCTCGATGCCCATCGCACGCTGCGCTGAGCTGTAAGTCTACGCTCTAATCCGTCTCTCTATTCCCACGTCCTTCCTCTTGCCTCCTTATCCCAACCACTGCGACTTGCCTCATCGCAACCGCTAACAATATCAAAGCACCGGCTTCAAGCCCTGGATGGAATACGCCGGCTCCTATGCCCTCTACAACTACCGCCTAGAGGACCCGTCCAAGGGTCTGGAATACTCCAACGTCCGCCTCATCCGCGCCTTTGAGAAGGGTCTAGACCCGACCTCCTCCGAGGCCGGCTTCGTCCTCGTTCACATCGCCATGGTGAAGCACACTGGCGGCCTGGTCAAGGGCACAGTGGACGCCCTTCGCTCCTCAGCCTCCCCCGGCTCGCCCCTGGACCGCGCGGCCCTCAACCGTGGCCTCTCCGAGGTCCTCGCCGCCCTCCGCACGATCAACAACACCATGGAGACCATGTGGGACAAGTCGCGGCCGCAGAGCTACACCAGCTTCCGCACCTTCATCTTCGGCATCACCAGCCAGAGCATGTTCCCCAACGGCGTCGTCTACGAGGGCGTCAACGACGACAAGCCCATGTCCTTCCGCGGCGAGTCCGGCGCCAACGACTCCATCGTGCCCCTCATGGACAACCTCCTTCAGGTGCCCATGCCCGACACGCCCCTCACCGAGATCCTCAAGGACTTCCGCTCCTACCGCCCCAGCAACCACCGTCAGTTCTTGCTGCACGTCAAGGACCGCTCGCTCGAGGTCGGCCTCAAGGACGCCGCGCTCGCCACGAAGCTGTCGGCCGACGGCCTCGCCGAGGACGAGAGGGAGGCCGTCCGCGAGTCCCGTCGCCTGTGGCTCCTCATCCTGCACCAGGTCCGCGACTTCCGCTGGCGCCATTGGTGCTTCGCGCGCGAGTACATCCTTAAGCGCACATCCCACCCGACGGCGACCGGCGGCAGCCCCATCGTCACCTGGCTGCCGAACCAGCTCGAGGCCATCCTCGTCGAGATGGAGGACCTGTACGAGGCCGTCGGCGGCGGCGTCAAGGGAGACTGGGACCTCGGCGAGGAGCTGCGAGACGTTATGGACCTGGTGTCAAGACAGAAGCAGACGCTGCGCAAGGAGGTGGCCAAGTACTGCGCCGAGCGCGGTGTCAATCCGCACACGTCGTCGTAAACAAAGGAGCTGCGGGCGCAGGTTATCGCTAGGAGGGGTTGTGGTACATAGAGTCTCATGCAGAAAGACAAAAACATACGTATCCAAAGAAATCTCTTATTGTTCAAATCAATCCATCACCGCCCGCGCGCTACGCCATCGTATGACTCTCTCTGCCTTACGGGCGCGCTAAGGGCCGGAAGTGATGTCTTAACTACTCAAGGCCTTATCCATGCTCTTCCTCCACTTGGGAGCGTTTCTCCTCAAGGTCCAGACGCAGATGTACCCCGAAATCCACGTGAAAATGCCCAGAATCGTAAACAGCCACCCGTTCCCAATGGCGTTGATAACGGGTTGTGCAGCAATCGCACCAATACAACTGAAGATGTTTCTCACAAAGTTGTTGACCGCCACGCCGCCCGAGCTCCGCTTCGGCAGGAATTCCGTTAGCATGGTGGTGGCGGCGCCACTGCAGGAAGCGATGTTAGCCGAGCCCGAGTGATGATAAGAAAGCAGAGCCGGCAGAAGCCTGCCGTAGACGACTGCCAAAGAGAAATCGGGGGACGGGGAAACGTACAAGACGAGCATGGAGCTGGCTCCAAACGTGAAAAGACCGATACACGGCACGAACCAGAAAAGGCCCTTCTCAACCACCCAGCCGTAGTAAATCAGCGATGCAGGGTACACCGTCGCAGCGATCCAGATATTTTCGCGCATCCTGTCCTCCGGAAGCAAGATCAACTTGCCGTTGGCGTCGTAGCGACCAGCCTTCTTGGCCTCCCTCGCCATGATGACGTCAAGCCAGCGGCCGCCGAGCAGCGAGGCCATGAAGTATCCCAGCCCCGCAGGGAAGTAGAACAAGCCGACAATGAGCTCGCTGAAGCCGTACGGCGCCTGCGAGAGTGTAGCCTGCACTGAGATGTTGACTACGAAGAGGGCACCGAAGGTGATGGCGGCGAAGAAGACGGTGATGGCGACGGGCGGGAAGCGGAGGTAGAGCAACACTGAAAGAGGGTCGACGAAGGACTTCTTGAGCAGCGCCGCTGCCTTCTTGGAGTGCACCTTGACCGACTCGGCCGTCTTCGTCCGGGATAGTGCAATCTTCTCGCCTTCGGATGCGGCGCGCGCCGGGGCCGGCGGCTTAGGGCGCGCCAGGGTCTCGGGAAGGCAGAAGAGGATCATGACGAGGACTAGGCCGCCGTAGATGGCCAGCGCCCACATTGTTGACTGCCAGCCGAAGCGCTGTGATAATGCTCCGCCAATGATGGGCTAAAAAGGGTCAGAAATCCAAAAGCGTCACTCGATGAAAAGGTGTAAGTGGACTTACAGCCAGCAGGGGCCCAGTCAGCGGACCAAGATAAAAGATACTCATGGCACGGCCTCTTTCGCGTGGCTCCCAGATGTCTGCGATAGTACCGGCTCCGACAGCCTGGACACTTGCGCTTGCACCGCCGGCGAGGAGGCGCATTACGATGAGCATGCTGATATTCACACTCACGGCGCTGAGGATAGAGAACACAACGAAGAGGGTAAACGACAACAGGTAGATGGACCGGCGACCCAAGGTCTCTGAAAAGGACGACCACCACAACGGGAAGATTGCCATCGCCAGCATGTAGAACGCTACAGACAAGTTCGTAATGGTAGTTGAGACACCGAATTCCTTGGCCATCTCCGTCAGAGCGGCTTGTGCATGTTAGTGGTAATTTAGACCGAGGGCTTGGGTTATGTAGCTAGCTTACGGTAAAAGATGGATGATCCCATAGGAGAAACGGCGGCGGCAAGAGCGATGATCAACGTGATTGTCCATTTCGTCTTGTTGGTATAATTATATGGATTATCCACTTCCGGGATGGCGGCCAACTGCGCAAAAAGCCCACGTCTCTTGGATCTGGCAACGATGGAGAGGGCGCGGGAGCGGGTGGAGGAGGCCCGAGACCGCGTTCTCGCTGCGGCTGATGGATCCCCGCCGTCCGGCTCGGTGCCCGGGGACGGACGGGCCCTGTCCCCATCCCGGCCAATCTCGGTGATTTCGTCCTCGTCGCTGTCGCTCGATTGACTCTGCTCATCGCTGCGACTACGACTGTCCTCTGGCGGAAACGAATCCTTTTCCGGGTCGCGTGATGTGGCGGCCATGGTTGTAATGCCGAATCGGTGCCGAAGTGGGTTCCCCTGCAAGGTCCACGTTCAATCTCTAGGCTGGAGAGTTGAGGCAGACGGCTAACAAGAACAGGTACAGAGGACGAAAAAGGGAGCTTGGACTTCAAGACCCACGACAAAAGCCAAGATGGAACATTTGGAAGAATGGGAGAGGAGCGCAAGCATAAATGACGACAGAAAGTGCCGGGGCCTGGCCGTCTTTTCAGTCGGGTGTTGTCCGGCTTTCCCACCCCACGCACCTCCCAGGGCTGGTCATGATGCTAGCCTTTTCATAGCAGTCATCCAAAAGCTCCTAGGTCGGGTACCGTTCCGCAGTGGAGTGGATCGACACCGCGCTCGGCTCTGGGCAGCCGATGTTTCGAGCGCGAAAAGATGCCTCGGCGGCTGCTGGGCGGGGCGATGGACCAGTATGACGGACATTCGAGCCCGCCAACCTGGGAGAAGAATGAAGCAGTGTGCAAAGGGTATGCGAAGGACGGACGGCGCGCAGTGATCGAATGAAGCACTTGCGAATCATACTGGCAAAACCCAGAGGGCGGAAGTTCGGCACTGGCCGTTGGCCTAGCCATCTCCCGCGCCATCTACCGCATAGGAGCCCGGTTTCCGTGCTATATCCGCTTATTAAAAAGCGCTGCGGTGTCGGCAACGAGAGGTGTGACTACCGCCAATCTGGCAGGCCCGAATCTTTTCGGCTCGGTTCTTATCGAAGGCTTGCTCGTTATCAGGCGGAACGGGCAGCTCCCGCACCTACTGGGCCCTAGTAAGGTCGGGGAAGACGGACAAACCTGCCCATCCCACCCCGCGCGTGGCTGTCGCGGAGTGCATATGTTGCTACCTATTGCCTGCATGCTTGACAGGCTTTGTCACGGAGATGGGATCCCTAAAAGCAGAAATCTCTGACACACGGAGGTGAGATGAAGGGCGGATGAGCGTCGCGTGGGAACTAGGTTGATGAGACAGGGCAGAAGAGAGGAGGAGGGCTCGATGGATGCTGTTGCCGCAACATGCCTCGGCTACCTAGAGTGTCGCGGAAACCCCGACATCAAAGAAGAAGGCAGCCCTTCATGACTCGAGGTCGCCGCCGCTATGGTTGCATTCTCCATGACAGGCAGATAGTAGTTGTACTGACAGGAGGTTCGAACAAGCAGAGTGGCGCCGAGGCAGTGTCAGAAGCCAGCCAGGGACCGGAGATGGTGGCAAGGTCGCATCTAGGCTGGATACAGAAAAATATGCAATGTCAGTAACATCTTCCCGGCCAGCAAGACTTTCAGTGGGCCCGTTTGGCACTGCAGACCCCTGTTCATTATTTGAGACCATAAACAACGAGCTTCCCAAAAGAGTTGAATGATTCCCGTATTCAAGGTATGCCTTATACCGAAGCGATGTAGTTGAATGAGTCTCTCGCAATTGCCATTCTGTCTGTACGTGTTCGAATAAGGTTATGCGGTTGACATGTCATCAATTGGATTGATAGAAATTAAATTCAACTCAACCTTGTTAAACTGAGCACACACGCTGTGGCGCCCTCCCTCTTTCCCACTCCGAGTGCGGGGCTCCAAATTTTCATAGCGAACATGCTGCCCGCCATGTGGCACAAGCTCTTACCAGCCAACAAGACTAGGTATAGCCGTGAGATCTCATAGTTGACTCATACGACTTATATCTGAACCTACTTGTAAGTGCAAGAAGCCTTGCACTTTGAGCACCGCGAATCCCCCCAGTCTCACATCTCACCGGGAAACTCAACCAATCCGGTCTGCAACCATGTCCCTCACCAACGCCTCCCCCGTCGACGCCGCAAAGGGTGCGAAATCGGCCTCCCACACCCTCGCAACCCTCCCTGCCGAAGCCCGCAATGACGCTCTCACGGCCATCCACGCCGCGCTCGCTGACGCCAAAGATGAGATCCTGGCCGCTAATGCGCGAGACCTGGAGCTCGCCCGCAAGGCTGCCGCCGATGGCCAATTGAGCCAAAGTCTGGTATCCCGCCTGGATCTGGGCAAGAAGGGCAAGTTTGAGGATATGCTCAAGGGCATCTTGGATGTGCGTGGGCTTGAGGACCCGGGTATGTGTACTCATCAACGACTCGACTTCCCTGCACTTATCTGACGCGACCTAGTTGGCAAGGTTACTCTGAGAACCAAGCTGGATGATGGTCTCATCCTGGAGAGGGTCACCTGCCCTATCGGCGTCCTTCTCATCATCTTCGAGGCTCGCCCTGAGGTCATCGCCAACATCGCCTCCCTGGCCATCAAGTCGGGCAACGCCGCCATCCTGAAGGGAGGCAAGGAGTCCACCGAGTCTTTCATCGCCATCTCCAAGGTCATTTCCGCCGCTCTCGACAAGTCCAAGGTCCCCAACTCGGCCATCCAGCTCGTCACCACTCGCGACGTCATCCCCCAGCTCCTTGCCCTCGACCAGTACATCGACCTTGTCGTTCCTCGCGGCTCCAACGAGCTCGTCCGCTACATCAAGGAGTCCACCAAGATTCCTGTTCTGGGCCACGCTGACGGCCTGTGCTCCATTTACCTCACCGACTCCGCCGACCCCTCGATGGCGGCGGGCGTCATCGTCGACTCCAAGACGAGCTACCCTGCTGCCTGCAATAGTTTGGAGACTCTGCTCGTTCAGGAGTCAGCCCTCGAGTCTGTCTTCCCCACCGCTGCGGAGGCTTTGATCGCAAAGGGCGTGACACTGCACTGCGATGCCAAGTCCAAGGCTGTTCTGCAGTCCAAGATCTCGGGAGATGCTGCCGCAAAGGTGGTTGATTCCAAAGATGCCGATTACGACACCGAGTTTCTTTCTCTCGATCTTGCCGTCAAGGTTGTCGCGTCTTTGGATGAAGCCATTGAGCACATCAACACTCACGGTTCCAAGCACACCGAGGTCATCCTCACCTCTTCATCCGAGGATGCTGAGAGTTTTATGGCGGCCGTCGACGCAGCCGGCGTTTACTGGAACGCCTCGACGCGCATGGCTGACGGCATGCGTTACGGCTTCGGCACAGAGGTTGGCATCAGCACCAACAAGATTCACTCCCGTGGTCCCGTCGGTTTGGAGGGTCTCATGATTTACAAGTACAAGATCAGGGGGCATGGCCAGGTCTCTCTGGCGTACGGCGAAGGTGAAGGGCAGAAGCCTTTCAAGCACGAGAAGTTGCCGTTTTAAAATGGAGAATGGACAGGGCATAGTCACTCGGCGTTAGTCAGGCGTTGCGGAATGAGAAAATGAATAAAAAATCAAGCCCGAGGGAACTTTTTTCCCCAATTGGCGTTCCGTGTCCTGTTCGTCCTTCTCTTTCACTGGCGGCAGTGTGTCCGGGTCCGGCCCCACATCAGTCGGAAATCTGCCGGTCCAGTACGGCCCTGACTGCCGAGAAGCCGGAGTCTGACTGTGTCGCACTAAGGTCTATCACAAGCCAAAGGAGCTTTAGATATGGTATTCTGCCCGTAGGTCTCGCTATCTGCTCTAGGAATGTTTGGTGAAGCCTTGGCAAAGTCTTGGGCTCTCTGATGGTACCCCTTTCTGCCCTTGGCACACGCGAAGAAGCTTGTCTCAACATGTTACTTTCACAAGACACTCTCGAGATATCCTTTAAGACAGTTACAATACTGAAAATGACGCCCTGAAAATCAACGGGCAAGTTGCAGACAAAGTGAACAAGAGGGAGGAAGCTGGACCAATGAGAGGGTGATTTGCTGTTCGACGATTCTAAGCGCCGCCCTCTTCACCTGGCGCCCAAAAGAGTTAGAGAATTTCCCCATCCCTCTCGGCGGCCAGCAACGATTGGACGACGGTCCAACATCCCAACTAGCAGCTCAAATTAGAACCTCGATCTCTGAGAGAAGCTCCCAATACCACATGCCATACCACACCATTCTATGCAAGCCAACGGGAAGCTGGGGGCAATGCGGCCACATTTCATGGCCAATCCCCCCGAACCGTGGCAGGGGTCCTGGCGGAGCTCTCTTGCATGGCGCGTGAAGCTCCCTCTTTAATGGCCCTGAGCCCCGAGGCGCCCATTGTCCCTGCGCAGCGAATGTTTCTCTCTTCCTTCGATACTTCTCACTAGCTACTCGGAAGCTTCGGCCGTTCGAATTTCCTCGATACAGCAGAGTTTCTCCCGTGGAACGCGAATCTTACTGTTCGTGTTACTAGCACTTTGCGCCAACAAGCGGGCTGTAATCATTGTAAGTGCGGGGCAGCGATGCGATCCAATGTCGCCAAATTGATGGGCAACTGACTGACTTGAAGGCAGGTCGTCTTACTGTCCTCCTCGACTTCTCCTCGCGTCGCTCCCGCCCGAGACTGCTTATTTACCACTGAAAAGTCGCGATCTCGACGACGTTGTCACAATCCGTGGCGTCTTCTGTGGCCATGTCTGCCCAGTACTATCCCGTGAGTCGCTCATTTACCCCGGCAAGCGGATCTGAATAGCTTGCGCTGACAGCGTTCATAGCTCCCCCATCGGGTGGTACGTCTTCATGTCTGAACAAAGCCGTCGACTGAACCTTTCGCTAACAGAATCCAAGGTCAACCCCAGCAGAACTATCCTCCGCCGCCGCAGTCGCCGCCCGCGAACCAGACCAAGTTCTCCTACCCTGCTCCTCCCTCACAACCTCAGCACGGCCATAGTGGAAGCTACCCTCCGCCACCTCAGCCCTCAACGGGGCAGTCGCAGAACTATCCGCCTCCGCCTCAAGCTTCGCAGGCGCAGAACTATCATCCTCCCCCTCCCCAGTCGAGCACGCCTCAGAACTACCCACCGCCTCCCCAGCCTTCGACCGGACAGAACGCAAGCTACCCTCCTCCCCAACAGGCATCTCCGAGCCAGGGGAGGGCGTATCCGCCACCTCCTCAGGCTACCACGTCGCCTGCGTCAGCCCAGCAATACCCTCCGCCTCCAGGTCTTTCTCAGGGACAAACTCAACAACAACAGTACCAGCCGCCTCCTCAGCAGTCACCAGAGCCGTCCCCCAGCACCAGCAATACCAACAGACACAGCTTCCTTTGCGACAATCGGGAACCCCTGACTCACAACCCCAATTCTCTCCTCCGCCTCCCAACTTCGACGGTCCACCAGAGGCCTCCAGCCTGCCGGAGAAACAGTATGTCGAGGAAACGCCAGTCGACACGAGTAACCCCTCCAACCTCGTGGGTGGCGCGCCCCCCACGACACATTTTATAGGGGCCACGGCAACCGTCGACGACGTTGGCACCTTCAATGGCGGGAGCTACCGCATCAGTCACCGAGACAACAACACCATCCTCACAATCCAGTTGGCCATGGGGTGTCCGTTGCAGGCGAAGCCGGGTGTCATGGTAGCGATGTCGCACTCGATCACGCTCAGGGGTCAAATCAAGTTCAGCATGAAGAAGCTTGTGGCCGGTGCAGAGCTGGCCAGTTCTACCTTTGTTGGGCCCGGCGAACTTATCCTGGCCCCGCCCATGCTCGGCGACATCACCAGTCTGCGTCTTACAGGCAAGGAGACGTGGTCCGTCGGGCATGACGCGTACCTGGCTTCCACTCAGGGTGTCGTCAAAGACTATAAGCGCCAAGGTCTCAGCAAGGCCATTTTCAGTGGGGAGGGGTTGTACGTGTACAAAATTAGCGGCACCGGCTTGCTCTGGCTTACCAGTTTTGGTGCCATCATCCGGAAAGACGTGAGTGAAATTGAATGATCATTACTGCACACCGAGAGCTGACCCTAATCTAGCTCATGGACGGCGAGAAATACGTCGTTGACAACGGCCATTTGGTGGCATGGAACGTCAAATACATTATGGAGCGAGTCGCTTCTGGAGGTTTCATCTCTGGCCTTTCGTCAGGCGAGGGCCTGGTTTGCAAGTTCACAGGCCCCGGAACTGTCTTCATGCAGACAAGAAATGCGGTAAGTTTTCCGTGGTTCATATGACCGTTTGACTATACTGATTTAATGGATTACAGAAAGCCTTCAGCGCCTATCTTACTGGACAGACAAATCAGACCGTGTAATGATGCTTGGAGAGTTTTACTTGGATACTGGCAACTGTGCGGGGTCTTTGTCTGCATTTCATGAGGTGGCCTTGGAGAGCAGATGAAATTACAGATTAGGATGGTGATGTTATTCAGTACTTTTAAACAAGTAGCGTGCTAAAATTGATATCCTCTGCCGTTTCTCCTGAAGTATAGCTTTGCTACTTTGTCAGCAATTACTGGTGCCTTGATGACAGATATGGAGGAAAGAAGTTTCAAAGGTACACATTTGAACAGTGAATGCGAATTTGTACGTACCTTGGGGCAATACCTTTGTCGGGAAGTGGATGCTGTGTGTTTCCTGGGCGCGAGGGATCTGACAGCCTAGAACGTGATGTCGAAGGCACTTTCCTTTCTCTTTTATCTCGCGCAACACGCTGTCCGGCAGGTTTAGAAGTACTCGTGTGACGCGCCACCCTCGTCCAACCTCCCTCCATCATCTACATCCTCCGCCAGCATCACCCCTCACACCATCTCAGCCCCCCCTTTTTGGACACATCTTCGCAGACTTACAGGCTTTTGCCTAGAGCGCATGCTTTTACATCAGCGAGGAAACTCAATCACGTTACAGGTACGCGTGTCGGCTTCCACCAGTGGACCATTGTTGCCTCCCCGTCTCCTGGCTTCGTCGTCCTGCACCGCCCGCCTGGTGAAGAAGCGACACTACCACGCGATCAACTTTGAGTATACTGGCCGAGCAGAAAACCTATCACGCATTCACTGCTGTACACAAATCATTTTTCCTCGTTTCCTTCGTCCACAGGGCCCAAAATTGGCACGCACTGTTTGGTACTCAAATCAACTCACTTGCCCAAATACCCAATCTTTGCACTTTCTGACCGCAACTTTGGCCCTCGACCACGTGCGATCGACAATTACTTCCACAAGCTCTTATGATACGCACATGCCCCGACTGCCTCGCGGAACTACTCACTTGCCAATCTCTGAGCGTCTACGGCTTTCTTCGTCATACCACCAACTTACAGGGTCGTAGACTAGCCTCTGCAAGATTTGGTGAGCCTCCCTCCTTCTTATGCGGCTAAGAGACGAGAACTTCGTTGACTGAAACACAGTCAAAATGGACAAGACCACTGCAGCACTGAGCGCCGCCAATTGGCGGAGACCGAAGTTTCTCCACGACCAACATATCCACCAGATCAAGATGCCTAGGAAGCGAAAGTCATCAACCTCTTCCATCGACTTCGATATGACCAACCCAGCTACTCACTGGCGAAGGTCTGTTACCGGCGCCGATCCTTTGCAGATCGCAACCGACCCAATATTTGGGGACAACAAACATACCCTGGAGGATCTTGACGGCAAGTCCGTGGTTATGACCAGATGTGCTATGGTCAGTGCTGTTCCTGTTCCCAGCGATGGGAGCAAGAGGTCCTTCTAGAAGCAGGATCACACACCCCTCGTTCTGGAGGTGTTCATCCACGAATGCAATGATCCCAGGTGCAAGGAGCACAACGGCCTATTCAACAATGCTGAAATCCGCAGCATTAGAAATGCAACCCGCTTCAGATCACAGACGCGTGATGGCGAAATTGCTGAGTTTGGCAAACACCTGAAAGGTGTCAAAGTCACCCCTCGTAAGTCCTCCATGATGGACCTAACAATGCCTTGCAAGCTTGGGAAAAGCGGCATCTTCAATGGCAATGGCCACTCCGAGGAACCACGGGAACAAGCGAAGCGAAACGAAGCTGGAGTTATATACGACCCAGCTGTTACCGGCATGGTTGACCGGGGTCTGAAGCCGGCGGGCGAAGATTCTATTTCTGGTCAAGCTGATCGATTCCAAGGCCTTCTTCGAAAACTTCAACGCTCTTCACACAATGGTCAGTCGTCTTCAATGGCCAAAAAACCTGGCGAGAATCGTCCAAGGCAGGGTTCTGGTGATTCTGGTGACTCTAGTGTCGACGTCAGAAGCTCAGTGAAGACTCGGTCTCTTAACCCTATGGCAAAGGAGTTCTCAGTGTTTGCCCCCAAGCAAGATCCCATAGTGGAAAAGTCCGAGGAGACGTCTATCAACATTCCACTCTCGATGCTCAGGAAGATCCTAGGCAGCAGTGACCCTTCCAATTTCATCGAGGCCCCTCAGCAGAAACTGGAAGAAATCGTGGCCAACACTATCCAGCGATTTGGCATTCCAGAAGCGCACCAGCAACACATCGCACCGCCCACGGCATTTTCGCCTCTGGTGATAAGTCCGACTTTGCATCCGTCCCTTCAGCGGTTTACTTCACCATGTATCAGCCCAACTTTCGGATTCAAGAACGACTTGACGATGCCTCCGGCTGGCATGTTTCCACATATGCCGGCTGCACCACCGAATCCGTCTGCTGCGGGCTTTAATCCATCTGGTACACCGAGCATGGCTGGAATCCCTCTCCGGCCACCACCGTTCGGTTCGCAATTCAATCAACCAGCTTCCGTTCAGGCTTCTAGATGCGGTCCGTATATGGGTAACTTCATGCCAAATCCTAACTATAGTCGACAGATGGCCGATGGTCCATCGATGACAGACCCTTGGCTTGGTCCGCATCCCGACGCCTCTTTTTATCCAGCGCAACCGTCGATGCCAAATCAGGGGCAAATCTTCAATGCAAACGCAGCTCCTAACTTTGGGCCTGGCATGGGCCCGAGACCCACTCGCAAGCCACGAGTACCTGACGCGTTTGGTCAGCAGAGCTATGAGGCTTACATTGAATGGCGCAAAGCAAACGAGCCCGGATATGCTCTTGAATGCAAGGCACGGCAAGCCAGGCGGGCTCTTCGATCCAATGGTGCGAACTTGCACCTTAAAGGTAGTGGCCCAGCAGCTTAGGGTTCTTAAACATGGAAGGAAAAGGAATTGGGACATCGGGTTCGGGAAGATTCATTTCGACGAGAAAGGTTTGGATTCTCAAGATTCAGGACGAACCACGTTTGTAGGCCGACTATATTTGGTATCGATTACCGGAGATTGGGCAGGGTATATGAAAGACTACTTAAAGTAGGCAGAATTATCTGCCCTCAGACGCCGCATAATCCAACATGGGGACTCAACTCAATAGCTATGGCGGGTCGAGCGATGATGGGAAACTTGGAGCAATTAGCACCAAAGTCTCGGAGCAGACTCGGATTATTTTTGTATGTTTAGGTCAAAAGACGGTTCACTATTTGCTTCGCCCTCAAGCAAGGAACGAATACAAGCAGCAACAGGTTTCCATCAAATATACTGTCCTTGATGTCGATACTCGAACGTGTAGTATCGGCAAGAAGCCATCATCACAGAAAATCGCCCTGGTTTAATAGAAGAATCGATGGACTGCCTTACAGCAGAAAGAGGTGGACGGTAGAAATCATGTTGTTTTTGGTATCTGTGTGCAAAGCTATTCGTTCATCGCCAAAGCCATTCCAGTGCCGGCGTCAAATCATCAAGACCGTGGCGAAGTCTCTGTTAACATAAGAAATTGGTGATGCCTCATCTGAGAAGCCTCCTCCAAAGTCATGGGTCATCATAATATAGACAGGATCCGATCGATGCAACTCAAACGCCCTCAATGCCGTACGCCTTGATAGCGGTTCCGCCAAACAGGGCGGCCTGGTCCTCGGGTTCGAGAGTGGCCATGTAACATGTGCGCTCGACAAGGAGCTTCCACTTACGCCAGGCCTCGTCGACGCCGACGGTGCAGACGGGCCAGTCGCTGCCGAACATGGTGCGGCGGGTGCCAAAAGTGGCGAGGACGACGCCGAGCCAGGGGAAGATGGCCTCGAAGATGGCGTTGGGGTCCTGGCCCTTGAGGGAGTCGGGCATTTCAGAGAAGCCGCCCGAGAGCTTCATGTACGTGTTGGAGCACTTTGACAGTGCGTAGATGGCGGTGCGCCAGTGGACGAAGGAGGGGTCGGTGGTGTTGATAATACCGAGGTCGGGTTTGCACAGGTGGTCTGGGTTGTTATTCGTTAGCAGGTGTTTCACATAAAGATGAGAAGGGCAGGAGGGTGGGAAACTGACTGATGACGAAGGTGACCTTCTCCTCCTCGGCGACACCCTCGTGAGCACGAGAGATGATTTCCAATGCCTCATCGAGCTGCTTGTTGCCGCGACGGTGCTGGTCGATGCCCAGGTCGAAGGTGAAGCCGCGCTTGCCCAGGAGCTTCAGGCTGGCGATGAAGTCGTCCGTCAGCCCAGTGCCGTGGGGCTTGTCCTGCAGCAGGTACCGGAACCCCCTGATCTTGGGCCAGACGTTCTCGCCCGCAACTTCCTTGACGTGGTCGAGGTACTTCTCCATGGCGGCGGCGCCAGAGGGCAGCGGGGCCCAAGGGACGATGCCAAGGCACAAGCTGCTCTGATCGGGCGTGTGGCCCTCGCCGTCACGAGGCTTGCCCTCGGCGATTCGGCGCAGCCAGGCAACCTCCATGAGCGGGAACTCCCATCCCGAGGCGTCGCGGGCACCCGACTCGAGGTCGTGCTTGCGGTCCGTCTCGAGGAAGATGAAGCCCTTGAGGTTTGGCGGTGAGCCGGTGGCGGCAACGTAGTCGGAGACGGAGCGCTGCGTCGCGATGGGGTTGCCCGGCTTCGCCCAGGCGAGCGTCTCGAGCTCCGTCTCAGGGTAGAGGTGGATGTGGGAGTCGACAATGGGGTAGTCGGCGGCCATGGTGGGCTCTTGGGACAGCCGCGGGGCAGTCTTTTGGCAGGTGGGGGGAGTCGGTGTGCGAAGGGTCTTGGGAACGAACGTATTGTCTTGTCTTCGGAGCCCAATCGATGTCGAAGGGTTCTCAAAACAAGAAGAAAAGAAGAAAAAAGGGTCAACGAAGAACTTATCGTGAGCTAGGCAGCTTGTGCAGTAGATGTTTGAGCTAAGCTCGAAGAGTGCGTGGAGAAATAAACCTGAGAAGGAGGTGAAGTCCCCGCACCTGCTCCTGACATCGTGGGGTTACAGCAGTGACCACCCCCTAGTCCCTTCAGCTCCAGTTGGGCGAACGGCAGTCCGATTGCCCCCACCGACCCTTTTTGTGACGCTGCTGGCCCCGCTCCCTTCAGGGGATCTTTCTACCGAGCACCGACGCTCTCTTTTACGGAAGGGGTTCCTGGTCACGGCGGTGGAGACTCGCACCTGCACCGGCCGGCCGACGCCATTCGGCAACCATTTAGCAACTCAGGCATTTTGTATTTACTAACTAGAGTCTCGATTCACAGCAACAAATGCATCATATTTCACAATGGGACGGTTTCGGTTTGTATTCATTCATAAGTAGATTCAATAGGCATCTACTCTTTCCGCCTGTGGCGGTAACTTGGCTGTCTACATAAGGCGGCTTGCCCGGGCCTTCCAAAGCCCAGCCCGGGGCCGCGAAAACGATCCATCCCCAGGAGCGGCAGCGACAGCGGCTGCTGCTGCGCGCTCCTTTTCTATCCCCTGGAGTCTCGGTCCCGCATTCTCCCTTGAGCGGAGGGATGCGAGGATGCTCCGTTGTTGTCAGTGTGAGGACGTGACAAACGAAACGGGAGTTCACGCGCGGCCCGGAGAGGCGGCCGCGGCGCGGGGTCGCAGCATCGACCCACTGGGAACGAGGGGGCGGGCATGCCGAGACCGGCTCGGCCGCACCGCTCCCTCGGTGGATGCAATGATTAGCCGTCGACGAGCGCCGGCTCACTGCCGTCATTAAGACGGAAGGCAATGGCAGGGCGGCATCGCGCGACGAAATGAATGTACGGCCATGTGGGGCCTTCTTCTTCGTGTATTTCTCTCGGTGATCCCTTCCCAGGGCAGGATTGGGCTCTTCATCGGACGACGATGCCGTGGCGGCGGGTGGAGGCGACGTACTCCTCCTCCTCCTCCTCTGAGTCGGAGCAGTCGGAGCTGTCGTCGTAGCCGCAGCGGGCGCCACCACAGTCGATCTTGACGCGGTCTCCCTTGCGGGTGATGCCGTAGCGCTCGCAGGTGCAGGTGCTGACGTCGGAGCCGGGGGTGCTGTAGCCGGACAGGGAAGAGCTGGGGCTGGAGCTGTCTGAGCGGTAGGACAGGCTGGATCCAGTGGAGGAGACGGGGGAGCTGGAGAAGTCGGTGACGATGTCCTCCTCGTCGAAGCCGGCGGCGCCGAAGCGGGCGGTGAGCTCCTCGATGGTCTCGTCGTCGCAGTAGTCGCTGTTGAGGATGTGCTGGGTGGCGTGGGGCGACATGGGCTTGGGGGCCTTGATCTGGGAGACGGAGAGGGGGCGACCCTTGGGGATGTCGCGGGACGAGGAGCGGTGGCGGCTGGACTTGCCGTCCTTGTCCTTGGAAGAGTGGCGGGAGCTGCGGGACGAGGAGTGGGAAGAGGACTTGGAGGACGACTTGGAGCTGCTAGAGCTGCTGGACTTGGAGCTCGACTTGCTGGAAGACTTTCCGCTGGAGGGGACGTCGAGGATGTTCAGCTCGCGGCCGGTGGTGGGCTCAACGGTGGAGGCAACGCTGGGGTTGTGGGCGACGTGGTAGCCGTCGATGATGTAGTAGTACCAGTAGCGCTGGCCGGCGGACAGGGTGGAACCACCGAACTTGAAGGTGCCCTTCCACGAACCGGACTTGGACGAAGACTTGTCCTTGGAGAGAGGGAGCTGGCCGACGTAGTTGTCCCATGAGCCGAGCAAGTGGACGGTCTTGACACCGGAGGAAACACGGAGGGAGAAGGAGAGTTGAGTGGACGACATTATTGCGGTTTTTCGACAAGGGGTGCTGCGATTAAGTGATGATTGGCGAACAATGTGCGTGATGAGCAAGAAATTCCAGATTTCCGTTTATTGGGGAATAAGTTGACCGGCAACTTTGGTGATGGTTGTTTTGAAAAATTGGGTATTAGTTTGGAGTGTGAATTAAGATAGAGACCGGCTCTACGGAAAGAAAAAAGAACAAACGGAGGGAGGAAAACGAGAAACTGGAATTAGTTGTTTGAATGCTTGCTGAAGAAGAGAAAGAGGAAAACAAGACGAAAAGGGAAGATGGGCGGCTTTCATTATATGGTTTGAGCGGCCGTCCTTGGAGGCCAGCACGAGGCCACTGGTTGAGGCCACCACCCTCTTCCTTCCTTCTATCCTCCCCATCTGGTGGGTTCATGAAAAGCCACTCGAGATGCAGTGTCACTCGCGCCGCCCATGGCTGGGGCAACGGAGGACTTGTCAGCGTAGTGGAGTGTGCGGAAGGAGCATCACTCAACGGACAGCCCAATGAGAGGACGGCTGGGAACGACGAGGCTTGTGGATGGTCGATGCAAGCAACCAATATCACACTGGTGATGTGCTCCGCGGCGACGTTGGGAGGATCAGCCGGCCGGGGGGTCCCTCGTCCGAGAATGGGCACTCTGTCAAGCTGTGTGCCTCTCCGAGGTGTGTCTGGCAAATAGGAACGAAAGCGCTCCTCTGTGAAGGGTCCCGTCTTGCCCGTCACCGTCACCTTTCCGTGGTGTCCCCATCTCTTCTTTCATGCTAACAGGTTGGTGCAATGTCTTAGTGGTGCTACCACAAGATGGTCGCCGGGATGGGCCAGGTCTGCAAGCTGGGCGGTTAAGCATGGTGAAGGAGAGGGGTTTCCTGGACAGCGTCGGCGAAAATAGAACGTTGTGAAGGAAAAGAGTGGGTCGGTCCGGGACTAGTCCACGGCACGTCTCTCCGCCCTTTGTGCGCTTTAAGTGGTTCAGAGCCGGCTGTCCTCTTCTGGCTTGAAATGGGCGTCTAAATCCCTGTCATCATCGGCCAATAGCCTACGCACATCGCTCTTCTGTGCCCGGTCGCTTATCACCCATCACCAAGTGATGTGCTGCAGGTCGGGCCAATCAAGCCTTGGATGCTCGGTGCAACTTTGCGAAAGCATCACCAAGCTCACGAGCCTTCCCAGCCCTCCTAATAGCTCCCCTCTCGCGGGGATTGGCTCGTCTCCGTGGGCGCGATATGAGCAGAACAAACAATTATCCAATTCCCGCATGGTATTCGCCGGCCTGGCCGCATCAGAGAGCAGCGAACTGACAGACTGCATCATGCACCGAGTCAACATGCATGCGGGCTGCATGTAGATGCGCAAGCTCTCAGAGTTCGAGGTGCTTCCTCATTGGAGTGATGTCGGTTGACAACTCCCGCCAGCCGCTTGGCCAGGGAAGAACCGAAGATTGCGCAAGTCGGAAGAAAAGGGAGGCAAACATGATGCCAGAAGCCATGTTCCTGGTTCCCTGGGTAACAATGCGGACCGTTCTGCTTACTCCGGTTCGTCCGTTGCTTCTCGTACCTGTCTTGATATCGAAATGTAGCAGATACTCTCAAGACCTGGCAATGTGAATGATTTCAGACCAGCTTATGTTGATGGACCTCGATATGCATTGGCTTGAAAACACGACAAAGTCAATAAACTCCCACAAATTTGGCCTGAAGGAGATCAAACACTACCGAGATCCGGAGCTGGAGAAGACACAGAAAATGTGGCAGCCAACACTAAAGTGCCTGCTTCGCTAACTGTCATGCCCTGGCGGTGTAGGTAGCCTGTCAGTCAACATGGCCGATCGTGGTTGCAGTCCGCCAAGTACAAGCTGCCGTCCTCCGCCTTCGGTCGACATCCGCTCGTCTGCGTGACCTTTGAGCCACCCACACCACACCTCTCTGGATGAGATATGAGAAACGGCACCGTTCTGGCATCCATCTTCAGCGTAGTATCGAGGTGCGTCATCCGGATCCATGCATCCCTAGTCTCGGCGGGTATGTGAGGTCCATCACACACGGACACAATCATGTTCTGCTGATGGGAATGGCAACGTCTGCTGTGATGTTCCCCTCATTGCATCTAGGATCTGGGATCTAGTCTGCAGTTGTAAGGCTTCTGGACCGCGAAGGGCGGTTCATCTCGATCCTCCTTCCATCGTACATTGAGGCGTCTAGCAGCGCCGATGACTTGTGAGCAGGCAGCAGTTCAGGATATCAATGGTGATCTCAGCGGTGATGCCGACAGATGTCTCACAAAAAAGACTGCACGCTGGAAGCGGTCTGACATCAGCGCGGCGAGAATGATGTCGGTTGACAAGCTGGGGGCCGTCTCAGTGCTAAATGTGTTGCGGGCACATCAGATGGATCTGGGGACGTCGTTCCCGACATCTGGCCATCCAAGATCCGTGAAGGTGTGATGAGGTATCTGGTGGGTGACGGGAGTACCTGGCGGGAGACGACGGGATCGTCCGTGAGAGGACCAGGCCATCCGGTTGTGAGCTCCACATTTGGGATGGATCACGTGAATGGTCTCGTGAGAGCGCGTTTCCCTATCGTGAAGTCTTCGAAACGGGTGTGAATTGTTTTCCAGCTTCGCGGTCGACGCGAGTCTCCATTCCTAAACCGGCCGTCTGAGTCAACATCCCCAGGCAGCAGCCCCTCTAATTAATTTGACCCCCCGTTCTATTCGAGAGTGAGCAGAGGAAGCCCCGTCGAAGAGACCGGATTACCAATCCACGAGCGAGAAGTCTCGCCATCGATTTCGATAAAGGCCACGAGCTTTCAGGTTCCTTCTGATATCCAACGCCGGACTTCCAGGCCTTTTGATCCCAGTTGAAATATCCAGGTGTAGCTCATTTGGCTCCGATTTTTTATTCAGGATGGCAGTCACAAACGAAGAAATCGTCGCCAAGGTCACAGAGTATGTCGAGGGCTACATGTCAAAGTACGACGCCTCCCACGACTTCAACCATATCAAGCGTGTCGTCTCGCTCGCCCACCGTATCTACGCACAATCCCCTGCCACGCCGGCTCTGGATAAGCACACCATCACCCTCGCCGCCCTCCTTCACGACGTTGGTGACCGCAAGTATCTTCAGCCCGGCGAAGACGCCTCAACTCTTGTCTCCGCCGTCCTCCAGTCTCTCGGCGTCGACTCGCAGCTTGCCTCTCGCGTGCAGACCATCTGTCTAGGCGTCAGCTACTCCGGCGAGATCAAGGACCCGGCTCGAGTTCGCACGCTGATCGCCGAGTACCCGGAGCTGGCTGTTGTGCAGGATGCGGACCGTCTGGATGCCATTGGTGCCGTAGGAGTGGGCCGCTGCTTTACCTTTGGCGGCGCAAAGGGCTCGCGGAGCATGGATGACTCGATCCTGCATTTCGAGGAGAAGTTGGTCAAGCTCGAGGGCATGATGAAAACGGATCCGGGGAGGGAGATGGCGCGGGAACGGACAAAGAGAATTCTGACATTCATGGAGTGGTGGCAAGACGAGGCAGGCTCTGGGAATGCATGAGATTCTGCTTGATTGATTGTGGATGATTATGAGGGTGTTGTCGTTTCGATTCAACTCGATACCCATAATTGTTTGAATACCGCGGTCCATGTTTCAACTAGGACAGTCATTATACCATTACTCGAATGAAAAGTTTGTCTTCTTCAGGAGCACATATGCTCTATACAGGTTCTTCCTCGCCCAGCTCCCTTCCGTCAGAACAACTCGACCCTTCGCCTCTCCATCTCGGCCATCCTCGTACGTTTCTGAGCCTGCCTGTACCGCCAAGCCCAATCGATACACCCCAGAAGTGGCAGGACAAACACGTCCATGGTCCTGATGGAAGTCCGGAGAGTGAAGTCATCATGCACGCGGTGCTGGCCGAACGATGAGCAGAGCGTATTGACCCAATACAAAGATACCTCCCGGAGCAACTCCCGCCCCTCGAAGTTGTACAGGAACTCAAATCCGCTACCGTCCTGCCAGGGCAACGTCTGTTTCCGCAGCCTCTTGTCCACCACGACACGCCAGTCGTTGTCCCGCGCCAGCATGAAGACCGCGATCGCGGCGCGGCGCATGAGCTGTCTGTTGGGGCCGTCGAACCAGATCAACGCCGCGGCGAGGCAGGCCCACGGCAGGCGGTCCTTGAGGCGGAAATAGTAGAGGAACGAAGCGTACAGGTAGGCGATACAGCCGGTGCTGATGACGGTGGTGAGGTCAAAACCGCTGGTGGAGAAGTAGAGGAGGACCATGAGGGGGTAGGTCGCTATGAGGAGACGGAGCTGGTTAGTGATGGAGACCCACCCTTCCCAGATGATGGCGGCCAGGACCTCCCAAATGATTGCGGGGAGGTCTCCGATGGCCCGGAGTACCATGACCGACAAATGGGTCCCCCCTCCCGACGGCCGTTGAGCCCCATCGGCAGCGGTTGCGGTAGTCGGCGTCCGGTAGTGTTGAGCTGGGATGGCACCGGTGTTCTAGTCGGCGCTCCGGGGCGGGTCGCAAGGTTTATCTGATTAAAGGCGGCGGGCCTCATGGCTTGTGAAAGAGGAGCTGGAATCGCCAAACGCGTCTCTGCTACCGTACCTAACTGTCCCCCTTTTTTGTTTTTTCTGTTTGGGGGAGGTAAAGGTTCAATAACATGTCGGCACGAAGCAAGGGAAACAGCGAGCGCGACCCAAGATTGTGTCTCACGTTCCTCCCTTAGCTTCCCACGAACCCCCCACGTAAACACACCAGGAGCGCCACAAATATGATCTCAATCTCCGGAGATAGCAATACGTACAGGACAACTCGTAAGGCTGGCCCGCAAAAAGTGACGTAGAGGACCAAGCGGGCTTGGACTTTCGCCTAACCTCAATCGACAAAGACCCATACAACCCGATATACCGACCTATCCGGAGCTCACCCAACACATTTACAATGGACAGCCTTCCCAACAAGCTGCACCAAGCAATCTATCTCCAGAACATCGCACAACATTAGCCAAAGGTGATGTAACCTCCCAATTGATTCAAGCAATAGTGAGAATCCGGGTTTTTGACGAAGGAATGGAAGTCGACCCGGACCCGTCGCCGTGTTAGCCGGTGCTTCCACAAAGTGCAGACCCCCTCGCACTAGCAAGACTCAGGTGTGAGATCAATTCGGTAGCCAGCTCGCATGGTCAGAGTCAAGGACATTAGTGTCGTGTTTGGGCCACGGTGAACATCCGTCCAAGACATCTACAGCTACATTATTGGCCAATTCGACCTCGATTCGGCGCACGTGTTTAGGTCCAGCACCACACGTTGACCGAGCTTCCTTTACGCCACCTACATCTCCATGGGGTTTCATGTGGAAGAACGGCATGCAGAAGAACAAGGGATTGTCAGTTTGGACCTTGGTTTATGGTGCCAGATGAGATCAGAGCATATTTCATATCGCGCTTGGCTGGCTAGTTGCTGGCGTGGGGGACATGATCCCTCGAAGGGGTCATACCAGTAGATCGGTTGCCTCAGGAAGTCACCTAGGTGATGGGGGGAATCCGGCTTACAGTCGACGCAGGAAGAGCTTCTTCGTGTCTGGCTCTCAGTCGACCAGCTCAAGCAGTACGTCTGCCCTCGCCAAGAACCTGAGCATCAATGGTTCTGTAACCAATGCGATCACTTCCAATGGGTTTTGGCTACGGTTTCGCTTATCTACATCTCATGATCTCTTTTCCCATCTTTTTTTTCATTGTTTGCTCAGTCTGGTGCTGGCTTGCGAGCTTCACAATCTAAATGAACTGTCCGCTCTTCATGCAGAGTATTCTGTTAATGCTAGCCAAACCACCTAACCACTCATCAGGACTCATGCAGCATGGCTGTTTATGAGGGCAAACTGACTATGTTTGAAAATTTAGGCTCGCACTTGCAACCTGTATTGATCGTTGGTAATCTATGAAACCTCTGGAGCACCTGAATACCAGTCCTGGAGTTCACATAGCTAATTGCGCAGACTGGTCTTGTCAGAGACGTGCCAACTCTATGTACACATCCATATCGATCCCATCACATACAGCGTATTAGACTTCCCACCTGAGATCTACTATCATGGTTACAAGTCTGGGTTAACATGTAGGCAATTTAGAGTTTGTATAACCCACGTACATACAGGCCAAATTCCATGATAGAAAAGTGCCGTGCCGACAAGGTATCGAGCATCGACACCTAATTTGAGTGTCAATATTCTGGTGGTCCGTTGTCACCTGGAGAGACTACAAGACCACCGGACCATTCCAGTATCCTGAAAAGTAGGACAACCGGCCACAGGAGTATTTTCGATCCTCTTTCCGTCGAGGAACCCAAGTGTTTCCTGGAGAATCAGACCACTAGCTCGACGCCTCATCACAGTGCCATCCACCATGGCCTTCAAAGCCTCCCTGACTCTTAACGCTATGCCAGCCGAGATCCTTGATCTCATCTTCGCCTCTCTCTCGCCCATAGCTCTCTGGCACCTTCGCCGTACATCAAAGCGGTTCAACGCCATCCTTCATCCGCACCTCCTCTCCACCCTTCGCGCCATGGCCGACCCTCCCCCGTTGACCCTAATCAGAGAGACTGCCCCCGTCCCTCTATCCTTTATCTACAGTTTCGTCCTCGCCGTTCTAGGTGACAACGAAGGCCGCAAGCTCCGGGGCAGGAATTTCCCATCCCGAGACACATCGCTAGAGAACCCCTATTCCTCCTGGCTACCTGACACACCACCACCTGCTTCATCGCCATCGTTGGCGGACCAAGAGCCCTCGCCGTCAACCATCCGCCGCCAAAACGAAATCAACGCCTACTCAGATATCTTCATTCCTCACCTCCGCAGCTCCTCCCCGTCCCTCGCGAATCTAAGAAGGATACACTTCTGGAGTATCCTCCTCTGGTACAAAGAATGGTCCTTCATGTCCTCGAGCCCCTCTCCCGCCAAGGTTGACAAAGCCCGCAAGGATCGCTTCCACTGGGCCTACAAGCAGCACCGGAGCAATTGCAAAGAGCAGGCCCGGAGGCACACCGGCCACCGTGGACGAGTTCACAAGGGCGTATATCTTGCGCCGCCACTTCGATCAACCGGCTCCGCCGCATTTGGACAGAGACAGAGCCTTTTTATACCTGAGGTTGAGGAGGCCGCTAGACTCTGGTGTATCTCTGCGGGGACGGGACCTCTGGATCTACGGTTTCACCCTGCGGGATAGACCTCCCGACCATCAAGTGGCAGTTCCGGTGAGACGATGGCCGCGGCACAATGACGAATACTATGAAGTAAGGAGGTTGATTTTTGGGAGCCGCGCGGAGTTTGAACGGAACGGTTGATTGGCGTGCTTCATGGCCAAATCTATCCGTAAAACTGCTGTGAAATAGATCTTGGATGGGATGCTACGATGAGGAAAGGAGCGAAGAAAGAGCACTTCAAGCTACTTTGGTATTTATAGGACGTCATGTTAGAAAGAATTGTACTCTAGCCGAAACAACGTGGCAAACTGGATCCTAGTTTGTTTCTCCTAGTGAAAACTTGCGATGAAGTCGTGGTTCTCATTTCATCCCATGCTACTCTAGAGTAATGCTGCTTTCCACTCTTTTGTTACATTGGTGGTATTGTTCGAAACCAGATTTTGCTCCTCGCACAAGTATGGTCGCGCTCAAATGAGCAGTACGCCCGCCGCGAGAGCAATGACTGCCGCGGCACGAATGTTTCCTGTGACAGGGTTGCCGGCACTGGGCGGTGCGCTGGTTGAGGAGGGGCTGGCAGTGCTAGACCCTGTTGGGGATGCCGTCGACGAAGGCGAATCCGAAGACGATGGGCCGGTGGCATTTGGGGACATGACACGGTCCAGAACGTGGATAAGTCCGTTGTTTGTCCTTTTGGGGCTGATCAGTTTCTAGATCCTGGGCTTTGTTACAGATGGGACTGGCTTACAATACATTGGGACTGACGACTTTGGCGTCGTTGAACCAGATCTCGTCGCCCTTGACAGTGACCCGTACGGTAACATTGGCTAGCGAGGTGAACACCTGACCATCCTCCAGGAAGTTACTGTAGGTGACTTGAGGCAGGGTGTGGAAGCTAACGGGTGTTAGTGTATCTGGTTCTATCACAGGTATTATAATGAGAGCTTACAGCAGGGCATTCATAAGGTCCTCTTTTCCAAGTGCTTTCTCTGGATTGCCAGCCTCGCTGAAGGCCTCTGTGTTTGGGCCAAGACATGTGACGTTTGCCTTGGCGTCCAGAGTTTTCCATAGTTTAGTCTTGTCAAATGCGTCAATAAGAGACGTTAGCGAGCCTGAAAGCTTCCTGATTGTTGTCGAGCAGGGCCTCGGTGCTTCCAAAACACTTTGAAAAGAATTAGCTCCGGCTTCCAAAGTCTCTGTCAAGGCAACCTACCTATCAATGGACTGGAAATATCCGCCATCCCATTCTCCATCAATGGCAGTAATCTCTGCGGTTTGGCCCAGGCCAGCGCGCAGATTCGCTGTCTTGTCATCAGAGGAAGACCCTTGCCTCACTCGCAGCTTTGCAGGGTTGATAGTATCCCGTGAAAAGTAGAGCACTTGCCCTGGGCCTCGTTGCCATACTGGCTGATAAGGGCAGGGCCAGGGCTTCGCAGGTTGTAGAGCTCGTCTCGAAGCTTTGTGGGAACTGTGATACCTCTCGGAGAGCTGAAGTTCGCGGCCGTCAGGGAAGCGTCCAGAGTGTGGTATCTGAACATGGTCAAGACCTGGTCGACGGGGAGCTGGCTTGTATCGCTGGCATTGGACTGCTTGAGAAAGTTGGCCAATGCATCGTTGGTGGGAACCAGAAGTGTGATCTTGTTCTTGGCGCCAGTTGTGACATTTTCGATAATGCTAGGGTAGTTGCTCAAGAGCCGGCTGAAAGCCGAGAGGTCTGCATGTTTCGACAGCGCATCACTGAGGCTTTGCTGAGCCTGGCGCGGAGTCACAGAGGGCCTGCCCGCCGAAACAAGCTGCGTGATGCCGGCAATGACCAAGGCGAGCGTCCGTAGGAAGTACATGATTCCCACAGGATTTTTGGGGTCTTGCGTAAGACTGAGATGAGAAGGCAAGTCGGCTGGATCCCCATAGTACGTAGGATAAGGGACGCCCTTTAAAGGCTCCCAAAGCATGCAAGTTTACGCCATGTCTGTCAGCTGCAGAAATAGCTATACTCGATGGCTGAGCTGTCTTGCAGAGTGGGCTTTCTTTAAATTCATCCAGAACCTCAGCTCCATTGTCTGCACATTGTTCGGCCGCCCACCAAGTCAAGCCAAGCCTAGCGTCGCACAAGGAAGCTAGGGCAGCTGGTGCGTTACGCCAGAAGGCTAGCGAATTGCGATGGCGCCACAGAGACAATTGATCTGTCGACACGAGTCGGAAAGACAGGGGTTTGGTGGCAGGCCGTTCCCTTGACTGGACATGGCAATTACTTGCTGCGCCATTGAGCAGGCTTCGTAGGTACTTACTCTATCTAGCTCACGACATGCCGACGGTGACGAAGGGCATCAGTCGAAGAATTGAAACAGACTGTGGAACATACAGAACGTATTGATACTTGTTGGGGCAAGTGTACATGGCAAAAGGACGCCAGTAGGGCTGAGGGTTGGTGGGGGAGAAGAGGCGTCGGATCCGGCGAAAGTTCGCAACGACAACCCCACAGGATGCAGTAGTAGTGTATTCTGTCTACACATGTACTCCGAATGGGAATCGAGAAAAAGCGCACAGCTTCGCCTCGACCGAATGCATGACCAACACGCCACCAGAAGTTTGGGCCGTCCTGGCTAAACCTTCCAGAGCCTCATCTATTTCTGTATCACTGCGCCCAGGGAGGTTTACACCTAAGATTTGCTTATAGTTGAGCAGATCGGCGCGAGATCTACCATGTTTGGAGACGTCTACAGTGACAGACAGGCTAGACCTTGCTCGAGCAAACAAGCTTAAAGCAACCCCTGCTGTACGGGGTAAACGTTGAACAAAACTTGAGGAGACGCAGCATGAGACACCCTAATCAATGATCTCAACCCTCATGGCGGCTCCGGGTCGAAGTGATGGTTCTAGAGCAATGCAGGTTTGTCAAAGGGCAGCACCGCGGCGAAGTTGGATGAATGGGGATGTTGATCAGGCTGCTGAAGAACGAGATGAGCTACCACCTTGGCTTTTGACTTCCCTTCCACTGCCGCTATTTCTGTGAAGCGCAGTAGGTTGCAAGGATCTAGAGACAGGTGCAACTTGAACAATTGTTGCAACGTTGTTGGAGGCAGCACGACAAGCCGCGAATAGCCTTGAATCCGATTAAAGCTCCAAGGCTTCTGGCTCCGTATTCTCCTCGGAGGGGCAGCATATTCATTCGGTAAGTAAACAGCAGCGGCCAAAAGGAGGAGCTAGCAGACGACAACCTAGCTAATTAATCCAACACAAGTTCGTTGGCACCTTCTCTACCACAAAAGTAGAGAAGGTGAGCAATCAAAATCAGGAAGATGCAAGCGAGAACGACGACGTGGTTGGGAATGGTGCCGTGTGTGTCAGGTACCCTTCCCTGCGAACAGGCATCCATCCATTCGAGCTCTGCGCTTTTGCCCGAGCTGCTTCCTACATACGAGTTGACCGTTGGACACTGGAATACACAGTGAAATCCTTGCTTGTCTAGTCCACTCTTGGAAAGGCGCTCGTGACGGACCCGTTCGGCTCAGGATATTCCTCCACCCGTAACTGGACAAATCTCAGCATATCGAGCCACCAACGAACTGTGCCGCAATGCTAATTTCCGCCCGTCTAAGCGATCGTCAACTTTGGCGACAAACCATCCGGCTATCGACGCGTTCTTGACGGCAATGACGGCTAAACGTATTCCAAAAGGCCTCAACGCGGACCAAAAAGGAATGGTCGTCGCACCAAAGTTCCAGTCCTCTATTGGTACCGCTTTCCCTTTGGCCCCATATGACTCTACGCATGCGCTCTTACCCCCCCATCTTATCGTCAAAGGTGCTATCACTTTGAGGACAGACGAGGTAGGTAAGGTGGGTGAGTTGAGGTAAGGTACGAACACGCATCTTGTCAAATTGGGCAGGTACCATGCATGCATCAACTGCTCTTGGCCTGAGTCCATCGTCGGGCAACGTCCTTGACCTTTTTCCCCGTCCTCCCGCCTTTTGTTGTCGCCCTTCTCTTCTTCCCTCCATCATCCAACTACACCGCACGCATCACCAGCTTTCCACACTTGCTGCTATCCCAATTACACCAACAAATCAACACCAGTTTTGGACTCTTGACATCAATCGCGAAGACTTTTAACCCCCCTTAATAGCTTCTTCGTTATTCCTTTTAATTACCATACCACTTCCTCTCCAAGCTCGTTGAAGCTCCAATTACACCAAAATGAGACAGACGGCTTTCATCGCTGGCCTTGCGGCCATGTTGCCCTCTGCCGCCCAGGCGTGGTCCGCTCCAGCATTCCTGGACTCCCGTCAGAACAGCCGTCCCTACCAAGACGTCGTTTGCAAGCCTGCGACTGGTTCTGGCAGCCAGCTTCCCCCTTGCGTCCAGATAGAGAACATTGAGGTCGCCTGCAAGCCCAACGGCACTGACCCGATCGACTTTGAGGCCCATGCCCAATGCATGGTAGGTTCAGACACTTCTACATCGTGGGAAACTATCGACTAACAACAACCAGTGCGGCGGCTCCTTCTTCGCCGAGAAGTTGGCCTGCGAGCGATGCCTGTTCGTCCACGGCCTTCGGAGTGAGCGGTCCTTGGCTTTCTACAGCGGCGTTCTCTCGTCTGTCTCCAATGCCCTTTGCACCGGTACGCCAACCGCAACTTACGCTGCCATCTACTCCAACATCGAGGCTGCTGCCACTCCTGTCACCACTGGTGCCACGACCACGAGTGACCAAGCCCCCAGCAACACGGCCATTTCCCTCTACTACACGGCTAGCGGCCCTCAGGGTCCCGGCAGCATCACTGGCGAGGCTGCTAGTGCTACCGCCACCAGCAACGACACAACTGCCAATCCGACTACCACTGCGACTGGCTCGACCACGAGCGGCAGTGCCTCCACTCGTGCCCCCACTCGTGCTTCCACCACTGCTGGTACGGCTACCGGCGACGCGGCCACAACCACGTCCGCCTCCGGCAATGGTGCGGTGCCGACCTACGCTGTAGGCGGCCTGATGATGGGTGCCGCCGGCCTGGCGGTGTTTGCGGGTTTGTAAGACCCAATTAAAATAATGTTGTTATGCAGAGGGGGAAGCACTGGCTTGTTGAAGGTACTGTCATTGGGCAGGATTAATGAGTATTGTTGAGATGGATTCACGATTCAATAGTAATGAGTGACGCAAAGAGAGCACTTTATATTTTCTCTCGTCCAAGCCGTGTGCTTACTCTCGCCTTGTGAGTAGTGACTGATGATTTTGCCGCAGCAAGGTAAGCCACGTTGACCTATATGGCAGGCCAGCAACGATACATAGGGTTGGAGAAAAGAACATCCCTGATGCCAACTCAATGGAACTACTTTCATTCAATTTTTAGAGACTGTTTCCTACTGCATGACTCTGTCTGAAATAAGGTAGCGTACTTGGGTAACGATGAACGTGGGTCAATCTGGGTTGGGTTGTCGGGTCCGATTCCATCATAACCCTCCAGGTTCTCACACCAGCCCACCACACCATCAACTCTCCACGCATGGTCATCCTATCCTGGTGCCTCCAGTGCAGCATATAACATGGATCCCAACCCTCCTGTTCTGAACCTGGGGTATTTCATTTCACGTGTTCCTCGTTTTCTTTGGTTATTCGGCGCGCACGCACGACCAAATTTACTGAGGCATGTGCTCGAAAGGCTTGGCCAGCTTCTCCTGGCAGAACGGCAGCTTTCCGACGGTCCAGATCTCGGTGTCCTGTCGACAGTTTGTTAGTTCCGGGTCTGTCACCGCTCGAGGATGCCGGACCAGCACTCAGAAATCAAAGCCTTGATTGCAGTTGGCACCTCGGCGACGGGTATGACTCACAGGCTTCAGGTTCTTCTTGATCTCGGTATCGAGAGTGCCCGCCTTGAGAGCAATGATCTCAGGAGCCGCATCGGGGTCGTGAGCGATTGGGGAGCCACACTCGGAGCAGAAGATGCGGTGGACGGCTTTGCCCGAGGAGCCCTTTCCAGCCCAGCTCTTGGTGGGGCCGTTGATGGTGAGCTTGTCCTTGGGAACAACAGCAACGAGGGCTTCATTGACGAAGTTAGCAGGCGGTCTGATTTCTGATTTACGAGAAGCAGGAAAAGAAAAGAAAAGAAAAAAAATCGACCAGTCGAATTGCGACAACATCACAATTCACCGACGAATATGAAGAGAGCACACTTACAGTATGTTGAGCCACTCTGGCGTTGGCAGTCATCGCAGTGGTCATAGCCGGTGAGGAGCGGGGCGTCCACGTCTACCTTGTAGGTGACGGCCTTGCAGAGGCAGTGTCCGGTGAGAGGCATCTTGGATTGATGATTGGAGATGAAAGGATCTTTTCGTCTTTTGTGGCTTCGAGAAGTACGGAGATGACTTGTTGACAGACGATGCAGTGCAGCGAGCTTTGACACGAACAACACCGATTCGCAACGAGAGATGGGAACGGGCTCTTTTTGTTCTGGCTATGGAGGGGGCGGGGTATCTGATGCCGCTTCAAGACTTAGCTGGTGGCTTCCCGACGTTAGCTCACTGCGCTGACATGTTTCTGACGACGTCACTTACCCTATCGAGGTACCCTTGAGTCAAACCGGTGGAGTGGGGAGAATGGCCGAAACCGTGGAGTGGAAGTTTCTGGAGGCGGGATGGCTGCGGCCAAAGAACTCTAGCGCCCGAGATGTCGATGAAAGAGTTTCCAAAGATGGCGTTTGTGTTTTGCTCGAGAGAAATGATGCGGACAAAACACCGGAAAGGACGAGGGACACCGTGGTTCTTTATACGCGCCCGAGGAATCTTCTCCAAAGCTTCGAGGACGTCCCCCTTCAGTGGCTGCGGCACCTACTGGATCCAGCCCAGTACCTACCTCGACGCGGCCCAAACCTGGGACAATGAACTTGGACAGCTTCCGAGGGAGTAATGAGGAGAAGGACCCACCGAATCCAGGAAACGTTCCTGTCAGCGCTGCAGTCCACGGAGATCCTCAACTTCATGGCCTGTGATGACAAGCGCCATCCTTATTCACAATACCTCAGCTGGAGCGGCGGATGCGAACTTGCTTGGGAGTCGAGCACGGAGCAGCTCCGTAGCCCCGGGAGTTCCCATGGATAGACTTGCAATGCCCTTGATGCAAGCTGCGGCACGACTATTCCAGGTCAGGCCAGGCACTGGCTGGTCATGTCTCGAATTGGAACCGTCAACCCCGCAGAGGGGTACGGGAAGAGCTCGGAGCATGGGGAGATCAAACAAGTGCTTGGTTCAACACCAATACGATAGCGACCAAGTCACTTGGGCGGAGCTTATTTTGAGCATACCGGTACCAATTTGTCATGACGGCTGTTTTCTTCATCAATTGAGATGGAAACACCGAGATGTCTCGTTTGATGGGAAAACTGTGGTCTGCTGACGAGACAAAACAGACCTTTGAGGAACACTTGTTGGTGTCCCTAGTACAGCCCCGCCCTGGGGACCGGACGATTTGGAATTCGATGCGGGACCGCGTTAGTGTTGCTGCAGCTCCCCGGTCCCCTCCTCGACACCTCGAGTCGAGTCCAGCCTGGGTGAGTGTATGCATCTCGACCCCACTGGCTGCTGGATGGCTCGCAAACTTGTTGGCTGCATATCTAGCCAAGTGGTCCAGGGAGCACTTTCGCAAATCTTTGCAAATCCGGTAGGAATTGCCACCAAATGAGGTGCGGGTCGCTTTGGGGCAAGCTGTTGGAGAGGAGAGCCCTGTGACGTTATCAAGGCTCCCTCGAAAAACCCCTACTCTCGGAACTCGGGCGGCACAGCGGGCAGCATCTGTTTCTGAGTGCAGAATAATTTGACATGCTATCGTTCACGGCGCCTGGCGGCTGGAACGTGGGATGGCTTCTGCCCGCCAAGCTGTCAGACAAATCTCTCCAATTGACAAATACCAATCTCGAGGAGCAGCTCCGATGGGACGACAAGCTAAGTAGCAAGGGGCACTCGCAACGTTGAGGCCGATCAAGCTGCTGCTTGCACTTCTAGCGTCCGGTTGATGTACCGGTAGTCATGGAGGTGAGCTAAGGTGACCCCGTCCGGGTAAGGTACCGCATGCAAGAGGTGCGGTCCGGCGTCACCGCCTCCCCGTGAATTAATCGACTAATAACCCCGCCAATTACGGCGTGTGCTCATGGAGGAGAGAGCTAGAAAAGGACCTATTTCAAATACCATGCGCTCCGGGAGCGTTCGCGCTGCATGGGTGCTCCACAAAATAGATGCACCCGTTGGTATCGCCGCCCAGCTAGGTGCGATGTGATCTTTTGGATTTGGGTTATCTCTACCGGGGCCAGGAGAGGAGCCGATAGAGAGATGCTTTGCGCGACCCGTCGGCTTTTCTACCCCTCGGCAACATCTGCGATGAGAATACCCCCCAATGACAAAGGGCCACGGAAGGCATGAGTGTTATGCAGGCAGCTGCATGAGTGACCACCACAGACGTACATCAGGGCTGAGATCGGACGGAGATGCTGGATCTCTGTTTGACAGACATCATCTGTTTCGCCCAAAGTCAGGGGATTTGGTCCATGGGTATTATATCTAGTTTTCTCATCTATGTAACACGACTGCCAGGCCCGTAAGGAGAGGGGACACATGCAAGCGCATACATGCACGGCGCTGACTGAGGAAGCTATCCACTTCATAGCATCACAAGCGGAGCGACCAGCGACGACAGTAACCAAGCGACGCCTGCGCGCAGGATAAAATGCTGCAAATCCAATAGTTCCACGCTCCCCAGCGCCAGACGGTTGGCAAGGAACGTCCGCAGCACGAGCGACCTGTAGGCCCTCCGCATTGGAGCGTCAGAATGCCCCAGGACGAAGCCGTCCATGGACGAGATGCGGAAGTCGCGGATATCCACCTTTTGCACACCGTCAGCGCCGTCGCCTCCGCTGTGACTCGACGACGCTGCAGAGGTGAGTGGCCGCTCGATACGATCCGGTCTCTGCCGCAGGGCCCGGATGGCTCTGAAGTAGACAAAGTCAAGGATGTTTGTCGTCTTCAGCGGCGGCGTGGGCTTTTTGAGGATGAGCTTTGGGAGGAGGTCCGGTCGCGAGATCCAGAGGGTGGAGTTGTCTTGGAACTCGCAGCAGACGGCCTCGAGGTCGTGGGCGTAGTGCACGAAGCGGGTGTAGAATGCCGGCGTGAGGACCTTGAAGTCGAGCACCTCGGTGCGTTTGGGGTTCTTCTTCGCGGCCGGCGACTGCATCACCTCGGGTCCGGCCGAGTCGATGCCGGTGGGGATGTACCTGACGGCAATGGCGGCCGCGGACTGCTCGACCAGGTGGCGGAGGTAGGCCCGGAAGATGGGCTCGAGCCGGCTCTCCGTCGCATCGGCCTGTCGGCCTATGCTCTCCTTTAGCGGCTCCGGCCGGTACCACACGTGCAGCTTCCTGCTGAAAAAGAGGACAGCGGCCTCCTTGACGATGCGGGGGAAGGTCACGAAGCCGACCCACCACCAACGGCACAGAAAGGCGAACTTTTGCAGGGCGGACATGGAGCCCGGGTCGATGGCAGGGGCCGAGTTGAAGAGGCGGGCGACGATCTTGGGGTGGTCTTTGGAGGACTTGAGGGTGATTGTGTTATCGAGGGAGTAGGTCCCGCGGGCATCGGGGCTGAAGAAGTCGGTTGCCGAGAGAGAGTAGGCGCCCTTGCGGGAGTTGAAGGGGGAGACGTGGAAGTCCTTTGGCCATTGCTTGGTCATTCTTACCGTGGACCTCTTGGCAGCGGGCTCGTCGTCTGTTTTGGAGTTGGGCTCTGCGACGTCTTTCTTGGTGTTGTCGCCTCCGTTGAGACGTTGCTCTGAAGGGATGGCGTCCGTAGCGAGGAAGTACATCCTGCGCTCGCCAAAGGTATTGTTCACCTCAAGGACCATGGCCGTCAACTCCTGGTCCTTGGAGTAGAGGTACCAGAAGGAGACTGGGTTGAAGTGATATCCCATGAACCTGGCCGCGGTGACGAGATACGCGCAGGGATACTGCGCCGGATCGGCGCCCTGGAGCGTGTTAGCTACCCGACGCCGTTCAAATAAAGATGTGATGCCTCAACATACCTGAGACTTGAGATACGCATCCAGCTTCCCCCTGAGCCCGAGATGCCCATTTCCTCTGTCGAGATAATCCGCGGGGTCGACATCAAACCACCCCTTCCCGGGTCGAGGCACCACTGAGAACCACGACGCCCAGCCGGGCTTCTCGACACCGCTCGAGACCATGCCGGCATACGTGCCCTTCCACCCGACGGGAATGCCGACAATGAGGTACGAGTACGCAAAGGCATGCTTCTCCGGGAACGTCCGGCGGTGCGTCGTCGTACAGGGGATCAGCAGCGGCCTCATGGGCGTCGTCCATTTCGTGGAGTCTCCCGTCTCCGTGAGGCCCAGGAGGAAGCGGCAGACCTGGAGAATGACGAAGCCGAGGAGGCAACCCGGGAGAAGGAGGAGCTGGCGGCGCAGTGTCTGCGGGTCGATGTAGTCCGAGACGAGATCTATGAGGGCACGCTTGCTGCGGAGGGCCGAGAAGAGGAGGAGAAGAGCGGTGTCGAGACGGCCGCCGAGGAGGGTGTAGTAGGCGAAGCCTGCTAGGAGGGCGAAGGGCCGGACGCCCGGGTTGGTGGCGGACATTGTGGCCTGTGGTGTGACGGGAGACGTCACGGCGATGAGCCGGACGGAGAGAGTGGTGAGCTGGACAGGGCACGGCGCGATGAACCGTTTAGTGAGTGTGATCTCTAAGGCGACAAAGTCACGTTTTCATCACCATGGAGGAATGCACGATGAGCACGACAAAGCAGTTGAAGATGAAGGTTTTCTCTAAAGGTCATCAAACGACTCCCATCAAGGATCACGAAACTTGGCTGGGTTTCTTTCTTGCCAGATCAGGGGTCTGGCTCGGTGGAGGTAGACGGGTTGTGGGCCGATGCGCCTGTGTCGATGAGATCAAGACTGCGCTCACCTGAGATGTCCGAGGCCCGATCGCGAGCTTAGTCATCTTTGAGACGACGCTGGTGTTGGGGGGGGGGGGGGGGGGGGGGGGGGGGGGGGCTGTTAGTGCGGGTTTGGCTACGTCGTATCAGCTAATGGGATGGTTCCTAAAGAGAGATGTCAACACTGCATAATGGAGGCTCAGTTGGGGCTAAAAGTCTTTTGCCGTAGTAAAACAGCAAGCAGCGATATGGTTAAATACACACACAGCATTACAAGCCCCAACTAGATATGAGAAAGGGCGATCGACTGGGGTCACACGACGACAAAAGCAGGTACCGAATGAGGACTCGACTGCCCAGCGGTGAGAGGGGAGACGGCACTCTGGCCATTGGAGGCCTGCTCCCGGGTTTTTGCGGGCTGACCCGGCGACTGGGACCTTGAGGGCCTCGATCTCTTGCGCCGCAGCGCTTCCCTCGTGTGGCGCAGTCGGGCACAAACCAGAAAACGTAAGCAACTACTCTGTAGCCGGGACAGAATTGGGAGGAGCTGAGGGTTCCGGAGAGAGGAAAGGCAGGCAGCCTTGCCGACCTGGCCGAGATACACCCCGCGAAATTCTAGGTAGGCAGCCTGACTTGCTTGCGCTGGGCGGCATCTCTGCTGCGGCGTTAGGCACATGCAGGGATGTGCCACCCCTCTTACGTCCGCGCCGCCGGTTGACTCAGTGCCCAGTCCCCCTCTCCGCCCCCCACCAAGCATTTTCGCTATTCCATCGCCTTCCATATTTATTGCCGACCAACCTGTCCTCAAAACCCACAATCCACACTCCCTCTCTCGCACCAGCCACAAAGCGCCCGAACAAGGACCCCCAAAAACTGACGCAACAGAACCCTCTTTTGCGCAACTTCCACTCCGACAAAACCAACAAACCTCACGATCACCACCACCACCAAACGACAAGAGAAAGGAACACAACACCCGTTCTTCTCTACCGTCCACGACAACAATCCCAGCAACTCACTTACCCCTCCACAATACAATCACAGACGCCGCCCACCATGGACGACTGGGACACCACCACCAAGATCGGCTCCAAGGCCCGCGGCGGAGGCACGCAGAGAGAGACCGTCATCAAGGGCAAGAGCGCCCTCAACGCCGCCCAGCGCAGCGGTTCAGTCATTGGCACCGAGAAGAAGTACGCCGCCGGCAATGCTGTACGTGATCTCCCCCCCCCCCCCAAATTCCCACCGGCTGCCTTTGACGATTGCCCCTCGGCACCCGACGGTGCTTGACATCATGAGCACTCCCTCCACCCCTCCATTCTCCACTATTCCCAAAGAAGTTGCCGACGGGGAGAGCAAACCCGGAAACCCTTTCTCTCCAGCCCTCCCCCAAAGCACTCTAGACCAGGGACCATTCGACTGACACTCATCCCTCCAGGCCACCAAGCCCGGTGTCGAGGGCCAGCGCCTGACAAAGGTCGACCGCTCCGACGACATCATCAAGCCCAACACGGTCGGCAAGGAGGTCGGCGACGCCATCTCCCAGACGCGCCAGAAGATGGAGCCCAAGATGACCCAGAAGGACCTCGCCACAAAGTGCAACACCACCCAGTCCATCGTCGCCGACTTTGAGCGCGGCACCGCGGCCCCCGACCAGAAGATCCTCGCCGCCATGGAGCGCGTCCTCAACGTCAAGCTGCGCGGCAGCGACATTGGCGCCCCCCGGTTCGCCAAGAAAAAATGAGCGGGGACTCTTCTCCTCTCCGCGACGGAGATCTTTCTCTCACTCTTTCTTGTGTTGGAACCAATTGATGGGAAATGTTACGGGAGGGTGGGGGGCACTGGAGGGGGGAGGAAACCCCGCGAGAGAGAGCGCTCGCGGCTCGCCCACCCATCCTCCCTCCCCCTTCCGCTGGGAGTCTGGTCTTTGGAACGGCGAAAAAAAGGTCATTTGTTTTATGACCCGGCTGGTTGCATAGCACACACGAACAAGACCGAGAAGAGTCAAAGCTTGAGAATGCCTTGAGAGGCTGGCTCTTTTACGAAGGTTACGGTTCCTAGACGTTTTACAGCACAATAGATGAGTTGGCACTGCAAAGCTGACAATTATACGCATTTCATTACCTGCATTCCGCAGTTTCTTTCTATGTGGATGAGATTCGCGGCATTGAGGGCGTCCAAACCAGTGACTTCCCCATCTAGCAAACCAAACGCCTGGTGTACCCAGACTCCTCTTTTCTTTCATGGTATCTTCCAAACTCCGTACGCAAAAAATCACGCCATGCCATGCCATGCCATGCATCTATCCATCCATGATTAAATCCACGTCTTTATGCAGAAAGTCTGCTAACCCGCGCTGCGAGCTCCGCATCGTACGGCTTCCGTCTCGTCTGAATGACGACGTGCTCCTTGCCACCCACGCTGGCCACTCTCAACCACTCCGGCGCAACCTCGTTGGCGAGGATGCGCACCGTCTGGATACCCTCTTCCATGGGCATTGGGACCCGCACGGAATCCTTCAGCTTCTGCTGCAGGACCGCCATTGTGAAAGACATGACCAGCTGGCCCGCCGAGTTCGATGAAGAGACGAGCATCGAGATAATGGCAGCGATGTCAACGATACGCGCAAGCGCTCGCTTCCTCGCAAGCTCGGGGCCAGTAGGTTGCTGGATGTGGGCATTGGCCTCCTCCTTGGCGCGCAACCTGTCGAGAAGGCTCATCTTGGTACCGTCGGGGTTGAGTGCCGGGGCCTTTGTGGCCATCATCTGAGCCTCCTTCTGTTGCTTTTTCTCAATGATGCCATTCTTGAGCTCGTTCAGGGCACGCTGGCCTTTGGCGAACACAGGGTTTTGAGAGATGGTCGTGTGGCGGATGGTAATGTCGGACTTGGGGAGGTCGTCAAAGGTTAGGTTCTCGAAGCAGAGATCAAGATCGGACATCTCGTCCGTTGCTCGCTGGGCGCACATGATGTGCAGGTTCTCCTCGAACTGCCGGCAGAGCTGGTCCTCATCGATGCGGTTTGCCTTCTTAGTCAGGTCCATCTCGAGGCAGAGCTTGCCGCGTCCGTAGTCGGTCACGATGAAGGGGGAGCCCAGGAACTCGTCTTCCCTGCCAGCAGGTTTCGCATCTTGGATTGCAATACATGTCCGGACGTCATCGACAGTAACCCTCCGCTTGCCCCAAGTACGGGCGACATGAGGTGTGATGCTGCTGATGTCGAGAGGGCGTTGCTGTTTTGGTGCACAAGCTGGAGGGAAACGGTCTTCAAAATCGCACGTTGGAGGTCTAGAAGCTCAAGGAGCTCGGCTGGCAGTTGCGTCCTAGCTGGCGCCTTCTTGGTTTCCGGCTCGGTGGATTTGTTGTGCTTCCTCGACCGCTTGACCTTTTGGTTGGCCTTGCGGCACTCTGTCTTTGCTTGGGAGATAACGTCCGGCTTGCGTGTCTTTCGACGGGCGTCGGCAACAGTAGAGGGTGTGCTCTTGGGTGACGGGGTCGTTGTTGCAGGCTTGAACTCCTCCTTCACAGGAACAGGTTCATCCTTGCAGAGTCGCTGACGCTTCAGGATCTCGGGTGACGGGGCGTTGTTTCTGGTTGGCTTCGCGGAGGTATCGTCTTCGATCGATCTCGCCTTGCGCTTCCTGGAGGAAGTCGGTGTGGGAGGGGGAAGAAGGGTCCTCTCGGGGCTAGGCTCGATCTTGACCTGTGTCTTAACTTCCGCGGTCGCAGCTGGGTGAGAGCTGGGCAGTTCGATAAAGAAGACCTTCTTCACAGAGTTGTCCTCGGGGGCAGGCTGTGTCTTGGAGACACGACCGTACTTGCTGATGGGGTTGACGGCCGTTGTGGGATCAGGCTTGACCTGCCGACGGGAAGCTGCACGAGCCATTGCGTCGAGATGTGCAACTGCTGAATGTCTCGGCGGGTATAAGACGCGAAGGACCGGTCGAGAAAGGTTCAGAGTGAAGCTGGAAAGCGTAGGGTGTATTACGGTTAATTGGCAAGCGTGACAAAATTCTTAATTGCTGTAGTAGGAGTAGTGTGAAGCCGTGGGAAGTCGTGTGGAAGTGCGAAGAGGTTTTGTACATTGGCAGGGGAGTGGGGAGTGGAAATGATGGAGCAACGACGGTAGCAACGCGCCCGGTTAGGGGGTCGCGGACCACACGACCGCGACTGACGCGTTTTGGATAGCAATTCACGATGGAAAGTCGCGTTAAGTGGGTGGGGTGCGCTGGTATCGTTGGTCCGTGCTCCCGCGACGGGGCAACCTCGGCAGCATCCTTCCTTTTCCCAACGGCCTGGGCAACGAGTGGGAGGCGCGACACTGGAGAGGCACATAGAACCACTCAGAAAGAAGGGGGAAAAGTCGGGGCTTGGCGTTTCTTCTATCCGACATTCAATGTTGCGATCCAATTTTGGCAACCGCATCCAAGTCACTTTTTTGGGCTCGCTTACATGTCCATGCTCGCTTCACGTCTTGTCAGCACGACGGGGATCAAGCTGTTCGATCCACCCTAGGCCAAACATGGGACGGCCCTTTTCGCGGCGAACAGTTCACGTTCGGCGATTCGCCATCCCTGGGACCACGCAATCGAATCACATAAAATGCAGGCGACGTCGCGGAAAGGTATTTGTTATCAATGTCATTTCATGGTCCGGAAGACAATTTCCTTGATACGCACAAATGCAAACACCCAATTATGAGCGATCCGTAGATGCTCATCGTTCCCGACTAACACCAGTTTTTTGCTGCCAATACCATGTGCAGACCATGAAGAAAATCCCATCCTGTTGCCTGCCCTGCTTTTGATGTAAACACTGCTCGCGATTCGAATGACTTTTTCTCCGTACCCATTTCGCCCTTTACTCCGATGATAGTCCATATGCTGATTGTACATGAAGGACACCCGTCTGTGTCGAACAGCGTGCAGGGTGTTGTTTGGTCGTAGACTTGGTCAAAACGGTCTAGCGACGGATCGATGACTGCCAGTGTTCCGCGGCGAAAGAGACTGGGCTCGGGGTGGGGGAGCGGGAACACTGTAGTCGTTCTCTTGGATCATGTGGACGGGCGTCACCGGGCGGTGGGTAGTCGAGGCGAGAGTTGCGTTGAGGCTGGTGTAGAGGTCTTGGCCCGTCATTAGACGCAGGTTCCTCCGCTGGGGAGGAATGGGCAAAGGCGAAGCGATCTGGCTAGCAGGCATCTTGATAGTTTTGTTGTTGTTGTTGTTGTGATTGTGGTGGTGGTGCTGGTGGAATATGAGGAGCTGCCGCGTAGTGTCAGGACACAACGTCTCAATGATAGCGTATATAATCAACAGGATCCACCTACCGAGAAGAATGGGCCCGATGGGTAAGTCTGGGGAAGAGACGGGGATTTATGAAGACGGCGGTGGACGTTCTTATCTGATAGGCGCTGGCGAGGCTGGAAGTGGTGCCGAGACAGCAGAGCGGAGTGTTGGTCTTGGATGGGAGGCGTAGATGAGATGGAAGTGTCCGGTCTGGGTGAGAGTGCAGAAGACGGAATATTTAAACTGGGAGGCCCGAAGCAGTGGCAAAGGGAAAGAGAAGAGCAGGACCAGGAGCAAAAGGGTGTGACGGGGGGGGCATTTGTGCGCGATCCGTAACAGAAATTTCACAATTCCTTCCTGGTCTCGTAGACACCCCGGGGCTGGTCAAGGCGGTGCGCAAACACGGCAAGGGTGGTGGAATGCCTGGGAGAAAAAAGGACCCAACCGAGCGGTCGAAAGTGTGGGCTATGGGCAGAGCGAATCGACGAAATGCGCGGGTAAGGTTGCAGTAGCCCGGGTGAGTTCAACGGAAGCGTGGGGAAAGATCAGGGGTTGGAACGAAGAAGGGAGATGAGCAAAGACACTGACGAGAGAGTCTGGGGCAGAGAGGAAAGAGGAGAGGATGTAACTTGTAGGGATCAGAAACAGCCGGACGCCCTTGTCCCCCCCGGGAAGTGATGTGGACTTGACTTGGAATTTATGACGGGACTTACAAGACAGGTATGAAGGAGAGGGAGGGTGTAACAGGATGTTTGAGTGGCCTCAGAACGAGACGGGACAAGCTCGATAAGGAGACAGGTACGGAATACAAGACGGCCGGTTGATTTGCGGAGCTGGCACGCGAGGCTTGTGATGCGCAATGTCGCAATCTAAGGCAAAGTCTAAGATGGGAGAGGCACTTGGGCGGCGATGGGGTCTGGACTGGGCGGAGCTGGCTGGCTTGTGCCAGGACGAATGCGCAAGATGACTGTCTCAGTGGAAATGGCCGGGCTTTATTTACCACTATTCAGCCAGCCGAGCGCTCTCCCGTGGTACTTGGCCCTCTTGCGGAGTTGATACGTTGCATCCCCAATGAAAAACTGAAAAATGTATCTGTCCTCTACTCCCCTACTTTTTTTGACTTTAGGCATGTCAGCTAGCCCAAAGGCAACAACATGCTATGCCGCGTCCAGTCTTTTCTGTTGTGTCGCAGCCCATTTGTTTTGTTGGCTAGCCCCAAACAAGCTCTCAGTCTGCAAAGATGATCCCCCGGCTTTTACGGGTGGGCGCTGGAAGGAGAGGAATGTTCCATGACAGCTGGGGTGGGTATTCCCTTACAAGGGTACTAAGATTGTGGTCGCATTATCCCTTTGAGAGGCGAGCGAGCCGGGTGAGCTGACCGTTCGGGTGTTCGGTGTAAGAGGGGGTATGAGTGTTGGGGGAATGGGGACCAATTTTGCCTGGGCGATACAGCACACGGGGAACAATGGAAGTCAAAGTATTCTGCGGGAATGGAGGCCGTAACTCTCTCTACCTCTGTCCCCAGTTGTTTTGGTTGGAGATCATTGTCGACCTTGGATCCCAGGAGACGGCGAACATCACTACGTAGCAGGCGGGTAATGGGACCAGCCGGCACCACACCTCAGATAAAGAGACGATCAGGCCGGGGAAATAGAAGAATTCCGCAAGGGCCTCGGCGAGTTGGGGTAGGGCATGGAGAGCAGCAACACAGCATATAGCGATGACTCCTTTGCCAGCATCTTCCAAGCCATCTTTACCGCCCATTCGCCTTGGGTCATCCCAGTGGTCGCGTGCCTCCCTTTTCGGTTCCTTGTTTATTTTTTCCCCCTCTTTCTTTCTTTCGCAGCCCCGAATTCTCTTGCTTATGCGGGTACGAAATAGTCCCACGGCAGCCTGGACCTTGCGTTGGGGGACTTGCGAGCCAAACGGATTGACTGGATGAAGAGGAAGGCGCAACTTTAGGGCTCTCTTCGACTCCATCTGGTCTGTCCAAGGTCGTCCCATCCGCCGGAAGTCGGAACTTGTACCTTCTTTTTTCCTTTTCTTTCTCAACACACCGGGACGAGGAATCGTCCGGGAACCTTGTAAGCCTTCTGCCTCAGGTGTTGATGCTTTGTCACTTTGTCACTTTGTCCCTCCGAGGTTCGCTTGCCACGATCAAAAGCTCCAGCCTGCATCTCGCAGTAAACCATTCCATCTCATCTTACATGACGCGCCGCTTAGCTGCGTGCCAAAACCTTTACCTCTCCTCCCCATTGCCAAAGATCAATGATGAGACGGAACTGAAGGATCAGCGGCCTTATCTCTGGGGCAAGCATGCAAAGCTCAACCCCCAAAGTCCCCAAACGGGCAGAGTAGCACAGGCTAGTTTCAGCCACCCCTGTCTGATTGCAGAAGTAACGGAGCAGAACAGGATATCCTCCAATAGTCACGGAGTGTCGGTCAATATTCCTGGAAGCGACGTCGGTGCGCGTTGTGAATCCCGATTCATACACATTCTCTCTCGTCCACACAGCAGCATTGTCTCTTTCAGATTGAAAATTGTCGTACTGGATCGAGGCATCTCTTTGCGTGGAGGTGCTCGTCCGTCCGTCCGGATGTGATGAATGGTTATTGTTGATTAGGACGGGATGCCGTAAGGAAGAAGAAGGGTGGTGGTTTTTTTTTCTTTTTCTTTTTTTATTTATTTTTGGTGGGACGTTCCCTTGTCAGACTCCACTTTCCAGGTACCTACGTAAGGGGAATGTGGGGTTATCTTACAGTTTGCGGAGAAGTGAGGAACCCCCAACTTCCTGCATTCCCCAAATTCCGGGGAGAATTAATTGACGGGCAGGACTTACGACTGAGCACGCTGTTCCTCTACAACACACACACACACATTTCCGCCACGAGGCGGCATAGGCCTGGGAACGACGCTCGGTGCTACACACCCACCTTGCCCTTCCCGCCCCTGTGACGGCACTTCTGGTGCCGCCCAAAATAACGACTGGTCCTGTGGGACAGGGGGCATCATTACCAAGCATGCTTGCTCCCAAGCCAGCTCTCAGAGAGACTAGTGAAAGAGGATGGGAAATCAGGGAAATACGAGACGTGGCGTACTCACCACTCACACATATCCAGTGGCCTCGTCAACGATGCTGGACAATCTGGTGTGTTTTTCCAAGTCCACGTCGTGCAACCAAGCAGCCCCCCTCGTATATGGCTTCACTACCAATGCATACGACGTAAATAGCCTCCTTCGCCTGGTGGTGTTACGTCCTCCGTTATGACCTGTGCCCCTCCAAGCCCCGGCGAACCTTTACACCTTTCTGCCACGTTGTCCTCGGCGGTCCGGGGTTTCTAAACACATTCGGAGCTTTTCCATTGTGCTCAACACATACACACTCGACTACCGGAATTATCCCCTTTTCTTCGCGGAGCAAACCAAGGCCGTTAGCGTCACAGCGCCGCCCTCTTCAGGACAGGAAACCACCAAACACCCAAGGCTTCATTTCACTCCCCATGCCAACTGCCACGGCTGGGCCACACTCTTTCTCCTACCCCCTCTCTTCGCCCTGGGGAACCCAAGTTGGTGTGACAAGGGTGTGGCCTTCCAGCGTATCCGTGTTACCGGGAGTTTTACGCGCTTGGGCGCGACTGGCCTGACTTAGCCTGCCGGCCTCGGCCTATGGTTCCGCTACGCTTGGGCAAGTGGGATTGACGTTCCAAGCACGATATGCCCCATCACACTTCCTGTGGTATCTTCCCGCCTTAGCTGCAGATCTCCCGACCTCTAAGAGTTCGCCATCGCCAGGCCGAGTTGCGGTGTGCAGTTCTCCTTCGACTTTCAATGGCTGGCTGGCTATGTCGTGTCTGCCGTGGTCGCGGCCCGGTGGCCATCCGGCGCCTCCAGGCCACCCTTAGAACAGACTCATATCTCCAAAGGCGGTGTGCACAAATGCATCGCCGTTTTATTGGTGTGGCTTCCTGTTGCCCGCCGTTAAGCAAATTTCAATCCGCCCGCTACGGGGAGCTGACGAACCTGCTACATACTCTCGTTCCCCGCGTTTCCACCCAGCACATGACGCCGCGCCCCGGCTCCTCATTCCATCCCGTTTTACAGCTCGGATATGCACCCACAGGTCTTCGTATCATGCCATGATTGCGTCACGGCACGCTATTCTTCCTGGGGATCGACAGCCACCGACAGCTTAGCAAACCAACGAACTTTGCCTTGCCTTGGTGATGTTGTGGGGATGTCAGCTTAGACCCTGGATTCCGCTTCTAACTCTGGCTTGGGTACCAACATCTGGTTGAGAGAGGTCCCGGCCAAGTGGCGGCATCGGGCTAAGGCTTGAAACAAAACCAAGACGGCACTCCGGACACCAAGGAAATTCTGGGCGCAGATGGGTTGCCAATCCGAAGCGCCTCGCCGTTCCAGACAAGAAACAATTAATGGGTCATTGCCAGAGATCATCCTGCCGTTCAGGGTCTCTTCCGGCTCAGCGCTCCATGTCCATGCCAAGTCCCATGTCGTCCAGATGTTCGCAGTGACCTTGTGTGTCTTGGGTCTTGTGTATATGTTCCACAATAGGTGTATGCAGCCCTTGAAAGTTGTTGAGAGCCAAGGTTGCTACACCTGTGTTTGATGTGGTCTGAAACAATGCATTGCTAACAAGACTCGAGGTTATAAAGAACAACCCAGAAGTTAGTAAGTCCTTTCTTGCACCCGGATCAGACGGTGCTGACCATGGAGCAAGTTGTTGAGGTCGTCAGCGAGAGAAGTCAACTACATGCGGGTAGACCTATTCTAAACCATAGGTTTCTTACATACCTGAGTAGTCCCGTTTTCTGTCGGGGCTGGAACGACTCGGAAACATTGGACGATAGTGAGGTGGCCGGTCCTTGTCCCGGAATCCCGATTCGTTGGCGTTGACATTGACATGCGTGCACAAGGTTCCGGGGAAGTAGGAAGAGATGCAAACACCAGCTGCAGTCAGAGTTGGGACGAGATGGTATGGGTTGGCGGGGCCGGTTTCGTTGGATAACCCGTAACCACTGGTGTGATCCCGGGCGTTTGCTTACTGGCAAGACATCTTTTGAGCCCCGAACTTGGCCTCACACCGCAGCGCCCAGGCATGATGAGACCGTCAATGAGTATCTGTGGGTCGCTCCAATGTATAGATGCTGACGTTGAATCTGCACCATCGGCTCTAGTTCTGCTCTTTTGAGGCGCCTAGACCGAGGTCCCTGTTGTCCGGCGAGCCCTTCCTCTTCGATAGTAAGACCGGATGAACACATCTAGCAGCTACATCTCTGCAACACACTTCTGGGAGACATTGCCCACTGTCATATTTCGTATCCAGGTGGAACACCGTTGACTTGTCGTGCCCAAATGTCTTCGCAAAAGTCCGACCACCGGCGCCGGCGCCGCGCAGCCTGTTTAGCCCGGCCGTGAGGTGGGGCACTGAGGGCCATTGCCGGTAGCGCAGTCGGCCGTGCAAGCGTCCGATCAACAACGTGCTTTCGGACAGACATCCTGAGACTCGAGAACCCATAAAGTAGACTTTTGAATGGAAAGGGGAAACGGAACCACCAACATCAGTTCCATGTCTTGGCTAGGTGCGTGAGCGACTCCATAAAGCACACGATCTACTCGGCAAGATTAACTTGTCGATCGGTTCCCCCAAACCGGTCCTATTACGACGGATGAGTGGAAGCTCTATCTCAGACGGCGTAACGGAAAACGGCCCTCAAATGGACCCAAAATTGCTCGAGATTGCTTTCGGATGAATTACATCCAGCCATGTGAATGTGGCGTGTCAGATCTCGTCTGTCTCGACATGAGAGATTCTTGTGCCTGATTGCGGGGACTTGGGCATCTTCTCAACGGCTCGGAAGCGGTTGCTTTCGGTAACCGAACAGGATCCCCGCAGAAACGACTCCCACAGGCTTGGCTCTGGCGATCTGTCTTAACATTGCACCATCGCACGCCACCCTCTGAAACCAACATGCTTACCGTGCGTGCTCAAACTTGCGATTCGAGAGAAAGGGGAATTGGGTGGTAGATACCAAGGACCCATCCAAATGGCAGGGATCAATCGAGACTAGACACTATCGGCGCAGTAGTAAGCCTAGACTGGCAACGTAGCTGCAGATGGACAAGTCGCCGTCGTGTAATTGGACTGGAAACACAGTAGAGTTGGACAGGATATGCATCTTCACGAGAACGGTTTGCCAATTTTTGGACCAGCCTGTTCTGACCACTCATTTCTTCCACCTCGTTCAACATTTCTGCAAGATTTGGGTACATGTCTCTCTTAGAATATGTTTGCCGAGTGCTTTGCAGAACAGGAAGGTGGTTATGGGTTCCCAACCAGGGTTTCTGTTGCCCCGCGTCCAGTGAGAATACATGCAATCCGCTGTCTCCAAAGCATCCGTGGCTTGCCGTCATCTACACGTTCCCAACCCGTCGGCCCACGAGTCGCGCACCGCAGTCGATCCCTCAAACACGAACTGTCTGCGGCATCATTATCGTCGTATCTGAATCCGTCAAAAACAGAACCAGGCAATGGCTGAACCGTCCGATCTCGTCCAAGCTCTTCGCGGCCAATGGGACAGGCACCCCGTCCGGGCCGTCGCCACTCTCTTGTCTCTGATGCTCCTTCTGTACCGGCTAATCGTAACAGTGAGACAATACCGGAGGCTTCGACACTTCAACGGCCCGCCACTGGCGGCCGTATCGAGATTGTGGCTTCTCCGGGCCGTGATCGGGCGCCGTGGCGACCTTGACTTCTACCACGTCAGTCAGAAATACGGTTGGTTCATGATAAGGCACTTTCGCCTTGCTACCTTGTCCTGATATGCGTCACAGCGAACAGCTGCTCATTTTGAGACGCAAGTAGGATCTCTCGCGCGCATCGGCCCCAATGACCTCCTCAACGACGACCCGGAGCTCATGAAGCGCATGCTCGGCGTGCGGAGCGAATACCTCCGTTCGGACTGGTACGATGGCATGCGCTTCAACCCGGCCAAGAACAACGTCTTGTCGTGGAGGGATGAGAACGAACACTTCAAGTTACGGTCTAAAATGGCGGCTGGCGTAAGTCACGGCTACTTCCACTACTCGCCCATGTCGTCTCACACCTTGCTCAACATACACAACGCGTCTGACACCACGTAGTACTCTGGCCGTGAAGTAGCAAATCTCGAACAAAAGATCGACGACAACTTGCTACGGCTTTTCAAACTCATTGACGGCTACATTGATGGGGGCAAGCCCTTCGACTTTGGCCGCAAGGCACAGTTTTTCACCTTGGACGTCATCTCGGACCTTGCTTTTGGCAGGCCGTTCCGCTTCTTGGAAACCGACTCAGATGTGTACGAGTACATCAAGACGACGGAGGACAGTCTGCCAATGTTTATGGTGACAACTGTGTTCCCTTGGATTATTGGCCTGTTCGCGTCGCCCCTATTCAGGTCACTGCTACCGTCGGAGAAGGACCCGCTGGGGTTTGGGAAGGTGATGGGGTGAGATGCTTTTTGTTGACCTTGGTGCAGTCTAGTACTGAGGAGGGCTTTTCGGCTGACGCTTGAATTCAGGATTGCCAAGCAGGTTGCTGCTGAACGCTTCGGGCCTGATAAGAAGGTCCAGAGGGACATGTTGGGTTCATTTGTTGCGCACGGCTTAACACAAGAGGAAGCCGAATCCGAGATTCTCCTCCAGATGTAAGGCTACCGCTTCTCCTAGTGTCCAAGCGAGGATGCCCGACTTACCTTCATTCTAGCGTCGCCGGCTCCGACACCGTAGCAACCGCGATCCGCGCCACCACTCTCTTCGTAACCACCAACCCGCGCGTCCATGCTAGACTCCTTGCTGAGATATCCTCGGCCGCATCTTCGACCCACCGCCCATGATCGCCAACGCAGAGGCCCGCAACCTGCCTTACTTGCAAGCCGTCATCAAGGAGGGGCTCCGCATATTCCCGCCCGTAGCAGGGATCATGGCGAAAGAGGCACCGGCGGCCGGGGACACGTGGAAGGGGCAGTTCATCCCTGGCGGGACCCGTATCGGCTGGTCCGTTTGGTCCATGTTCCGCCGGGAGGACGTCTGGGGCAACGACGCGCAGGAGTTTCGACCGGAGCGCTGGCTGGCCGAGGAGCAGGGCGGTACGACGCCGACAGAGAAGCTGCGTGAGATGGAGTCGACAATCGACTTGGCGTTCAGCTATGGGAAGTACCAGTGTCTCGGGCGGCCCGTGGCGCTGATTGAGCTGAACAAGGTCTTCTTCGAGGTAAGTTATTGCGCGGTTCATCTTGTTGTCCCGAGATCGCTCTAGATGGGTGGGCTATGGTGCTGATGCGAGTCTCGATAGCTACTTCGACGATACGACTTGACCGTCTGCGATCCCCTGAACCCCTGGGAGTCTTTCAATTGCGGTATCCACGCTCAATCAAACTACTGGATCAGGGCCCACCATAAGGAGTAGAATCGAACACCATGGTGTCTTTATAGTCATGTAGCCAGGTGATGGGCGTGCTGTTTCCATGATCGAAACAAGCGGGCGTGCAAGGAATAGCCTCAGTAAGGACTTTATGGACATTCTTGAGTCGTCAGTTCAGTAGATGTTATAGATTGCTCGTCTTCGACACATCCATTATTATTTGGTTGTTAAGGAAGTAGAGGAACACACATTGCAGCGGAGACCCAGGTTGAACCATTGGTATACTCGACTGACACGACAATCCGCCATGATTGGAAAAGGCGGCCATAGGATCCAGCAATCAAGACACGTGAGTGCACATGCGTCTACAACGGTCCAAGGGTGGGCTGGAAGCTTGGGTTTGGCCGGTGGTGATGCATTTCCAGTTGGGTGGCCGTACACATGTCCGTGTGAAGCTCAAATCCCCCCTACATCCGTCGGTCTAATATCTCCTTCCTCGGTACACAATCTAGGCCCCAACTCGGGTTTGGTGATTCAGCTGTAGGAACACGTCGACTTCGGATTAATTAGAGAACGCCGTGCACTTGAAACATGGAATATGGTATGCTCTTTACAACTCTTTGTTTCAGTGTCCCCTATCGACTTGGTCGTTGGCTGGCCATCGAATGGCCGCTGTCATATGTACCAGCGCTCCAAGTGTTTCATTCGCTTCTCTCTTCCAAGCGCTTCCCACCCCGGGTTCCAGGGACACACATGCTCGAGTCATCGACGAGGTCGGAAGTATAACACCCAATTGGCCAGCTCACCATGGTGAACCACCCCCACAGAGCCATGCTATTGGCCGCTCCACGGTCCCCAGAGCTCCAGTCCCTCCCCCGCATCGGCCGGCTCTAGCTCAAATGTCGGCTGTGTCGTGCCTCGGCATCTCTGACCTCATCCCGGCTCCCGCCTTCACCTCCCGTCATTTAAACCTCCAAGTGCCGCGTGCCCCTTTCGAACCGAACTTTTGCAAGCGCGTCGATCACGGTTCATCAGCCCGCTGCACACGAGTCACGTCGATTCGATAAATCGGGGAATTTACCTATTATCACCGCCCAGGCTCAGCTCCGTGCTGTCGTGTTTTCACAATCGCATCTCACCACATCTCACCACATCTCACCACAGCCGCGACATCAGGTGAATCAGTCCACAATGGCCTCATCCGACGAGGACAAGAAGATCGTGCTATACCACTACTCCGCGTCGCCGTACGCGAGGCGGATCGTGTGGTACCTGGCTCTCAGGGGCATCCCGTATGTCCAATGCGTAGGTCCACTGCTCTGTCTTGGTCACTCCCGAGCTGTGCGCTCACACGACATGTCAGATGCAACCGCCCGTCCTCCCCCGCCCAGACGTCGAGAAGCTGGGCATCGTCCACCGCCGCATCCCGATCCTCACCATAGGCCGCGACATCTACTACGACACGCGCCTCATGCTCCGCAAGCTCGAGCAGCTCTACCCTTCGCGCCCACGCCTCGGCGCCGCCGGCCCGGAGCACGTCGCCGTGGAGCGCCTCCTCGAGGCCTTCGTCATCGACGGCGGCGTCTTCTCCAATGCCACCAGCATGCTTCCCGCGAACCTGCCGATGCTCCAGGACCCCAAACGCACCTGGTTCAAGGACCGCGAGGGCTTCTCCGGCCGCAAGCTCACCGTGGAGACGATGCAACGAGCGCGGCCGATGGCCATCCACGAGATCCGCCGCATGATGGAGCTGCTCGAGACGACGCTCCTCGCCGACGGGCGCGACTGGGTCCTTAACACGGACGGGCCCGGGCTGGCGGACATCGAGGCCGTGTGGCTGCCGCACTGGCTTGCGAACATCCCCGGCGCGCTGCCGAAGGAACAAATCTCGGCAGAGAGGTTCCCAAAGGTGTTTGCCTGGATCGAGCGGTTTCAGAAAGCCGCGTCAGCGGCAAAGAAGGTGGCGCCAAAGGTCGCGGCGGTGTCCGGGGACGAGGCGGCAGACATCGTCGCCTCGTCGCCGTACAGCGAGGCCGAGGGCTGGATCGACAGCAATGACGCGCTTGTCGCCGCCGAGGGGCTTGAAGCGGGCGACGAGGTCATCCTCTGGCCCGCCGACACGGGCGCCTCGCACAAGGACACCGGGAAGCTCGTGAGTCTTAACGGGGACGAGGTGGTGATTGGGGTTCAGGGACACAAAGGGCCGGCAAGAGTGCATGCGCCGAGACACGGCTTCCGAGTAGAGAAGCTGGACAAGTTTAAGGAACGCAGAAGTTCCGCCAAGCTGTAGAAGCCCACGGCTGGCCTTTGCGGAATGATGGAGGCCTTGCTAAAAGCGCAGTGGCCATCACGCGGTTTCTTCCCAAACCTCTGGAATGGGACGAAAGACGGGGAGATTCTTCACTCACCGGGCTCGGTGTCACAACGTGCCATAGGGACCCCTCAGCCAGGACACGTGAAAATACCATGGAAGATGATCGGGAACTGCCCATCGAGAATTTAGAGCCCATCTGAGCTGGGATAGAGGGCTAGGAATGTGATCGTCTACGTCGCACAAGACTTCTCGGAACGCAACCGGCGACACGTTGCGAGGGATCTTCATGAGATATGCCGCAGTTTGTGAATGGTCCGATACGATTGTACAGTTTCCCCATCGTGTCTACTAAACGAAAAGCTGTTTTCAGATTTAATACTTCGTCGTACACTGTAAGCCGAGTAGCCGGGTTTCAACCGTTGACTACTTATTGCCGAAGGCATAACATACTGATGCACAACGTATATGATGCTGGCAAGCAATGGGTCAAGTAGTTGAAACCCGAATTGATAGCGTAGTGTGGAGGAGATCATCCGTACCACAAACGAGATGTGGATGACAGCTCCTGCTTCCGGCTTCAGCACCTTCCGCTATCGAATAGGATGTAAGTCCAAGAGTAGTAACATGGAACAACCTTCTGGGTATCGTCAACCATGGACCGGTATGGTCTCCCTCGCGCCCTACTCAATCTGGGTACTAGGACCGCCGTTGAAGGAGATGGTGTGCTGTAGGATGCTACAGTATGAGCCAGATCGATGGGGCTAGCCACCTGCGATAAGCATAACTAGGGTTGGAGCTCAGTGGTGTGCGTAGGGAAGCAATAGAGTCGATCGGATCAGAGGATGCACAGGCACAGGAAATGCGTCGATGCCGGGAGGATTGGTCGCGACTGGGCCCATCGACGATGCTGAGCTGAAGACGATCGGACGAGATACTCCGCCAGGGAACCGGCGTGAGTTGAGGCTTAACCAGACGCTCGTGGCGTCGACCCGAGGGAATGGGCAGTGGAGACGATACGCTAGCTAGACAGAACGATAGGCCAAAGCTGGAGAGGCCAAAATTCTCCTCCAGTTATTCAGCGTGTTTCTTGCAAAACGCGTGACATGGACGTGCTTCGGGATGCGAATTCCCATCTGACATTCTTGGTCAGCAAGATCGAAATCGATCCTCAAGCAGGTAAATCGACGACAATCAGCGTGCCGAGTCAGAGCTTTGGATGAAGTGCTTATCAGACGTGCCGTCACTTTCACTTAATAATCAGCATTTCTTCGTCATTGTCCCATCAGTGTCTCTGCTGAGGCTTGGAAAACCGATTGTTTGTCCCAACTCGAGTCCGTAAAAAAAAGTGAATAGGCCAAGTCGCTGTAACGCGCCGACGGGGGTGTACGGTTGAGATGGGACGGCCAGACGGCCGTACAGTGCGTCGCGACGCGATGCAAAATGCAAAGTTTGAGCACAGTGCGTGTGCCCCAGTGGTGCGGGAATAGAGGAGCAGAGGCTGCAGGCCGCAGGGATTATACTCCGGGTCTAGTGCGTCATAATTTGGTAACTGACTTGCCGACAAGGTCCTTCTCCTCCGGAGATACGTACCGTTTCCTCAGCCTGGGACCGCTATTGTTAATTCGCGAAACGCAGAACACCCCAACCAAGCACACCACGCCTGGAATGCGTGGGAGTGGGAGCAAGCGGTCGTCTCGAAGCGGACCTGTGGGTCCTCCATTGTTGGGCTTTCAGAGGTCCGGAGGACGCTGAGTGTCGAATATTTGCTGTCGGTTGCCGTTATGGACTGGGTCCTGTTAAGATCGCAGCCCACCGTCGAGGAAGTCAGTCCTGGGACGCAGGCGAGGAGACCGTCAACTTTTGGGTTTGTCCACTGTTTGGATTCGCGTTGCCCTACCACACCTTGCGAGATGCGTCGCCGAACGTGCCGGGCGACAAGTGTGGGCGGCAGCGTTGGACTCTCTGGGCTTATGGGGTGACAAAGATATCCCATTCGCCGATAGTTCAACGATATACAGCTACGTCATCTCCAATGACGCCACCGATGCAACACACAAAGCTGAAAAGCACTAGGACAGTGCGTGCCTCTGGGAGGGATTGGCTAAAGACGTGGTGGCCCTTGAGCGCGCGCAATTGGGAACCCCTTCAAGAACTTTATCAGTCGTCCTCGTCTCAAGCCTAAAACAGACTGTTTTTTGCAAGACCGTGACGTAATGGGAGTCTGGAAGGAGAGGAACCCAACAACTGCTGTGACAAGCCTGCCGCCTTCAACTGGTCAGTACAGGTCTCGGTTAGAGGAACGTTGTCACTGAATGGGCATCAGTAAACAACGCTGCCAAAGGTCCAGCGAATACCAGTCGGCGGGTCGCTTGCCAAAGGGTGCGAGAAGGGGAAACGGCATCGTCGTTCCCGTCTGCGTTTCTGTCTCTGTCTGGGCCTCGGAACGGATTCGATGGACGTGGCCCGACGTGTGCTAGTGTTGTGACGCAATTTGTTGGAATCATTCATAGTCGCCAGTCGGAGGGCAGGGACTAGGTGCCGGGCCCTCCCTGGCCAATCCGCAGCGCTACGCAGCACCTCATTGGTGGATGACGACTGTAATTTGCCACTCCGATTGTCAGTCGCGTTGAATCCCTCCATGCCGGCCCACCCACGCTCGCTGTCGTCGGCCAACTGGGTCGAGGAGGTGCGGCTTAGAAATCGACGGTGAGCGGCTGCCGTCGAAGGTATGGTGGTCTAAAGATGGAGCGAGATAGTCTGACACGATCTGGTTTCGCGTGTCTTGTCGGATGCGGTCGAGCCTGGATGGTTAACATTCGTACAGTTGTTGCACGGCTGGGAATCCAGATTGTAATGGAGGAGGGGAAGCCTTATCCCGAAGGAGGAACAAAAGTGTCGATCACTTCACCGTAACGTTTGGTCGAGGGCCAGATTCCTACGGGCGACCTGACGGCCGCATGGTTAGACACCTGGCACGGCACACGGTGCGGGTGGTTCGATGGCGCTGGCTGGTCTAGAACTTGCGAGAGACAAGGCAGGGCGGTGCGAAGTGCTGGGTCGAAGAAGTCGTAGCTCTGATGTGATGGGTTGGAGATTCCCACCAGCGAGTGGGCGAGACTGGATGTTTGTATGAATGCGAGAGCTACAAGTGCGGCTCGGCGGGCGATTATGAAGGAGTAGGCACAGTGGATTCCGGTCAGGCCAGCCGTCTGCCTCCGCACCGGGAAAGCAGAAGGAAAAGGGTAAAAGAGGGCAAAACGCCAAAATGAGAAAAAAGCCGGCGGGCGAGTTGCGATGATTGCGACAGGAAGGAAAGTGATGCAATCAATGCAGGGGTTGGGGAGTCTTTGAGGGGTGGGGCCGCCGGATGGGGAACGTGCAGCCACAGTAGAAAACGTTGGCTACAGACACTGGCTGTGTGGTGCATAACGGGGGGGTGTACGGACCCCCTGGACTTGCATCTTCACATTCCTGACCACACAGCGGCTGCTTCCACCTTGTTTGGGCCATGGCTGAATGGCTGGGAGTGGTCAGCACGCGTACAGTGTGACACTGGGCATCGGTCGATATGCTCCTAGCAGGCACCCGTCTGGTTCGTGTTCTAGTTCTGTACAGTGTTGCGGACATGTTGGACTGCGACAAATGGGTTGCGTGAGGAGGGAGAGAAGCACTGTGGAAGGGGGCATAGAAGCTGCCGAGCGCGCGAAGAGCAAAACTCATCATCTGCCACGGCCGATCCAAGACGTCTAGACCCCCAGGGTAGCGATGGGCCCGAGGCATTACAACGTAACGGTCTGGACAGTTTCTCTCAGCTGATAAATCAAGATAAGGCGAAAGGCGGGAGGCGAATTCGCACAGGTGAGGTAGGCGTAGATGGGGGCAAGAAAGCCTGACTGAACGAGATGGTGCGCGCCTTCGGCAGACTGCTTACCGTCCTTCGCTTGAAGCAACGAGATGAGACGGAGCTTGATGATGGTGTACCTACGTCTTACCCTTCGCTGATGCCAGGGCAGTGGACGGAGTTGGGCCCAGGACGTTGGCATATGGGGAAAAGGAGCACATGGGGGTTTACGCGTGAAAGTGTGTGGGCAACGTGACCTGGTCGGAGAGAGAACCAAAAAGCCTTGACGGAGAGGCAGTCAAACACATCCAAGGCGAGGCTGGACTGGACTAGACTGGACGGCGTTTGCGAAGATACCAATGTAGGAGCGATACGTAGTCGTCGTTCCGTAGAGGTACGATGGGTAGGTGTGTGGGGAAGCCTATACCCCATTCGTAAGCCGTTCTTGAGTGACCGGGGTCGGTTGCCGTACAGTGCGTAAGACTGACCCACATATATCCCAGCGTTTCTCGCAGAACGGGGAAGGAGCAGAAAGCAGGAAGCAGCAGAAGCGCAATAGCACAGGAACAAGTTGACGAGACTGGACCAGGACGGGGGCGTTATTGGAAAAGGATGGGCGTGGATGGACATGGACATGGACATGGACGTGGGCGTCCTGGTGTCAGAGTGTGCGCCGCTGCCCACCCATTTTCTTTTCTCTCGTGCGCCCTCGCCCTTTTTTTTTATTTTTTAAAATCAACCACCGCGCAACGTCATACTTGACCTGTGACGTCTGCCGTTTTTTTCACCCAACCTACTCTCACTTTCGATACTCGCTCTGCACCCCCCCGATCTTAGCACGTCCCCGGGTACGCATCCAGAGAGGCCACAACTACGCAATACGTCTATTCTGCTGCGGCCACAGCGAGACAACTTTTTCTCCTCACCACGTCGTCGATCTTCGAAAGTTTCTCCATTCCCGTGCCGCTTCCAATTCAGAGGAGCGCTGCAATAGCGTAGCTGCTGCCTCTGACTGACTAACCAATCTTGCTTTGCCGTTGCCGTCGCTGCTTTGCCTGTCTCTCCCAAGTTGCGCAGCAGGATCGGGTTTCCCTCTCCCCTTCTTCGCTTCCACCCAGACCTCTAAGCTCTCCCGCTGCGTGTTGTCCTCCTCTGACCTCATCTGGCTTTTTTCACCACCACCATACATCATCCCTACCCTGCTACCGTCACCTTTTGCCTTCGGCGCCCACCCCACAAACGTCAACAACCCTCTTTCCCCCTAGTATAATACATCATCGTCGTCATCATGGGGACTTCACCGAATGCTGCCTCTACCAGGGGTGATACCAAGTCACCCAAACAGTCCAACAATGCCACTCCGCCACGCCAAGGTACGTTCGATCCCTTTTGCATCGTGATACTTTGTCGTTCTCTCACCGAAGACATCATCGTCGTTGCCCTCCTCTTCCCTGTCCATTCGCTCATAGCTCTGCAGATTCCATCCCCGAAGTGAAGCAACCCGACCCGAGCTTGAAGCCCGATGCTGACGGCGCGAAACCTCTCGGTCCCCCTCCTCGACCTGGACAAGCCACTGGAAACACTCCCGATTACTTCGGCGGCGGAGCCGCTGGATCTCTCAGTCTGGAGCCCAATCCCTTTGAGCAGTCTTTCGGCGGAGGCGCGCCAGAGACACCCGGTGGTACCAAGTTGCCATCCGTTGCTGCTCTGACTTCGCCCTCTTCGCTGCTTCCCGGCAGCGGCGCAACTCCGTTCAACTGGGGAGGTGGTTCTTTGCGAACTGGTCCTCTAAGCCCGGCCATGTTGTCGGGTCCGACGAGCGATTACTTTAGCGACACGCATCACCTTCGAGGCGGATTCCCGACCCCGAACGAGTCTTCACTGAGGACTGGCTTGACCCCAGGTGGCAGCGGATCTATGTTCCCTGCCCCGAGCCCCAACTCTCAGCAACTGTTTGCCCAGCTCGCCAGTGGCGGTGCCACACCTAGCACGATTGATTTCCACCGCACTGCTTTGAGTGCTGCTGCGAAGCGTGAAACCCAGAACCAGAACCAAAACCAGAACCAGCAACAGCCACCCGTTACGTCGCAACCCCAGGATATTCCCAACGGCGCACCTGCTGTGAAGACCGAAGCAAAGCAATTCGACCCGCACGATAACGACGCGGCAAACGGCCTATTTATGCTTGCCCAGGGTAGAAACGGCGCCCAGGCTCCCTCATACGCGACGACAACGCAGTCTCAGTCACAGTCACACTCCGCTCCTGCCCCCACACAGGGTATCGATACGTCTCCTCAGATGAGCGTGAACGGCGCCGGCTCAGTAGGCGCTGGATCTTCAGTTCGAGGTGTTAGCGAAGGCGGAAGCGCCATGTCAGACGAGAGTGAGCAGGCCCGCCCCTCAGCCAGGGGTAAGGGTAAGCGGAATTCTACTGGAGGCGGTTCGACGAACGGTCGTCGGAAGGCTGAGGAGCCCCCAGCCAAGGGCCCCCTAGCAAGAAGTCCAAGCCGAACAACGCACCCCCTCCCGACATGAACGGCGATGATAGCCACTCCGACGACGATGATATGAAGCATGAGAACGGAGAAGGCGGTTCTAAGTCCAAGATGACAGATGAAGAGAAGCGCAAGAACTTTTTGGAGCGTAACAGGTGAGCTACAAGACCATTGCCATCATGTCACTATACATCACTAACCACATCAAACAGAGTTGCTGCCCTGAAATGTCGACAGCGTAAGAAGCAATGGCTGGCTAATCTCCAGTCAAAGGTTGAGCTGTTCAGTAGTGAGAATGATGCTCTCACAGCTCAGATTACGCAGTTGAGGGAGGAGGTTGTTAACCTCAAGACATTACTCCTCGCCCACAAGGACTGTCCTGTCACGCAGCAACAGGGCCTTCACGGTGCTTTTATGCAACAGGCGATGGAACCCTTCAACCCACAGATGAACCCGTACGGCATGGCCGCTCCTATTCCGAACCAGCAGGTGCTTGCGGCAGGACAGGGTGTGCAGCGGCGCTTTTCATAAAGCTACGAAGCGTCGTATGGTTACATCTTTTAACCCCGAGGAGATCGAGGAAGTTGAGACCTCGTCCTACCCATGAGCAACTAGCAGCGATTACCGCGCTTAGCTTGTGCTCAGCCAACGCCGAGATGACGATTTTACGCTGTTTCTTTCCTGGCTCGGCCTTGACTTGCGGTTCAACTGTATCATTTTTTATACGACACACCTGCTCCATCATCACATTGCTTCTCGTACTTGCTCATGGGGCTAGTTGAGGTTGGGCTGTACAGTAACGGGAGCAGTCCTCCTCGGGCTGGAGGAAGGTCGGCGGGCGTCATTGGCTTGGCTTGCCGGTATTGCATTCACCCTTCATTGAAAGGTGTGGGATGCAAGGCATATACATCAAAAGGAGTTTACGGTTTGGCAGTTGTTTACTGAAATGCGGGAGGCGTCGAGGGGTGGGAGCCGGAAATACGCCGTCTTCCGCCGGTTTGGCTGATTTGACTTTTGTTTTGAACGTAGCAATGGTAACAATAGCTGCATGACTGGCAATGCCTTGAAATCAAATACTTCACATAATACGCTTGCCTGTATTTGCCTGCAGAAGAAGCTTATATTTGCTGCTCATAATTATCGTCTTAAGTAGAGAAGTAGGTGTTTAGATAGCATCACGCAAGGGCTTGCACGTTACCGGATCTAGTCTTGTAGAACTTTGTGTGATTTGAGCATTTTCATGACATTGCATTAACCTTCCGAGAGCCATAAGGTGATGTCAGTGAGGCGGTCGTGGTTCCGGGATTATGAGTGGCTGATGGAGATTTCCCAAAGTGGCTTAGCGTTACCTCTCGGGTAAATCGACCCTCATGTAAACAACATCGTAGAAGCTGCACCTCACCAGTTTCGCGCCGCCAACTACCCCAGCAGATCAACGCGACACCCACGACAAGACCCCGCCGACCGAATGCCCAGCGATTTCCCATTTACCACGACAGCACCGAGTTTTCTGCTGCCCGTACGTCCATTGCGCGCCGATTGACGCGATTTCGTTGTTTCGGAGCGCGACTTGACGTTTCCCCATTTCTCAGCGCCGGCTTCTACGTCTCGACCACATGCTCTCTGTGACGCGCCATCCATGACGACCGTCATTCGAACCCGTCATCCGCTGCAAGTCATTAGCATGAGCAACGAGCAGCCTGAACGAAGGAAAAGCAAGCGCCTGGCGGGTAAGTTCGAGGAGCGTGGGCATGAAGCGGGGATGCTAACGATGCGCGCAGCAACGTCGGTATATGACGAGCAAGATGGCGACTTTCACTTCACGCGCGGCTCGAAATCGAAGCGAGTCAAGAACGCAGATTCCGAGCCAGAGCCCGAACCAGAACCGGAGCCCGCACCGGTGGCCGCGAAGAAGTCGGGAAGAGGAAGGCCCGCGAAGGGACGCGCTTCAGCGGCTGCGAAGGCACCCGAGCCAACATCATCAGTAACTGCACCAAGAGCGGCGACTTCATCGAAACCACGAACGCGACGAACAGCGAGTCTGCAACCGGTAGAGGAGGATGAGCCAGAATTGATTGCGCCGAAGCGGACGACGCGCCGAAGCACGCGCAACTCGACGGGAAAGGCCGAGAAGGCGGATAAGGAAAAGCCGGTCAGCAGACCAGCGCCAGTACCGGAAGAAGATCACAATGATGAGGAAACCGCGACACCAATGGAGGTAGAGAGGCGACTGACGCCTTGCGTCATGGAAGGGCCAGTCGAGTCGGCGAAAATAACTCTCCCTGTCAGCGATACGCCTGTTATCAATCGCAACAAGGAGATGCGGAAAAAGGGAGGCGGTAATAGGCGGAGCAGTACGGGTATGCGTGGCAGGAGAGCAAGCTCTCTGATTGAGAGCGGGCACAACGCAATTCCGCATCGGGAGGTCGAAACCGCGGAATTCTACAAGCATATCGAGTCTGAAGGCCTCATGGAACCGAGGCGGATGAAGCAGCTGTTAACCTGGTGCGGCGAACGAGCACTGCTGGAAAAGCCACCACATGGGCAAACGGATTCTAATACAGTGCTGGGTGGTAAGTTTCGGCATGAATTCTGTAAAACCCTTCAGCCGCTAATTTGGTACAGCACGCTACATCCAGGAGCAACTACTGAAAGACTTTTCGACGAAGTCAGAATTTTCAGACTGGTTCAGTCGAGAAGAGGGGCCAAAGCGGCCCGTGGTATACAAACCAAACCCACGCAACATCGAGCACCAACAGAAGATTGAGCAACTAGAACAGAAAGTCAAGAGGTATGGTGGAGCCATATTCAGTAACTCGCAGGGGCTCCATACTAACGAGACACAGACTGAAAGAAGAAAAGAAGAAGTGGCTGGCGCTGAAGAAATCACGCACAGAAGTCCCACCGTTATTTCCCGAACCAGATACAGCACAAACAGCAATGGCAGATGCATCAGTACTTGATCCGAAAGAAGCAGAAATGCTGAGCTGGCTCACCAACCCGGCGTCCTCCTTCGATAACCTACGCGCCAAGACGCTCTCCCGCCTGCAAAACACGCAGTCAACGCTGGAGTTTAAGGTGGACCAGCTCGCAGACGGCATACACAAGCTCTTGCAACGAGTCGACACGGCAGGCCGAGAGGCGGATAAGGTGCTCTCGCTCAGCGCCGCACGGCTCAAGGAGCGAGAGACGAAGGAAAAGGCCAATGCGGGCACAAAAGAGATGCCCGTTATGGAGGTGCTCCGCAGCCTAGGTAGGATATTGCCAGAGGGCGGGGAGTAAAGAATAATGTACACATGAGCATCCCCCCTTTTTTTTCCCGCTCAAGATCTGCGCAACGCCCTCTCCTTTTGATGAAGATAATGACTGGTATGAGAGTGTGCGGTTGGGAGGGTTAACAATCGTTTTCTTGGTTTTCGCTCTTGTTGGGTTTCCTCAGGACTCGCGAAGTCTTTTTTTGGGAACGGATCGGGCTGGCAAACAAGCACACTCTTGTCTCTTCGGGATTCTTTATTTTTTTTCGCTTGATGCAAGGCATGGATTGGCGCCGAAGGGGTTTCTAGGGAAGATGTGAAGACAGATTGCATCTCGAAGGGAGTTTTCAGTTACCCAATACCCACATTGTCTTTTGCCCGTAGGCAGGAAATATCATCATTCCTGTGTGTATCTCGGATGTTGAACTCGCCACAAGCCTGACTGCCACCATCTGGCGGGACTCATTCGGACAACAACCCCTGCTGGCCTACGATCATCACACTAGGTAATTGAATATAAAGTGAACGGATACTAAACCTCAACAATTGCTGAATGCGTATGGTCATGGTGACAAAATTTGTTCTCCAAAGCGATTTGGCCGGGGGCCTCGTTTACACGAGATACACCTGAGAGGGGCAGAGGTAGGGAGGCATGCAGTGCAACCAAGCTTTCAGCCTAACTACTGCCACCCTAAGTTTCTCCACAACTTCGGTAGGCGCTTCGTAGGCTCAGACGCGATCCGCCTCGGGGAAGAGATCACGTAAGGCTTTGATTATCAATTGCACGATTCAAGCCAGCCTCCGCGTGTGCGTCGAGATCGAACCGTCATACAGTGTCGGAATCGCGAACACGGTACGTACTTACACGGCCCAAGCTGCTTCGAGATCCCAGGGTCCTCTTTATCGATGGCGAACTTCACCAGTTATCGTCTACCTCGGTAACAGGAACCACCACTTCGCCCTATCAAATCTTCCAATTACTCATACAATTCTTCGTCTCTCTCAACACCCCATACGGCAACGTCTCGGACCACGTAGTACGGTAACGAAAGAGAAACCAAAGGGAAACCGAATCACCACAGACACGCTACAGCGAAAAATGTCGACATTAGCCCGCGCCCTCCGCCCGGCTCGCCGCCTCCGAGTCGCTCCGCCGGCCCAGGCCGCACCCCTCGTCGTCCGGAGGTGCTTCGCCGACAAGCCGCCCATCTACACCGAGCCCGCCGTCAACAACGAGCTGGGCGTCGGCGAGTTCGAGGGCATCAAGTTCCGCGTCGAGCCGCTGCGGCGCGTGGGCGAGGACGAGCGGACCATGCGCGCCCGTCTGCTCTGTAAGTTCTCTCGGCCATCTGGTCTCCCCCATCCCCCCGAGAATGCTATTCCGGCAAAAGACTCAGAGGGAGAAGAGGCGACTGACGGAACCCCACCTTGTGTGCGACAGACCAGTCCCGTAAGCGCGGCACCCTCGAATCCGACCTCCTCATGTCGACCTTTGCCAACGAGCACCTCCCGCACATGACAAAGGCCCAGATGCAGCAGTACGACCTGTTCCTCGACGAGAACGACTGGGACATTTACTACTGGGCGACGCAAGAGGAGGCCCCCTCCAACTCGGCCCCGACGCAGAAGCCAGAGACGGACACCCTCGCCTCGGCGACCACCAAGGGCTCCGAGTCCTACCGCCCCGTCGGCGACGGCGCCGCCGCAACCATCGACTCTGGCCGTGCCGCGCCGGCCAAGCCCGCCGAGGACGTCCGCACGCAGCCGCAGCGCGCCGGGGAGTGGGCCAACACCATCGGCACCTTCAAGGCGCAGTACCGCCCCGTCCCGCGCGGTGGCAGGGCAGCGAGGTCCTCGAGATGCTGAGGGCCCACGTGCGCAGCCGCCGTGCGGACGGTACCGTCGGCGTGCATCGCGACGTGCAGGAGCGCAAGGAGGGCGGGCTCGGGTTCATGCCCCCCTGTTTGACGTCGACAAGGCGGGCAACAAGAACTGAAGGGGTGGGGGCGATGATCAGGATGCATGGAGATGGTGCGAGGTCGAACGTATAGAGATGTAAGAGCGAGGCTTGTACCACCATATCTATTAGGAAATTACCATTACCATGGGGGAAAATATGGGTAGGGAGGAGGGACATGGTGTACAGCATTCTTAGCTTCGTTGGAAGCCATTGCATACTAACCGGACGGAGCACTTCAAGACGGTGAAGCCGAGGGGAAAATTGCATGAAGGCAGCCTGGCTTCATTGGAAGCCTTTACCACGCCCAGGTCCTGGGACGATGTTGTACAACAGACCTGTAATTTGACAGTGGGATAGACAGCTGCAAGTACAAGCGCAGCAATATATGCGCTAAGATAATGCACGGTGGTTCAAGAGCGCCCGGTGAAACAATTGGCCCTATATACATCAGTCACTGGATGGGGCACTCCCACTTTAAACTGACATAACCAGCATTGAAATGCAGCAACTGCTAAAGCATAGTAAGTGGCCGGGGGCGTTAGGACCGGCGGGCTATACCGTCCAGGAATCGGCCCGGCGTTGCGGACGGACACACGGACCATGTGGAATGTCTTTTTCGCTCCGGCCCCGTACCGTACTCCGAGCGGATGTGTCCTCTCTGTAGTTGAGAAACGGGTGTAATATGATGTCCGTTATATCATTCATGACTTTTAAATGGCGCTCGTGGTATGTATACACTACTGCACGCTCGGAAACCCCCGAGGTGCTTGGATGCTTTCCCGATTGGCATCACAGAGAGACACTCGTCGCCGCCGACCCTCGCCCAACACAACATCTCTCGTCTGTCCCGTAAATTCTTTGCGATTTTGGTAGCTGTTGACTGACTTGTTTGCTTACTCCATTCAGGAAGAACTCTAAATCAGATGCTTGGATCTGCATTATTTGCCCTGGTTAGTTATGGAGCCCTACGGCCACTTGGGCGGATGCCAGGTGGCGGGAAAGGGGTCCACGAACCTGAAGTACGCCCGCAGGTACATAATCTGCCAAGCCCACAGGCCGACGAGTATCAATGTCGTGCCGATGCCGAACCACTTGACGCGGGTGTTGGTGCTCTCGTTGGTGTCGCGGAGCTTATGCTCGCGAGCGCGCAGGTAGTCCATCTCGGTGTTGATCTCGCCGACAAGCTCCTCAATGCGCCGCAGCTCCGCCTCCACGGGCTTGAGCTTCTCCGTCGCTTGAATGGCGTTCCAGTCCTTGGCATCGGCACCAATGTCGATGTCGAGCTCGATGTGGCGGCTCGTAGCACCACTGCGTCCAGCTGTGCGATTTCATGTTAGCGTCTAGCTCTAATGGCTCCTCAGGTGAGAGCCGAAGGCATTGGATTGGAGGCGTTGCCATCATAGAGGTTGTAACTTTGAAGGTGCATGTAAAAGTCAGGTCTGAGGGGGAGTCACGTACAGCCAGAGAGGATGTTCTCGAAGCAAACGTCAAAGGCGGCATCAGCGTGAGAGGTGAATACGATGCGCTTCTCGCCACCAGCAATATCCTTCGGCTTGCCGTAGTCGTTGCCGACAGCGTCCTTGATCTGCAGAGCAACTCGCGGTTAGCCGAACCTCCAATTCAACACAGTTTCTGTTTTTCCCTTTCTCCCTCTCTTTCTTGGTCGTTTCTTTCCCCAAACACCTCGGAAATTCAATCCTTTTCTTCGCTTTTCGATTCCCAAGGCTCAGGAGAGGGGGGCGTTTGAGGCCACGTACGTGCATGTTGACGGTCATGCCGTCACCCTTCTGACCGTCCACAATGGCCGTGACGACGACGAGGGTATCCCGACCGACGAAGTTACGGATGCATCGCTCCTTCTTGCCCTCGTGGGGACTCGTGGCTTGCAGGTCGAACCTGAGCGCCTGGGCGCAGCAGGCGAGCAGGACGAGCCCGCACACGTAGTGCAGCAGCGATCTTGTCGGCGCCATCGTTCGTTCGTTTCGCAAAAGTTAAGGTAATGGAACCCGCAGGTGTTTCGACCGATCGGGTCGGGCCAGTCGCAGCGGTGGGAGTGAAGAGGCGATGGCGACAGGGGAGAGGGGGGAGCCGGGCGTGGGTTGGATTGTCGAAAGCTGGTCGTTGAAGGAGCTCCCTGGACTAGCGATAGGAGAGCTACAGTCTCGAGGAACCACCTTTGGGGATTTTTGGAAATCTGTCGCGTTCGAGAGCCTGGACCACTCAATGACCCCTGTCGGCGGGTAGGTTATGCTCTGGCCAATCAGAATCGGGAAGAGGGGCAGCCTCGCTCTTGGCACTCACGTGCGGTGGCAGCCTTGCAACTTTTCGAGGTGTGGCGCCGGGCGCGGCGCGCGCTGCATCTATCTGCCTTCGATGTCCATCCTTTCTCATCACGAATGCGACGTGCCCTTTCACACGTAACGAGGCCAATTCTTAAGAAACAATATTTTTGTGTCTTGCATCACCAGCGTCGAGGAAAACAGCTACCCCGTCATTCCCTGTAGCATCATCTGCCAAGATGCCCAAGTGTAAGTCTCCCCTCCATCAACTGCAAGAAGCTCAAAGCTAACCCGAGGTCCCAGTCTTCTGTACGTCCCCTCCAGCTCCTCCCCGCGCTCGATCGCGAAGCTCCTTGCCCGACTAACACAATTTCCTAGGCGATTATTGCGATGTTTACCTGACGCACGACTCCATGAGCGTGCGGAAGGCGCACAACAGCGGTCGAAACCACCTGCGCAATGTCGTCGATTACTACCAACGTACGATCACCCCCCTCCATCACGTCTCCCTCGTTGCTATACCTGCGCGCAAACACAAGGGCTAACACTATTTCCTCAATCACAGAAATCGGTCACGAAAAGGCGCAGTCTGTCATCGACTCCATCACCTCCTCCTATGCCGCCGAAGGCCAGGCGCACAACAACCCCATGCTGCCGCAAAATCAGCCGGGCCAAGCCTTCCCGCCGCCTTTTCCCTTCCCAGGAGGTTCGTCGAGTCCCCCCGCGTGCGCGCGCGCGGGCTTATTACCAACCCCATCGTCGTGATGCTAACGTCAAGCTCCCACAGGTGTCCCGCCTCCCTTCCCTGGTATGCCCGCCGGCGCCCCTCCTTTCCCTCAAGGCATGATCCCACGTAAGTCACGCTAACCTCCCGCCAATAACCCCCTTCGACAAATTCGCAACTGACCTGCGCGCCCATAGCCCCTGGACCAGGCGGCCGCGGAATGCCGCCCATGCCTCCCTTCGCTCCGGGTCCCAATGGCTCGCCCATGCCCCCTGGTGGCCTGCCCTTCCCTCCGCCGGGCGGTCTCCCAGCCGGTCTGCCCTTTCCGCCTCCCGGCGCACCGGGCGGCCTGCCTCCCAACTTCCAGTTTCCTGGCATGCCGCCGCCGGGTGCTGGTGGGTTCCCGCCCGGCCCTCCTGGGTCATTCCCACCTGGTGGTGGACCTCCGGGACGTGACCAGCGGTAAGGGTTCGTGGGCATAGCATCTCATCGCGGACGCGCGCGCGCGCGCGCACGTTGTTACGGTTGAATACGGTGTTTAGGCGTCTAATCAGGGAAGGGCAAAACTCACAGCATGGCAAAGGTACGAATTCATACCACTATCACATTCAAAATGCATTGGAAAAGGGACACCATTGTACTAGAGCGCCGAGGTTCTTTGTCCTGAACCTTTGCAAAATGGTATCTTCACGAGCAATTTCTATATGATACAACAATAATAGTCTCCAGTGTTCTCGTAACAAAACCATGCATTCGCTGGGGCACCGGATGCCCAGTAAGGTCATCATTGTCATTGCAAGGTCTTCAAGTCAACCCCAATCCCAAAATCTGTTCCCGAGTCCGCGAAGAAAATTGCTCTTTGGTCGTAAAAGTTTTGTAGTCGTAAATGATATTGGTTCGTAACGGTCGTAATATTCCACGTAGCCCTTTCCTACACCCTTCTGGTGCATCCGTCTCAAGTATATTACGCGTAGTTGCTCCAGACAAATCCTCTGGTTGCAGAAATTTGTACGTTGATTGCTCAAAAATGGTGGATCGACAGGTTTGTTTGTTGGTGCGAGTCGCGGTATGTGTTTGGTCGAATGACATCTCCTACACCATCTCTCACTTCGCGTGGGCCACTTATCTTTTGGCGTAGCTCCTGCGTCCTCTTCTCTCGTTTGCGCTCGTTGATTTGTCTCGGAAGGTTTTGCAACCCCTCCAACGTGCCCGAGAGAGAAAAGCGTCTCCTTCGCTTCGGACTAGCTTCTTCCTTGTTGTCATGATGGCCACCGGCGCTCAAGTAAGTGCCGGAGTTGGGTGACTGATCGCGAAGAGAGTCTAGGCTGCCCCGGCGCCTCATGACACGAAGGTTACCGCTATCCGTCCGGCGTATGGTGCGCCGATCAGGCTCATCCCGCGTCCCTGACGAATAGAAGTCATCTGCACCGCGATTGGGAAGAATTGCAAACGTCTTCTTCACTCGCGCACTGATGCTTCTTCGTGGAGTTGGACGGTTATCGATTGGAGGGTACCGATACACCTGGCCGATGGGCTCGTCCTCCATCTCCCTCTCCCACACGTCGTCCTCGTGATCAGCGTAGGCAGGCCGCCAATGCGGATGGAGTCGATCGTCCTCGGGTGGCGGCGCCTCACAGTCTGGGCACGAGCAAGGTCCTTCCATAGAAGAGTGGTTCCTTGAGCTCGAACCTCTACGCGTGAGAGAAAAGGTTCTCGTCAGTAATCCCGGTCTGCCACTCTTCGGCGGATACGTTTCGGAATTCCGCCTTCGGGCCAGCGCCCTGCGAACTATAGATCCACTTCTCTGAGGCTCCTCATCTACCATCGTCTCAAAATAGTTGCCCATGTTGCGCTGTCTCTCGTGATTTGGTGTCAGCCCGGAAGGAGTTGCAGGAATAAACTGAATTGCGGGCGGGATAAAGGGAGGCACTGGGGGAGCAGCTCGCGGGTTGCGGAGCGGCGAGTCCACGTCGTCCATGGTATGCTGAGGCTGTGGGGGCGTCACAGGTCCTTCCCCGTCTGGTCCAGTGGTGGTTATCGTAGGCCTTTGGGGAGTGTGCGACAACTCCTTGTCCGTCTGGGACGCGTCGGAGCTCTCTGAGGGCTTGTTGGAGTGGTTCACCAAGAGGACGGATGAATTCTGATGAGGGTACAAGCTCACTGCCTTCGCTTCTGACACTTCGGGTGCAGTACCACTAGTCTCCACTGAAGCTGCTGAGAAAGGAGTGTTTTGAGTAGATAGTCGTTTGCCGAAGAAGGGATCTCCGTGCCGGTCTACGTTGAGCCTGTGGTCTCGGTGATGGTGGCCGTTGTCGGTCTCAGATGAGGTGGCCCTTTGGAGGGTCAAGGCGGGTGCTCTCGTTTCATGTCCTGAGGGTTGGTTCAACAAAGCGTTTTGTGCCTTTAGGCTGTCCGCCGTCAGCGAACCTGCGCGCGATGTATTGCGACTTGTCGGTGCAGATAGTGAAGAAGACCGCTTGGGAATAACTGGTGGATAGTCAATCGTCCGTTGATCCGAGCCATCTGACTCTGACATGGACCGGTTTTTCCGCCCCGGCCGCTCAAATACTGGGGTTGCCAACTCGTGGCTTTTTGATCCGTTAACACGGGTTGCCGAATTCAAGCTCGCACTTCTCTTGGATCTTCGACTGCTTGTAGATCTAAGGGACGGCTCCCTGCTGGACTTGGATTTGACGGATGATCGACGGTCCGGAACAACGATCACCGGGATGCCACCGTTCTTCCAGATCTCCCTGCGAGCTTTACCACTCGAGATGGAGTTGAAAGTCGTGTTCGAGGCGTAACTGTTGTGACGGCTATCGCTAGGGCGAGGGAGCGGCCTTGGACGCCTCGGAGAACCTTCAAGCTGGACGGCCGAGTTCGTGGCAGAGCTGGCCGGTGACCGATTGGAGCCTGAATCTCTTAGAGTGAGTTGCTTTCGCACGTGTCTGAGGGTCTGTCGCCTTTGTGGGATTGAAGGGGCATCCACCAAGATCGCCTCAACAACCGTCGACGCGTTTGATCTCGTTGATCTCGTTGATTTGGCAGACATGCCTGAGAACCTCCGAGCATCGGCAGTGGCTAAGGATTCCGAGGTTGACGTGTTGGACCAGGCGATCTCGCTGGGAGCATAGAAAGCTGCCCTGTCGCGCTGCGACATCGCACGTAACGCCTTTGTCGCGTTTGTCGGCGTTACCACGCGATCTTCAAGGATCTCAACCTTGCGTCTCCCAGACCGAGGTGCGGGCTTGGGCTCTTGGCGCCTCTTCCTCACTGTGACGTTCCTGCCCAAGTTGTCATCCCACTCTTGCTCCACTTCGTTGTTCGAGGCCCATTCTCCATCAAATGCACCAAAGTCGCTCTTTGCCTTTGGGGTTGTAGCGTCCTCTGAGGGCGACTCTAGGCCTAGCCCTAGTCCAACCGGCGTTGGCGATTTTGCCCGAGGTTCCGAAACCCGACGAACAGTGTTTTGGGAAGTTCGCGCAGACAGTGTGTTTGGCCGAACTGTCGATCGCAAGTCGTCCTCTTCAGAAGAATAAGGCTCTTCTCTGGCAGTTCTAAACGACTCAGTCCGCGACTCGGCCGTGGTAGCCTTCGAGACTGTGCGATCAATGGGTATCGGTCGAACAGCCTTGGGGCGAGTCGCAGGTTGCGGAGGCGTAACGTCGGGTGTTGGCGGGCTTTGCTGGTTTGTAGGAGTGGCAGGCGCACGCGCAGGCGTCGTAGGTGTTTGCGACACCGTCTCGGCAGGCGCTGGGCTTGGAGGCTGGATTGAGTGACTGCTCGACGAGGTTCGCGAGTGTGAAGGCGGTGTCGGAGGCAAATCCGGACCGCTGCCTATTCGCTTCGGCTGGTGTCTCAGCGTCTGGGGGCTCGGTTGCTGCGACGCGTCCATCTGGGACGATAGTGAGTCGACAACCAGATCATACTTCCCGGGAGTTGATCGTACTTCGTAGGAACGCGCAGTGTCGCTCCTGTGTCTTGTGGGGTGCGGTAGGACTTTGTGCATTTTGAACATTCTCTGCCCCGCCAGGGCATCGTCGTGCGAGCCCATGGCGTAGGTTTTCTGTCGACCCGACATGGCGGGTAATGGTTTCAAGGTCGCTGCGGTAGTCATTCTAGAGGACATCTGCCACTGATATGCGTTTCTGTAAGAATGCGACGCGTGTCAAATGCATACAAGATGACCCTTCGCAGGCTAGCGAGGATGTGAGAGGGCCAAAGTCATTTGCATGCTGGGTAGAGTGAGGTTCATAGACGTGGTCAAGCCCGAGACGAGAGACAAGAGATGGCGGAGGGTGTGACGTCCGACAGTGAGTGGCGCAAAACAAGTGAAGAAAGAACGTCGAAAGCCGGGGAGGTAATCGGAATACTGGCCTAGAGGTAGGCCTGAGACCTTGAAACCAAACGACTCGGTGGGTAAATCGCGTCAAGGTCCAACGGCGTCCAGTTACAGTCGGCCACAGTCGCGAGGGTGACGACAGCGGAGTCGATGAGACGGAACACAAACCCACAGGTGGTTCAGTCTAGTGGCATGAGACGCGAGGCTCTGTGGTTTAAAGGAGCAGAGACCTTTCCAATCTACTCGAGGCAGAGGGTGGAAAGTCTCGGTAGTCACGATATAGGTAGGGTCCAGGCTTCGCGCATGTGTGAGAGGAGGAAGTGAGAACGGAGACTCGGCTGAGGCCTAGTCAAGGTGCCGGATGCGATTTGATCGGGGTCAAGTCGCACAGACCGAAAGCAAGGAGACGAGACGGGACGATATGTGAGATTAATGCTGAACTTCGGCCGGGCGTAGTGAGGGCAGCAAGAGCGAATGTCGATCCAGGGCTTCTTCGTGTGGCATGCGGACGGACGCTGGCGCTATTTTGGTGCAGGACACGGCTCCAAGAGGTTGAGATGATGGAGACGGTTCAGGAGGAAGGACGGAAAGGATGATTGGCAGGGCGGGAAAGGGTCTGACGCAAGGAAAGAGAAATGCGCCGTGGGTGAAGAGACAAGGGCAGAGCAGAAGTAGGGCGACAAGTACAAGAGTAGGTAGTGGTGGAGGAGAGTGATGAATGGTGGCAGAGGTCAGGTACTGCGCTCCTGAAGACAGGGAGGCGCGGAGGAAACGCTGGCGATAGGCGAAGGAAAGAAAGAGTGGTGGGGGCGCGCCCGGTAAATGGGTACAAGGCACCGCCCTGTCAGTCGAGCTCTGGTGGGATACTACAGGGTGAGGTCAGGGAGACGATCCAAGGTACCTCCCTACGGCGCGGAGCTGTGGAGGTACATCAGACCTCTTGATGGGACGTGGGCCCAACCAGTTCGTTTCGTGACGGGTACAGGTACACTACACGCAAAGAAAGATTGGTCATTGAGAGGAGCCGGATGTGTGTTCAGCGTTCCGCTGGACGGTGGGTTCGGGGCTTCCCAAGGCCGGGCCAAGGACCTGCCTGGACTTGAGAAGCTGGACCAATACCGGTCGAAGGAAAGACGGGGGAAAAAGAGAAGGAAGGAAAAAAGGACCAAAAAAATCGGGTGGCAGGAAAGAACACATTCACTCGCTCACTGCCTTGGATGGTGTTGGATTCCTCCCCCTCCTTTTTCTCTGCTACTTCGTCCCCTTCCAAAGGGTTCCATTCCAAGTCCAATCTGCTTCCACTTTGCAAATTTTCACTTTGGGGGTGTTTTATTTATTTTTTCTCCCTCTCTCTCTTTCGCCTTGCAGATGCATTCGTCCCGTGATATACAAATTTGCAAGGAAGGTGCGTGTAGCCAGCAGCAGTAGCTCCGCCAGGGGGCCGAATAAGGAACTCATCCACCGTCCCAACTGCACACAAGTGTGCTCTGTGGGCTCTGTAGCGCCTTGCGTAGACCACGAGCGGCCGGTCAAAGTGGGGCCGTCTCTCTTCACCCTCCAAAGCTCGCAGTGCTCCAGGGGCCACAACCACCTCCCATAGGCTGCATCTGCTTTAGTGGTTGCATCGTGCTGCAGCGTGGTTTCCTTCTTCTGCAAAGCCATGCCAACTTTTTGCCGCCTTTTCTCTCCTCCTCCTCCTCCTCCTCCTCCTCCTCCTCCTCCTCCTCCTCTGCTCTCCTCTCCTCTCCTTTCCCACCACTGGTGTCCATTCCCACCTCCCCTTCTCCTTCGTCTTCTCCCTCACTTTGGCCTCCTCCGACTGGTCCGGAGAACGGGTGTCGCCATCGTTGTGCCTCGTCCCCGCCGTCCGCTTCTTCCCCTCTTCAACTGGCTGCCCAACCACACGCCATGCAAGCCATGCCGTCTGCCAGCAGTACCGCGGTTGCAACACTGGCTACAGGACGGATTTTACTTACCTGAATCTGTAAACCTACCCTCAAACACTGAGTACAGTACCACTGGACTTTCGTATCGAAGGCGAAGGTGTTGTGTGGACTCTTGTGACACCATCGCCATGCACTCTTCCTGCCTCACCTTGACGGCGGCGACAGCCGTCGCACTTTGAAAACTAACGATGCCCTGACTCTACCGCGTGTCTGCGACGTACTGCCCTCCCGTAAAATCTTATGACTGCAGAATGCAGAGAGGCCGCGTCCGTCCAAGACAAATCATAGCTACGGGGGCCGGCTCATAACGTTCGGCCTTCTTTTCTCAGACCTGCATGACTCCGACGAGCCCCGGGGCAAATCAGCGGTCTTCCACGGCTCGCTGCATGAGACCACCTGCAGATTCGGAAACAGAAACTACTCCTGTAGCTGCACGAAGACGAGAAAGAAACGCGAGTATGATGCGCCGCGGGCCACCGGCATACGATGTCTACTCCGGCGAGGATTGAAAATGGCCTTCGCTGGAAGGAACCTCCGGACTCGGCTTAGGAGTCGATCCTCGCCTACGCTTGAGGGCTTGGTCGAGAACTCGCTCTTCCCATACGTGTGGTCTCTCGAGTCGTGCATCTGCCCGCCGGCGCAGTGTAAGGTTTGCCAGCATGTCTTTGGTTCAGTCAGCCGGGTCGGCATGTTTCGGCCGGAAGCGCCTGTCGGGCTGCCCATACCACCGGAGCGGAGCACTCTCGGGCCCCGGCGTCCAACCCACAATGTGTTCGGCCGACTCCGTCCGTCACAGGTGGTATGGACCACCTCAAAAGGTGTTTCATCTTCTGAAAAAAACAGCTGGGATCAGATATTACCTTCGGTGGCCGGTATGTGCTGATAAGTAGCCGTATCAAACGAGGGAATACCCAGGTGGGAAATCAAACGAGTAGGCAGAGAGATATGCGGGAGTTTATATGTGTCGTCCCCGGAGATGCCGGTCAATGAGCGACGCAAGCGTGATATGAATCCATCGGTCCTTATCTGTTTGGCTAAAAGCCATGGGCATGTCACCAAAGCTTTTTCCAGGGAAAACGAGCCTCTTATCATCATCCTGACCCGGGACTTGCAACACTGTCATCTCTATCGTGCTCGCTTCAGGCGAACAGCCTGCAGAACGTGCATGATGGACTGCAAGCGCACCGAGGTGGCCGTTACTGCTTGTTTTCCTATTCGGGTAAGCGTCTAGCACAGCTTGCATATGCTAGCGCGCCGTAGCTTTATCTTATCAGCCCCGCGTAGGGTTGCCCCACGTCGTCATCGAAGGAAACTCCCTTCAAAGAGCCTTCGTCAATGCGTCTTCGTTGAACAGGACTCTAGGGGACGACAGACGTTCGCACATTCAACGACTCATGAACAAAATCAATGCCTTTTCATTGGCTATGGGGCCTTCGGCTCGTCCCAGTCTGACGGGCGCTCCTCCCCCGCGCATCTAAGGTTGTGCTGTAACGGCTCCTAAGTTCTCCAACACCCAGCCGACGGCCCTGCAGAAGATGCATCTCGGGAACCCATTCTGGCTTATCTATCTCAGAGTTTGCATCATAACACCCGACGAATACTCAACCCACCCCCGCCCTTCTCGTGGCGTCTAGACCGTTCAAAGACTCTTGGTTCGCTCTTTTCACGGAGATGCCACCTTCCCACCGGCTCGACTGCTAGGCAGAACCCTGCCAACATATGTACCGAGCGTTTGATCTTGGGGTTTCCCATCCGGAGTGCAGAGCCGACTAGACCAATCGACGCTTGAGCCCAACATCTGCGCTGATCTTGCAAGCATCATGACACTGGAGCAGGAGGGAGCTTTATCTCTGCCCCGCATTGCCAACAACTCTGCCACGGCCCTGGTCTTTACCTAACACCAACACGTTAATGGTTTTCCCGACACCGCATCTGATGCTCTCCATTGACCAGTCCCATCACAGGGAGCTCCCGTCGGTGTGTTCAAAGCGGCCTTGATAAGCTTGGGAGCCGGTCCCGGACCATACCTGATGCTGCAATCGATCATCATGCGTGGAGAGCTGTCGAACTGAGGGGCCAATCCTCTTCTGACAAGACTTGGGACCTTGCAGCAGGCCGAGATTCATAAAAGCACGGCCTTTTCCCTTTACGATTCTGCAGAATTCTCTTGGTCATCAGCTGCAACTTGAACTTGCCTTACCTTCAAGCCTCAGCACAATGATCTCTCGAAGCATCCTCGCCCTTTGCCTTGCGGCAACCGTCTATGGTCACGGTGACCACGACGACCACCAAAAGTCCATTGCCGGGCCTCACCAGTCTCTCTGGTACAACAACCTTCCTGGTGATGGCGGCACTCAGGTATGGTTTTGAATGGGTTGGCCAATGATTTGTATCTGACTTGTCGCAGGCCGACTCGGTGTTCTCAGGCATCTCGACTTTCGGCCGTCTGCCCTACCAGCCGTGCCTAGGCGCAAAGGATGTCAGATACGACATTGCCTTCATTGGTAGGACATACGCACGGCGCTTGGCTCCGGAACTTGCTGACAATGCTTAGGTGCCCCCTTTGACACCGGCACTTCGTACCGTCCCGGTGCTCGTTTCGGCCCTTCGGGAATCCGTCAAGGCTCCCGCCGCTTGAACCTATAGTACGTTTACGTTTGCGTTCAGAAAGACTTGGAAAGAAGAGGTACTTACACACTCACAGTGGAGGTTACAACGTGCCTTTGGCCACGAACCCCTTCAACAGCTGGGCCACCGTCCTGGACTGCGGAGATATCCCGGTTACCTCGTAAGGATAGACTGTCTCACAGCTCTGCCAGCATGTTCTAACGAGCCATTAGATATGACAACACCTGGGCCTTGCACCAAATTGAGGAGGGCCACTTCAACATCCTCTCTCGCCAGCCGGCGACCGATGCGGCGAAGAAGGGTCCCGCGAAGAACGAGCGAACCCTACCTCGTGTCATCACCCTTGGCGGTGACCACACCATCACCCTTCCTCTGCTGCGCTCTATCAACCGCGCCTACGGTCCGGTCTCTGTCATCCACTTCGACAGCCATCTCGACACATGTAAGCAATGAACGGCCAACCACCCATCTTTCCAAAACTAAATGTAGTCAGGGCGTCCCAAGGTCTTTGGCGGCTCCCCGTCCGAGGTCGCTAGCATCAACCACGGCACGTACTTTTACCACGCCTCGCAGGAGGGCCTGCTGCGCAATGACTCCAACATCCATGCCGGCATCCGTACGACCCTCAGCGGCCCCAGTGACTACGAGAACGACGGTTACTGCGGTTTCGAGATTGTCGAGGCCCGCGAGATTGACACGATCGGCACCGATGGCATCATCAAGCGCATCATTGAGCGCGTCGGCACCAAGAACCCCGTCTACCTGTCCTTGGACATTGACACCCTTGACCCTGCCTGTAAGAGAACATTGCTGAACAACGCTCGGGGGACTGTGACTAACAAACGCCGATAGTTGCCCCCGCTACCGGTACCCCGGAGACTGGTGGCTGGTCCACGCGTGAGCTCCGCACGATCCTGCGTGGTTTGGAGAGCCTGAACTTGATTGCTGCTGATATCGTCGAGGTTGCCGTAAGTGTTTCCTGTCCACTACTGTTCAGTAACTACCGGATAGCTAACTATAGAAACCAACAGCCCGCCTACGACACCAACGCTGAGCACACTACCATGGCTGCTGCCGACGCACTGTACGAGATCATGAGCATCATGGTCAAGCGCGGCCCCTCAGCGCCATGGTCAACCAGACCGAGGCCTACGAGGAGCTGTAAAGGAAAGAATGATAGGAAATCATGGGAACAACAGGGCTTGTATGACGCAGTGACAATGTCAATAGCGTTCCATACAAGCAGATGAGGTTTTCTGGTGGTATAGGCGTTGTCGGCGGTTGGAGTCGTGAGTGGAAAAGTCGGCGGTTGGTGCTGGTCCTGGAATCTGGTTTCATTGATGCCAATGAAAATCATTGAGTTGCAAGCATATGAGGTGCATATATGAATTATGATATTAGCGGTACCCTTTTGCGCTCAGAGTGTTGAAAAGTTACTGTGCGTCCGACTGTGATTTCGTTAACTAGAGGCAAATGTGAGGTCACTAACCATGATACTAGATGCACAAACAGGGGGAGTGAGCGATGACATCACTCGAGGCGTTTAGTCTTTTGGTGGCACGACACACAGCCCTGCCACATCAGCTGAGGAAGACACCCAGTTCATGATCCCGCTTGCCCACTTGCATCTTTCTTAGCTCCACGACAGGCAGTGAATGGAGTGTCCGGCAGGCGCCGGAGACGCGGGGGGACGCGGGGGGACGCGTCGCGAGTTGTGGTGGGGGACTTTCTTCCCAAGACCCCGGTGCGCTTCGGCAGAACCCCTCCGACAGGGTAGATAGAGCTCGGGAACGGCGGGGCGCGCGCGGTCTTTACCAGGAATGCGCGACAGGGACTTTGAGTGTTTCTATTTCGGTTACAGGCTTGGGCTAGAAACATTCCGGCGGCCGCCAGCGGCCGCCAAGTGTCCCAAAACATCTTTTTCTCTCGGCCATTTGGGCTCGCCAGATGCGGCGATCCTGGAAACGACACGAACAAAACCGCTTCTAGCGACTTTGGGAATGTGAGGCGTATCAACACGAGAGGACGCGCCATGTCGCCAGTTCAGCTCGGAGTCAACCGGGCCGATACCTGATAGGATTATCCCACGCAGGACGGAATAAGCGCTGAAGACCTCGGCGAAACAGGGCTGAAAGGAACACGACTAACCGTTCGCCGCTCCGTCGCTTCTGCAACCATCTATCCTCGGGTGCACTCTGTGTGCCAAGAGGCGGTGCCGGCATTACGTCCGCAGGTCGACGTTTTTCTTTGGAAAAGACTTGTCCACCAGCCCGGCTGGCTGAACGAGTTGGTCTCCGAGCTCGAAGCCACAGAGTTCGTACCTCAAGAACCTCGGCAATGGGAGATGAGTGTGCTGGAGACAATTCCCGGCCATGCAAGTGACGCACGCCGACTCTCTGGACGGCTGGAGTTCACCCCCGAAACCCTGGTGGGCATCCGAACCATCCGCTCTCTTTCCTCCTGACGATCGGGCTCGGAGGCGGACTTGGACTTGGACTGTCCCCATCCCACGCGGGAAACGTGTGAGCATGACGGAGGCGAGCTTACGACGAATAGTGGCTTGACAGATGCACGTCGTCTCGTGCTCTTCCTCTCTCTCTCTCTCTCTCTCTCTCTCTCCCTCCCCAGAGACGTGTTTCCCCGTTGGCGTCGCCGCCGTCCTCGGCAGTATCGGAATGCGCAGGCACCACACTCCTCTGCCCCGGCCACTTTCAGGTTTGCATTGTGTGTAAATTGTCTCACCTTGTTCATCTGCACCGTCTCATGTGAGTTGCTAAGGAGCCGCTGTGAGATAGCTACCTATCTTCTCAGCTGAGGGGAGTCCCACAGCTGGAAGGCCGCTTTTCATAATTCGAACTCTTCGTTAGCGCAATAGAAATGTTTCCGGGCCGAGCAAGCCCTGGCCAAGAGGAGGGGGCTCTGGAAGACGCTGGGCAAACTGGATGCGCCGTGCGCAACCAAGCCGAGTGTCCATCTGCTTCCCTAAGGAATGCATCGCGACAGGGGGTGGGAAGCTCCCCCTTGTGTTGTCAGCGATGCAACGTCCGTTAACGTCTCTACGCATACGCTGGTAACGGCAGAACGACATGAAGTTCGGCTTGCCAACTCCCATTCCTCGCCATCCCTTCCCTGCAGGACCCCTGCTCCCCATCGTTCCCGAAACCAGGGTAGCAGAACACCACCAGTTCGTCCATCCATCAACACATCCGCGTGCCACACGCCACCATCTACATCTACATGTACGTGTGCATCGCATGGCCAAGCGAGGTAGTTTCTCCTCAGTGTACGGAGCTGCACAAACGGCGTCGGGCAGATTTGCGATCTCGGGCGCTTTCGGCAGGGCGCAGCTTAATAGCGGATTAGGCCGGGAAAGGTGACTCGACAGCAAAGGAGAGGCAACCGACTAAGTCTCTCTCGAATAGGAAGGTTTGTCAAGAAAGGACGCCGACGGAATCCCAGTTGGCCCATTGACAGACCCACAAGCAAGCGCCGCTCCCAGCCTCAGCCCAGCTTGGCTTCGCCATTACGGCTGACCTTGCCTCAATGCCGGCTTCTCGTCTCTTTCCAAGTCCAGCAGTCTCTGCAAGGTAGGGTCGGTTGCTTGTCGGCTTGCTCGCTTGCGGTACGTCCCAAACTTGTCCCCAGCCTCTCCGGTCTCAGCCATTCCTCTTCGTGCCTGGAGATGGCTTCGACGGCACCTTCGCTGTCACTGACTACGCATCTCGTGCAATCTATATATGTATGACCATGTTTTCCCTCTCCAGCTCATCCGCATCTCTATCTCTCATCCCTTACAACTACTTCTATCTCATACCACAGTACAGTATCACAGTAACAGTATCACATCATTTGTTTTGTGAGCTCAGCTATACAACAGCCACATCCCATCACCACCATCCCTCATATTGTGCCGTTGTTCATATTACAGCACTTCACCACCGAAACCATCAACATGAAGACATCAGCAGCTGTCGTCCTCGTCGCCTCGGCGCTTGCCTCAGCCCAATTCATGTAGTACGTCGCTCTTCCCCTCTCCCAAGCCTTCACTAACACCGTCCCCAGCAACTCGACGATAGGCCGGTACAACTGCCCTCGTCCCAACGCGGCCTTCTGCACCAGCGACTCCCTTCGCACGGACGTCATCATCCGCTGCGACGCCAACGGCCACGGCCTGGCCGCCAGCTGCAGCAACAACCTCGCCGGCCAGTTCCCCCCCGGCGTCCTGCAGCTCGCCCGGTGCTGGCAGTCCCAGTCTCAGTCCGGCGACGCCGCCTGCGAGAAGAACTGCATCGTCTACGCTGCCCAACCCTTCCAGCTCCCGTCCAGCGTCTGCACGCCGTACGCGACCGCGTCCGGTACGGGTGCCGGGCCGTCGACGACGAACCCCATCGCCCCCCAGCCGTCCACCAACAACGGCACCAACACCAGTACCAGAGCACTCTCTAGCACGGCGCAGGTTCCGTCCTCTGCGCCGCGGTCTACGGGAACCGACACCAGGACCAGAGCACTCCCTAGCACGGTGCAGGTTCCGTCCTCTGCGCCGTGGCCTACGGGAACCGGAACCGGCCCCTCCGCTGGTGGACCTGGCCCTCCGCTGGTGGACCTAGCCCCTCCGGCAACGGCACCGTGCCGACCGAGAGCGGCGGTGACTCTGGCAGCGCGTCGGGTACGCGCACCCCCATCCCGCCCTCCAAGTCCATCACCGGCGGCATCACCCCGGTGCCCACCGCCGGCGCCGTGCAGAACAGCGCCGGATACCTCGCCCTTGCGGGTCTCGTGGCCGCGTACTTCATCTAGACGACCGTTCTTTCGTCCAAGGGACGTGGGATTGCGTCGTCGCGTCTCGAGCATCTCGCTCATCGCCAGGCCGCTAAGGCCGACCCCCTTCACACAACCTAGACCTTTAATTACTAATCGACGACCGCACCGCACCGGCGGTGGCATGCAGGAGCCGTTCGAGGCACTCGGGGCGCAGAGGAGTTTTTGTTTTGTATAGATTCATCTGACTTGGGACGGCATTCGACACGGAATTACGCGGGGACAAGGGCGTCGCTGGCCTGAGTTGAATCTCGGGGGCGACGGGAAATAATTGTTTGTTCGTACTTGGAACAAAAGCGAGTACGGAGTCCAGTATGCCAGGGAGCATTATAGAGGCACATCAGTCCTTTGAACCTCATTTTTCGAGGAGCTGGAGGGATCCCATATCTGCATTCGCCACGGAGCGACAGACTGTTTGCTAGGACCTAGGTTTCATTATTAGAATATCTGCTTTCCCATGCACGCACTCACGCAACAATCAACGTGGTTCTCATTCCAAGCCAAGCGATACGCGCAGACCTCGCATCCCTCGCGGTCTCTCATGTGCCCTGATCTCGTTCATCGTCCCGTTTCCCTAATGCTTCCGAATTCCAGTTATAAACGCCGCCCAATGCATGATAATATCGTCTCAAAGCAATGCAAACACGAATGGAACGGCCATCAGGGCCAGAGATACCGCGGCCCTGGATCCCGCGTTGGGGAAATGCTTTTGGATCTCGCCCGTCTGGCTGGGTGAGACGCTCGAGCAACTCGCGGTGCCGCACTCGTACCCGCTCGGACAGCAGCCGGGGACGGGGCCGCCCTCCTCGCCGCACAGAAACCAGCCGCTGGCGCACGTCTCCGTCGCCTGCGGCTCTGGCACATCGGTGACGGGTACGACGACAGTGACGCCGTTGCTGATGATGGTGGTAGATGGCGTGGGTGGGCACGACGTTGTGGCGCAGTCGCGGCCGGTCTGGCAGCAGCCTCCGCCGGCGCGAGCGAGACATGCGTAGAAGCCAGTCGGGCAGTAGTCCGACGGGATGGGCTGGCTGCCGTCCTCGCCTGAGTTGGTCGACGTTGGTCGGAACGGGGGCACAGCGTCCGAGGCGCCCGAAGTCGTCGGGGTCTCGCCGGGGTTTTCGGTGGTGGTCGTGGTTCTCCTCGTTGTGGCGGTGCCTGGGTTCACTGTTATGATGATCGTGACAAGAACAGTGGTGGTTCTGCCGTCTGCGAGTGTCGTCGTAGAGACGGTGGTGGTCGTGACGGTCTCCCGTGCAGTTGTGCCGCCTGACCCACCACCACCGCCGCTGCCGCCGCTGCCGCCGCCTCCGGTGCTGCTGCCGCCTCCACCTCCACTACCACCTCCTCCTCCACCTCCTCCTCCGTTCGTGGCCGTTTGGGTGGGTGAAGTGCTCGGCGCCGGGAGAGGGCTGGGTACACCTGGAAGAGTCAGCTCATGATCACGCCAGCACTCAAACATTTTTGTGTAGACTTACAGCCGACACCTTGACAGACGTAACCCGGAATGCAACATCCACCACTGAGCTCAGCGTCACAGCTCGTCGTGCCGCTGGGACATGCTCCTACGGCTCCACTGCATGAAGCACCCAGCGGACAACAGGCGACGTTCCCGACCCGTTGATCCTGGACCCTCACACACACCTCATTGCTCATGCAGCACTTGTTCGGCGAGCCAATATTGTCGCAGCTGTTCATGTTCGCAGGGCATGACTGTCTGCTCTCGAGGATATGAAGAACCTCGGCGGCACGCCGTAGGTGCTGCCAGCCATGGTTGGCGCTGTCAAAGTGCTCCGCAAAGGGCGGGCGGTAAGGGAATGAGGCGTTGTAGAGGAGCGGGTCGTCAGCCATGCGGGCGGCGACGAGCTCCTCGCGGGGTGAGAGCGGGGTGGTGAAGATGTCGTCGGCAAAGGCAAGGTCGTCGGGCAGGAGCTTCTCGCCGGCGTTTGGTGGCATTTTGCGGATGGCTGCTGGGTGCTCTGCGTTGACGTGGGCTGCTATGAGAAGCAGGAGCGAAGAGGGCAGACCGATGAGTGAGAGGGAACGCATTGTGCCGAGATCGAGGCAGAGCTTTCGCCCTCGCTCAACGGATCGCCTTGTTCTTGGTGATGGTGCTGTGGGTGGTTAGGATCGGCGAGCCGGCCCAAGCTCCTGTGTGTAAGGCAGCTTCAGTCGCGTCTTGTCAGTTGAGCTCAATGGCGACCGCGACGACAGTTGAATGTGAATTTTGACGTCTATATTAAATCTGCACGATGAGGAGGGGCTCGTCGCTCGTATAGATGTGCGAGTTCATGAAAAGGGCCGGTCGGTAATCAGTGAGGCGTCAAGGGTCATCGAGTTTCGAGGTGCGGAAATCGGTGGCTGGGCGAGAGAGAGAAGAGAGAGCTGGACACCTCGGGGTTCCCACCCTGCAAGGTGATGGAGCTGCATACGCTCGAGGCCGCCAGCTGCGACACCTCACCGCCCCAAGTTCGCTTCTCTCGTATCCGACCGTTGTCTCTTTGCTGTCTGTGACCCGCAGCGAGACACGTCAAACTCGAGATCCGATCACCGACAATACGTTTGTTTGCGTTTGCATTGGTTATTTTTCTGGGATTACCGGGTCGCGCGCTTGCTGGCTTTGTTATCTGGCAATAGCACCGTTCGTTCAGCTCGGTACGTACCGCTTACGCTAGGGATTCTTTAGGGGGCTGGGGCTGGTTGACAGTTGCCAAACAGACGTCATTCAGGGCCCAGGCGGGTCGGCGACCGTTTGTTAAGCTCGCGGGAGAAACACAGACCTGGACGCTGTCAGGGGTTGGGCTGTAAGGTTTTGCAGGGGTCAACGGGTAGCTTCTCCGGAGCGCCACCTGGGCAACCAGCCCGCGCCGATGGGTCGCGCCAGCCGATCTCATGCACTGCGGGAACTCGAGCATGGCACAGCATTCGTGAGGTTGCGCACCTCAGCGATCTGGCGATCCTTACTCGGAGGCCATATTTTGCAGAGAAGATGATTTGCGCTCCGCGCACCAAGAGCGCTAGGGTAATACTCTATCCTCTAGATGATCGTTTACAGGTAGTCGTACATATATGGTACAAGTTGTTACATCTCCGTCCTATCAGAACAGACTCTCTCCGCTGTCTGCCTTGCGAGCGTCCTTCTGCAACTTCTCGGTGAGAGTCAGTGGCGGCTGCACACCTCTCAGGAATGAGTTGCAGAGCAGCGCCGTAGCCACGCTGACATTCAAGCTGTCCACCGAGCTTGACATGACCATGCGTGGGATTGTAACCTCACGGGTGGCCTTCTTCCTAATGTCGTAGGGGAGACCGCTGCCTTCGTTTCCAAGGATTAGGATGGTAGGCTCCTTGGTGAGAGGCTTGGAATCCTCGATGCTTTCCGGGGTCCATTGACGGTTGTCGTTGCGCAGTCCAGCCGTCGGTGCGACAGCTGCGTAAGAAGTCCACCCGGCCTTCTGAGAAGCGTCCAGGAATGCGACGGGGTCTTCGACCGAGAAGAGCCTCAGTTCTTCGGCAGCGCCCGCTGCCGCCTTCAACACCGTAGAAGTGATGGTCGACGATGTTCTCTGCGTGATAGCAACCGCCGACACGCCGAGGAACCTGGCGGTTCGAAGAATGGCGCCAAGGTTGCCGGGGTCCAAAATCTCGTTCAAAAGGAGTACAAGCGGTTTAGGAGATCCAGGCCGGCACGGGATGAAGCCCTCAGTACCGTTGATCTCGGTCTCTTCCCTGGACTGACGAGCCACATAGACGGGGTAGCCCTTCAGCTCGTTCGACTCTGCGCCAAGACCCGTCAGCGGCAGCTGCGGCAGAGGTGATGCCTCAATGACCATGCCGTTGTGTGGCCGACCCTTGCTCATCTTGTCGAGCAGCTTCTGGTCGCTTTCGTAGATACGAGTGACCTTGATTTTTTTCTTCTCCGCCAAAGCCAGAATCCAGTCATCGTCCTTGGTGGTGTTTTTGTTGCTGCCCTGGTAGACGTAAAGGTGGTAGAGTTTGCGTCTCGAGTTTTTGAGGGCTGCTTTCACGACAGAACGACCAAAGAGAAATTGCGACGCGGCAGTGGTATACTGAACCGAAACCGGGAAGTCCGATGACCTTTTTGCGTGCGAATCGTCTTCTGACCTCCTCGAGTCGTACCGCCGCCGAGGTGTATCTCCGTCCTCAAGCTCCCTGCGCGCACCATCCCTCATAGATCTCATTCTGTCCTGCGTGAATCCTGGTCTCCGTGTCGAACGGTCGTGTTGCCGGTCTTGGTAGCGATCCTGACGACGGTCAGGTTGACGGTCGTCTTGGCGGTCGCCCCGCCGATCAGGCTGAAAAGATGGCCTCGGAGAATCTCCATCACGTGTGTCCTTTTTCTCCAGTAGCTTTGAAACCTTGTCCTTCAACTCGCCTCGGTTGAGTTGATACACCAGACTCTTCTTGCCAAAGGAAAACTCGGGGTCGTTGAATCGTTTGCTCCGCGACTTTCTTCCCCCTTCTTCCTCCATCTCCTGCATCTTCTGGAACGCCTTCTTCGGCTTGAAGTGCTGTCGTGGCTCGCGGTCTCGAGGGCCATCTCGACGGCTGCCAATAGCGCGTGAAAATCGGTCGCTGAAAGAATCTGGTTTGGATTCGGCTGCGTCTCTGGGTCGACCTCGGCCTCGCGATTCCGTTAAACGCGACCGAGAGTCAGGCCTACTCGGGCGGTCGTTGCGAGACCCCTTGTCAGAACGCCATATTCCGCGGTGGATCGCAGAAAGCGAAGCATTGCGCGCCTGGCTAGAGAGCAGTGGGCTGCGGGAAAGAAGAAATGGTGCTGTCGAAGTTGTAAATGGGCGGGAAGCGCTCCATATTGAAAGGAGACTCATTGCATTGCGTAAATGGGATAGGCCTAGGTGTTGATATTGCTGTTTGGCTGCTACATGAGTGACTATGTTGTAGGTGGGCTATGTACGAGTTCCAAGTACTCGCCTCCTGGTCGGTTTTTTTTTCTTTCTGCCGCTTTGCTCCTACGCAGGGTCTGGGCGGTAAAGCTCTATTGAAGCTGCCACTGGCCTTTGATTGGATGAAGAGGGCGATCTGGCGGGCTTCTTCTACCGGCACAACGCGCCCCCTCCACACAAAGAAGGGGCCCTTGAACTGGTACGTACTTTCCTCCAGTGACTGCGCGCTCTTTCGGGAAACGAGGTTTAATGGAGCAACGCGGTTTCGAGCATCGTCGCGTTGTACATTGAAGTGCACCTGCCAGAGTCTCGACAGCGAGCAACCTGCAACTCCTCATTTCCCACCGCACGACAGCCTGCTGCTTGTAGGAGCACCCGAGCGTAATAATCGGATCAGTTGGCGGCTCGGTTTTGGTTCTTGGTTTTTATTTTATTTTCCTTTGTATCACCGGCAACTAAAATACATCACAACCTCCCATCGGCTCTTCCCGTCTCCCCACCCATCAAATGCTACAACGTCACAGCTTATCGCATCATGGACGACGTTCCGACCAGCGCTGACGACGAGGTCGTGCAGTCGCTTGCGGGCTCTCCAAGCGACGCGCTCTTCGGACTCGACAACTCCGACCTCGGTACTTCAGCCGAGCCCAACGGACCCGATATCCAAGTTAGCGAAGACATGCCCAGCGAGAATCCAACCGAGACCACGGCAGACAAAACGATGGCCAACGATATTGAAGCTGAAGACACAACTTCCGACGAAACTATGACAGTTTTCGGTGGAGTTGACTCCTCTGTGAAGGCCACAACCGACAAAATCCCCCTAGAACCCACACCTGCGACGACAGAAGATGCGCAGACCTCGATGAAGATCGACATCGAAAATGACGAGCATAGCCCCTCCATTGAAGTTGGAGACACACATGTGAACTCTACATTCGCTAACAGATCGAGCGCCGAAAATACTGCACTGCAGGATCCCGAGTGGCGTACTTGCAAATTGGAGATCGTCCTTCCCGACTTGTCGCCAGAAGAACGCGCACAATATGTCTCTATCACAAGTGACGTTGTGAACGAGGTCGTCGAAAAGGTCACAGGATCCGAAGGCGAAGTGTGGTACAAGGCGGAATTCACAGATGGCCGGCAGGATATCGTAAGTGTTTTCCTCTTGCTTCTCGAGTATCGAATCTTTCCCGGTTGCTCTTGCCTTTTAACGGGCGCTCTTCATATCTACTTGTCTATCGTCTTCTACCATTGTTTCCTTTCTCGCCCAATCTACCTACCTTGGGTAGTTTGAGATCAGTCTCTTTCGATCAACCACCTTACCTCAACCCGGAATCATCTCTCAAACTGTCTACTTTGCCTTTTCCTATTACCTACCTTGAGCCACTCTTACTGTTATCACGGGCCTCCTACTTCACACTTGACAGCCCGCATCTAACGTTCTGAAGCTGCTTACCTGCTGTATGCAACTTGAAGAACACATGAGGATTGTTGTCTCTGGGCTCGGCCAGCTCACATGCACGCGGTTGGCGACTGGCTGATTTGCACACCAATCCCCTGGCGCCTGCCTTCTGTGCCTTTTTTTATCTTCTCTCTCCGAGTCTGCCCTTTTCGTCCAAGACATCCTTCTCAAGCACTCTCTTTTTGACACCATTCAGAAGTGAACAAGTCTTTCAATATTTACATATTTCCGAGACGCTAACACTTTAAGATTACGGTCGACGATTTACTCTCATACGAAAACGCACAGCTTGCTCTCTTGCGATTCCAGAACAACATGACTGAGAACGGAAATGTCAGCGTTGATGACAACCGAGCGAAGAAGAGGTCATGGCAAGGGGCGTGGGATGAGTCGGTTGCCGACTCTGACGCCGATGACAATACCATGGCGCTTAGCGAAGATGATGTTCCCTACCAATCCAACCGCCAACGCATTTCAACTCACCGTCGAACCCGCCAAAATTCCACTCTGGACTCTGATGAGGACATTGGTCCTCGTCGCTCGAAAAGACAGCGCATATCCGCAAGACAAAGCAATCGTCACAGCTCGCCGATGATTTCGGACGATGATCACAAGGACGAAGCCCCGCCGCAAGGTCGTCAACTCAGAGAACGCACTCAGAAACAGCTAAAACTGACCAGCATGGTCTTCACCAACATGCCTTTGACTCGCGACGACGATATGGATGAGCTGTCTCAAGACCCGCCTCGCCAGCAATCTGAGGATGACGACGATGATGACTTTCAGATCATCACTTCCGACCTTCTGCCAAAGCCCTCTTCGTCCCGGCGCAAAAAATCCCGGCGTCTCAAGGCGAAAGCAAAGACAATTCGGCAACCCAGATCACGAGGCTCATCGATTGAGTTCGAGGACCGCCGCCGGTCTGGCAGGTCGACCAGAAACAAGGCCAGCATGCTGGATGAAGCGCTGATGGATGATGAATCATTCTACATCGAAGACACAGCACCAGCCAGTGCACCAAGGGTTGTCAATATCAAGGAAGTCTTCAAGCCAGTCAACCATAGTTCGCCATTCAATCAATTTCACACCGATTTCTGTGGAGCCTGCAACGCCGGCCCTGCTGTGAACAGAGGCCCATTGATTGGATGTCAAGGCTGCTCCATGTCGTTTCACAAAGGCTGCATCGGATACAGATCAGCTCGAGAGCATATCGTCACCAAGGTCGGCGTTGACGATTTCGTTCTTCAGTGCAAGTACTGCATCAGATTCTACGACAAGAAGGACAAGAACAGTCCGCGACACGATCATTGCCAACAGTGCAAAGGCGTTGGACGCTCGTGCGCCGCATTCGCACCCAAAAGAACTTCAAAGCAGGAAGAGAAGATCCGTCTCGAGAACGGTGGCGAGGACCCAATTACACCTGTTGACCCTTCCTTGGTCAACAATGCTGACAACCTGCTGTTCCGGTGTACTATGTGCAAACGTGGTTGGCACTACGAGCATCTGCCTTCATCTGAGATGGACTCAGACTTGTCCGACCTTCGTCAACAACGTCTCTCAGAGTACTCTGTTGACTGGAAGTGCTTCGACTGCGGTACAGTATCTGACAAGATCCAGACATTGGTGGCTTGGCGGCCTGCCGAAAAGAAGTCACTCGAGTCCGGAAAGACATACAGCGACTTGAAGGAGGACGAGAAAGAGTACCTTATCAAGTGGCAGGGTAAATCATACTTTCATTGCAGCTGGATGCCTGGAGCTTGGGTTTTCCACATCGCTGCGGGAGCCATGCGCACCTCTTTTGCAAAGAAGGATGCAGATCAAAACCTGGCACTGAAGTTTACTAAAACTGAGGCAATCCCTCAGGAGTACCTTCTTGTTGATGTCATCTTTCAGGCCAAGGTGAAGGGCACGGCAAGGGGAACATTGGAGGGTGAAATGGACCGCATCGGCAATGTCGACAAGATATACGTCAAATTTCAAGGTCTTGGCTACGACGAGACGGTCTGGGATTCCCCGCCAAAGCCAGATACTGGAGAACTCTACAGCGCATTCAAAGCGGCATACTACGAATACTTGGCTGGCAAGTACTTCAACAGCCCTCCAAATGCCAAGATGAAGGAGCGGGTAAACAAATGGAAGGATCAGAAATTCGTCAAATTGAACCATCAACCTCCTGGCCTCCGTCGCGGCAAGCTGATGGATTACCAGATTGAAGGTGTCAACTGGGTCTTATGGAACTACCACGAAAGCAAGAACGTCATTCTTGCCGATGAGATGGGTTTAGGCAAGACGGTGCAAGTCATTGGCTTGATTTCAACTCTCGTCCACAGCGACCCGAAGGTGCGTACTTGCTATGTACGATAAGGTTTTCGGTGTGCTAATTCCTCTAGTGCTGGCCGTTCCTCATTGTCGTCCCGAATTCCACTTGCCCGAACTGGCGGCGCGAAATCAAACAATGGGCTCCAGATCTCCGAGTTGTCACTTACCACGGGGGCAAACAAGCACAGGACTTGGCATATGAGTTTGAGCTTTTCCCGAATCGCTCTCAGAACATCAAGGCCCATGTCGTCGTCATGTCGTACGACTCTGCTCAGGATGAACGGACGAAGCACAAGTTTAGCTCAGTCCAGTGGGCTGGTTTAGTAGTTGACGAAGGTCAACGACTGAAGAACGACAAGAGCCTGTTGTACACGGCTCTACGTTCTATGCGCTTCCCCTTCCGGCTCCTCTTGACGGGCACGCCATTGCAGAACAATAAGCGAGAGCTTTTCAACTTGCTGCAGTTCGTCGACCCAACTCAGAACGCGGCGAAACTTGACGAGGAGTTCCAGGAGTTGAATGGCCAAAACCTGCCCGAGCTTCATGGTCGAATCAAGCAATACTTCCTTCGAAGAACGAAAGCTCAGGTCTTGAAGTTTCTGCCTCCCATGGCACAGATCATTGTTCCTGTCTCCATGTCTATTTTACAGGAAAAGCTTTGCAAATCAATCATTGCCAAAAGCCCTGATTTAATCAAGGCCATCTTCGCGGATGACAAGATTAACAAGAGAGATCGTGGGAGCCTGAACAACATCCTCATGCAGCTCAGAAAGTGCCTTTGCCATCCTTTCATGTATAGCGAGGCAGTCGAGGAGCGATCGCTAGATCAAGATAAGATGCACCAAAATCTTGTTTCGGCATCAGGAAAACTCATGCTTTTGAATATTATGCTGCCTAAACTGAAGGAGAGGGGCCACCGAGTTCTCATTTTCAGCCAGTTTTTGGATCAGTTGGACATCATTGAAGACTTCCTGAATGGGCTTGGCTTCCAGCACAGACGACTCGATGGCAAGATCAACAGTCTGGAAAAGCAGAAGCACATTGACGCCTTCAACGAGCCGGACTCCGATATCTTTGCATTCCTCCTCTCAACCAGGGCAGGAGGTGTAGGTATCAACCTGGCGACAGCTGACACGGTCATCATTCTAGATCCGGACTTCAACCCTCATCAAGACATTCAAGCCATTTCTCGAGCTCATCGAATTGGACAGAAGCACAAAGTTCTCTGCTTCCAGCTAATGACGAAGAACTCGGCCGAAGAGAAAATCATGCAGATTGGCCGGAAGAAGATGGCTCTTGACCATGTACTGATCGAGGCTATGGATGAAGAAGGCGAGCCGGATGACCTAGAGTCAATTTTGAAGTTTGGAGCGTCTGCGCTGTTCAGTGACGACCATGACGGCAAGGACATCATCCGCTATGACGACGCAAGTGTCGACAAGCTTCTTGATCGGTCTGATATTGAGCAGACAAAGACCGGTAATGACGAGTCTGCTGAGTCACAGTTCTCCTTTGCGCGGGTCTGGGCCAACGACAAAGCCGGATTCGAAGACAACTTGGCTGAAGAGAACGAACCCACAGTCAACCCAAACGTTTGGGAGGAGATTCTAGCAGAGCGCGAGGCTGAGGCCAGGCGAATCGCGGAGCTTAATAAGGAGGTTCTTGGTCGTGGTGGTCGGCGCCGTCAGGTAAATGGGCAGAAACGAGTCAAACGCTTCCACCAAGCCTACTAACAACTATGTTTTAGGCGATCAACTACAAGACCAATGGCACAGCTGGTGTCGTCACTGACCTTGCCGTCGACAACAGCGACAGCTCCGATAACGACGGAGAATTCATTGGCGAAGACGATGAGGAACCGGATACTGACACGGAGAATAGGGCTTTGGGAAATGGTTCCAAAGGTAAAGCTAAATCTGCTTCTACTCGTTCCACTCGAAGAAATACAAGTGCCAGTAAGAGACAGCAAGTTAACAACTCCACACCACAGAAGACGCGCCAACGCAGAACTCCAAAGAACGGCCTCGTGCAATCCAACAAGGTCAAAACGACGACCCCGCGAAAACTAACCCCGCGGAAACAGTCGCCTCGCAACCAAAATACGCAAAATCTAGGACAGGTCAAGGCGTCTACAAGAAATGGAGACCCAATTCAGAGCAGAATCACCAAGCCGCAAGCCTCGGACCAGTCCAGGGGAACGGAGAAGCCCTTGGTGGCAACAATTCCGCTCAGCCCATTGTCAACTACCACACCCAGCAGCCCGGAATCCCAACTCACCAATACTCCAACTCTGGGCGAGGGGGCGGTGGTGATCAACTCCTGAGGTCCGACATGGATTGGCTGGATAATCTCAGGAACACGACTTTAGCGACTGGTTATCCCATAGCCACAGCCCAGCAAGGTGGGTATGGAGCTCTGCAGCAGTCAGTTACATCAATCAACGCGAATGTGCCCAAGAAGGCGCGAAGGAACTCTTTCGGTTTGTCACAGATGCATCCCAATGCACCCACATGTGCAAGTTGCGGCTTGCGGCATCTATCAGCTTCCTGCCCAAGATTTACTTCTGAAGCTCAACTTCGCTTGGCTCTTGATTATTTGAGGCACTGGCCATCGACCGCAAGAAGCCTCTCTGCAGAACGAAACTTGATCGAAAAGCTACGCATCATAGCCATGATCAAAGGTCGTCGTCAACGAAAGACATAAAATATTGACATATTTGCTACACAGAAGACACGACGATAGAGGCCTCTATATCTGAGGTTACTGGAAGGTCACTAGGGGGGAAAAGGAACATAGGCCCATAGATTTGGAATTTCTAGAAGGAAAGGTATTCTTTAAGTGGCAGGCATGTTCTGGTCAGGGAGCAAGGCCGGCACTGACACATACGCGACAAGAGACCTGCAGACCGGACAAATATACCAGACCAGTTTTGCTCTACTATGATACTCCTGAAAACAAGCTAGAGGTTACGCTCTGTTGGACTTGTTCAACCGTAGAAGGCAGCTGTTTGTCACGTGTTGAGGTACACAACCAAGACTGCAGCTAACCGGGTGAATGCAGCGGATCTTATTTCGGTCGAGCAAACGACGATGGCAACGAACAGTTTTTTCTCTCTCTAGCTTCTTTTGTAATTAAAGACCTTCGCGTTCAAGGCATCAGGGTCTCATGTCTGAGTCTTTGGTCCCTTGGTCCGGAATCCCCATTCATCCTGCGCGTAGTGGACGGCGTCAAAGTCGTCTTTGAGGCAGGGAGGAAGCGCATATTGACGCGCCAGAGGTGATCATTACGGTCAACAGCATTGGAAGCAAGGTAATGAGCGTTTGCAAGGTGGCCCAAATCAACCATTTATTTTTCCTGCCCTGGGTTGGGCCTTTTTCGATTCTTTCCTGTCCTCTACAACCATTGCTGCCGCTCTTCTCACTCCCTATTGCAGGATGGAATCGAACCTGAACCACTCCTCTTCCGACAAATAATACTCACCATCTGGCTCCAGAAGCTCTACACGCAATACCACGCCTGAAATCAGTTCCACCGTATCGTTCATTTTCTCTAACCTGGAAATCGGCGGCAATCCTCGCGCTCTCCACGTGGACGCTCAACCAGGTCATTATAAGAACCCCTACACGATGTTCCGTCCTTCCAACTACCACTTCGAGGAGATCAATCCTTCGGTGCCTCGTCGTGTTGATGTCCCGACCTGGCGGGGAGGCTATGGTGCGGGGGCTCGTCGGGGTCCTGGCCAGGGGCACTACCACTCGCCCAGTTCGACCAGCGGCCATGGATACCTGGTGATGGAATCGCCGATGCCAGAGCGTCATATGGGCGGGGAGTCAAGCGTGGACACGACGTGTTTCTATGCCTACTGCTTGGATCGTGGAAATGGCAACTACACGCGGCTCATTCCAGCCGACTTGCTTCCGCCCCTGGTGGGAATCCCGGCTGTTCAGGACGGTACTGACGGCATGCTTGTTCTTCCGCCGCCTCGAGGGTCGGACCCTCAGAATCTGGCTGGTAATCCTGTTCAGCCGGTTGCTTTCAAGGTATGCGCGTTTCCTTCGCTCTTGTTATCCCCCGTCGAGCACCAGATCGTTGGCGCTGAACGTATCAGACCCCTCCGCCATCACCGGCACCAGTGTCTGATGCTCTTCAGGTAATGCTCATGGCGTTTCTTTCAGCTCCCCAGTTTCTCCGTGCGTTCTTTCCTTGAAACTGTACATCATGCACTGACGGGAATCTTTGTGAAACTACAGAGAAGAATTGATCATATCGTAGCTTCCTCTCCCACGCCGCCAAGGAAGCCAAAGATCTACTGCGACAAGTGGGTTCACGAGGGCGTCTGTGCCTTCACGCAGCAGGGTTGTAAGTACAAGCATGAGATGCCACTCGACAAGGCAACGCAAAATTCCCTGGGTCTGTTCCACGGACTGCCGGCATGGTGGAAGAAGCAGCAGGCCGAGCTGCAGCGACAGCAGTCACAGGCACTTCCCGAGCAGAACAACGGTTCTGAAGCATACTTTGATGCTCGTCAACAACATCAAAGCGGACATGTTTCACCCATCAAAAGTGAAAAGGGCCACAATGGCTTATCAAGAGCGTCACAGTCTTGGCGGAGGGCCGAGGGAGTGAAGCTTGGCCTTCAAGGACAAATGAGCTCAGTGCCATCCCCAAGACAGACTGGAGGATACAGGACTCCTGCTGGTACTCGTCTCGAGCCCTTTCATCTTGTAACCTATAAGCTAACGTTAGAAGCAGGACTGCGGTCTGCGTACCACCACAACATCAATTCACCTACTTCCTCTTGTGTCTGGGGCCCGATTGGTCCGCCTTCGAAGCAGACATCCGATCAGAGCCAGATATGCCATCAGGACCTGGGCAACTTCACCACATCGAACGACTTTGCGCGTTTGAGCTCTCTCGAGACGAACATGGGTGAGAAGGATAACAACATCAAATACGAGTCATACTAGAGTCCGGGTATGGAACAGGCTCCTTTGGTTGGATTGGGTATGAGTCCGTCGAAATCGGAATGAGACATGAGATATGACAGACTGAGGATATCGGCAAGGCTTTTATGTTTCCAGGCTTGATAGATTGTATTCGTTATAGAAGACACAAGCCAGCAATGGTGGCCGGCGGGCGAATGCCGAACCAAACGCAAAACTGTGCTGACGTGCCGCCTTCTTTTAACTTACCTTTCACAAGTGGAGCTTCCTCCATCGAGTCACCTATAGCCACTCCAGGCTCCAAGTCTCCTTGCCCGCACGGAACGGCACAACCTGGATGCCCGCGCCCTCGAACGTCTGGTTGACGACGGCGCCACCGCGCGTGAGGCGGATGCGCTCCTTACGGACGTCCTCGGTGCCGTAGAACTTGCGGCCGTAGCCGCTGACGAAGCCCTCGAGGCCTTCCTGGGTGATGTCCTCGTCTCGGAGCTCGCCCCGGGCGACGGCCTCGTCGAGGGCCGCAAGGAGGTACTGCACGGCGTAGGGCTGCGTAAAGACGCCAGCGGCGGCCTTGGAAGGACCCGTCTTGGAGGTGATGGGATGCGGGGCCGAATCGGTGCCGAGGAAGAACTTGCCGTTGCTATGGGCGACGGCGTTGAGGAGGGCTTTACGGTCGGCGGGGAGCTGTTGTGGGTGTTTAGTTTCGTGGCCTGATGGGACGAGTACAACGAGGGGAGGTGGGGGTGCTCTTCAGAAGGTTGGATGATCTTACCTTGGCAACGGGCTTGCAGAAGTTCAGCTGTGTGGCGTCCGTATTAGTCTCAGAAAGTACGGGTAATAGGGGTCTGTTCGGTCATACCGCGTCACCGACGACATCGTCAATGGTGATGAAGAGATGGTGGCTGCACAATAAGCTTGATGTCTTTCTTGAGCCTTGGTTCAAGAAACGTACCAGGTAATCGTGCCGGAGACGTTGGGGCCGCTTGAGTGTTGTTAGTTCAAGCTCATACCCATTCCAGCTCTCTGGACTCACCATGACTTAACAGCCTCAACAGCCTCGGCGGTTGTGCAGTGCTCGAGAACTAGAAAGATTAGCCATGTCCTGCCCAAGTGCCGTAGTGAGTCTAGCTTACTGATCCTAAGCTTGGGGTACTTGGCATGGAGGGCCTTGAGCGTAGGGAGGAACTGGAGTAGAGTTGTCAACAAGGATGTCCAGAACACAATTCGGATCCGTCTGCTCACCTTGGACTCGGCATTGAGAGTTGTGATGTCGCTGCCGGCGTGGGACGGGCACTCGCCGTGAAGGCACAGGATAAGGTCAACCTCCTCCATGGTCTTGAAGACCTCATGGAAAGCGTCGTAGTCCACGACGCCGGCAGAGCTGTTGGTGGTGACGCCAGCGGGGTAACTGAGCACTGGTTAGAGAAGTGAATTGAAGTAGGGCAGCACTTGGTGGTAATAAAGGCTCCCAAACCTCTTCACGGCGGCAACGCCGGCCTTCTTTGCCTCTCTGATGGTCTCGGGGGTGACGTCCGGGTGGAGGTAGAGGGTCATGAGCAGGTCGACCTCGTCCTTGCCCACGGCCTGCTTGATGCGCGCGGAGTAGTCCAGGGCCATCTTTACAGTAGTCACGGGGGTGGGTGCAAGATTGGGCATGATCAAGGCCAGCGGATGTGTTAGCAATAAACGTGCTATGTCTACGTTGATGCGACTTACCTGGTTCACTCCACCCTGGCGGACAGTCGGGGCGACGATCTGGGACAATCAGTTGGTTGGTGTGTTCGGGATCTGCTTTGAAGGTTGCACGTCGACAAACCTTGCACATGTCACCATCACGCAAGTGGACGTGGGCGTCGAAGCCAGCGGGCAGCTCGACGGTGTCAGGGAGAGGCATTATAGATAGTGGTTGACGGCGAGTCTGATGGAACGTTGATGGAATTCGAAGTAGAGAAATAAAGGTTCTATTTCCACTATTAGAATACACCGAACTGGCAAATTGAGAGACAACTCAATATCCTACAGCTTTTGGGGCCAGGGTTGACGTACAGCAGAGTTTCGCTCGATAGTTGGGGTCAGTTGTCGCGATGGTAGAATGAGTCTGAGTCCCTATCTCAAAATGTTTTTCGACTATCCATGGTGGGGGCGGGGTAACGGACCAGGTTCCCCAACTTCTTTGGAAAACCAATAGACAAAGCGAGAAGCATATCACTTCGAGGTTTCACCCCCAAACTCTTTACAATATGTTCATGGTGATGGTGCTAGTTCTCCCAAGTACTGGTCCATCAAAAGTGAGCGAATAAAGAGTCTCGTGCGAATGTGCATGGCAGGCGGTGCATTGTGTTAGTACAGATACACAATTCTGATCTCTTCACTGTTGCTTTCATTATCTCTGAGCTACCCAATATGGTGTCTGTCAGTCATTGTCAGTTGCTGTCCCGTCCTTGTTAGTCTTTCTATCGTCTCAACTGATAGCATTGTTGCTGAATCTCTTTATTCTTTGCATATTATTACAATGTCACGATTGACGAAAGAGAGGAATAGAGACCCCAAAGGAACACGCAGGATGATACGAAGAATAGAGGGCGAGAGCTTGCACCTGGCTTTCTATCATTGGCTTGGAGGGGTAGAGCCCCACTGCCATCAACAGGTGGGGCTACACCCGCCTTCACGTCTCCTTTCCAAAGGCCAAAGATATTCAGCCGAGGATTAGGCGGGTCGAAACACATTGACCATAGTGCACGGACCATTAAACCCCACTACCAGAATGGAGCAATGGCACGTCCTTCGTGGGTACCTCTCCCACTGGCGACTTGAGCTTCGTACTGAGGCTGCCTACAATCATCCTGAACTGCGCCCTGGATTTGCGAATCTCCGACTTTCTCTCGAGCAAACCACCCCGTGCCCCCTCTTCCCTCTCGTCGATCTTGGCAATCCCAAGTCTAAGCCGCTTGTTCGGGTTTCTGCGTCCTTCGCCCTTAGATCCGTCGGAGCGCAAGCTCGCCGCATCCACCCAACATCTCCATTGCTTCGGCTAGGTGCACTGATTGCCGGCAAGATGGAAGAGGTACTCCTCTACTTCGACCACGAGAGCTATGCGACCGACGAGGTCTATGACAAGACCATCAAGAACCATATCACGAAGATCACTCGTCTTTTCAAGGACCAGGCACCTGCGATTGCGACCAACGCCCCCCAACTGCTAGAGGTCCGTCGCCGCCGTCCCTTACTGTTGGCCATTTGGCATTGCTAACTGGGGTTCTACAGATCGTCAACCCCGCCAAACACTCGATCTCGCACCTCGCGATCCTGAACACGCTCAAGCACATTGACGAGGCTTCCTTTCCGATATCAGTCGACGCCTTTCGCGAGCATGTTGCCCGGTTCTTGTTGTCATATGACGCTCGACAGATACGCTACGTCGGTGAAGTCTTTTACGATTTGGTCAAGGATGTCGTCGAGTGCAAGCTCTTCCCAGTAAGATAAACATTTCGACCTGGAACACGTCGTTATACTAACAGTGTTCACCTCTGCGACAGGCTCGCCAGTCGATCGAGATCGTCGTTGCCGCCTTGAGACGACTTGACCCAGATTCCGCCATGCTCACGAGCCTCCACCTTGCAGTGGTCAAGCTAGCTTACGAAACGACAAATTGGGACCAGATTCTGCCACTTATCGAGAAGCCCTGGATGTTTCTTCCAGGCATGAAGGATCAGGCTCGTTCACAGTATCTCTGCGACCTGACGGCTTCACCAGCTGCCTACATCAGCCCATCCACACAACTGACGGATTTCTTGACCCGCGAAGGTGTGATGGAGCACGAGTACATCACCGCTATGATCTTTACGGCCAAGCAGAAATGGACGAATGCACACAATGCATACCAGAGAATTGTCACTTGGCCGTCAAGAGAGTCGTCCGTGAGCAAGCTGATGACCGACTCTCACAAGCGGTGGATCCTTACCGGCCTTTTGGCCCTTGGCCAGACACCGACACTACCATCCCACATCAGCCCAAGTGCCCAAAAATCATACGCAACCCTCTCGAAGCCCTACGCGGATGTAGCGGCCCAGTTCTCGACCACCAACGTAGAACAGCTCAAGACCGAGATTGAAAAAGGGGCTGAGACGTGGGTGACCGACCAGACGACTACGCTTATGAAAGAAGTCGTTATGGCGTACCAGAAATGGCAGATACTTGGCCTCGCCGATGTGTATCACAAGATTAGCATCCCGGAGATCCGTCAGCAGACGCTTTGCGCCGAGACAGCACAGAACCTCGAGACCGATGGCGAGGTCGAGGGGCTTCTACAGGAGATGGTCAACATCGGAATGCTCCAGGGATCACTGGAGGTCAGTCCCGATGGCATCAAGTGTCTTACCTTCCTCCCAAGCGACAAGGAGATTGAGTACACCGAGTACCAGAAGAAGATCAAGGATGACACGCGCATCAAGACGCTTAACAAGCTCACTGAAGCGAGCGACGCTCGCCTGGCAGCCTCCAAGGACTACGCCAAGCATGTACTTCGTGAGCAGAAGCGCCAGGACAAGGATGGAGGCCAATCCCAGAACGTCGAGCTTGGCTTCGATGCATCTATCGAGGATGAGGATCTCATGTCTGGTCTTCGGCAAGACTGAAAGAATCATGCAGAATGGGCCCAACTAATCTCGACAGTCCTGTCAAAGACGAGATGTCGATATTCCCGACGTCTCTGTGCCGTATTTTCACGAAGTAACGAAGAAACAAGAAGTGAGGTGGATCTCTACGAGAGAAGAGGCAGATATTGTAATGCCACAAGGGTCGCGCTCGACATGGGTTCGAGAGACTACCATTATGAGACAGGTGGTGGCATCAGGCCGGCGTTACGAGATCAGGTTCAGCAGGGAAATCGCTTTGTTTACCGACATGAGGCACTTCCTCCATCATTAGCATTACAGAGGACGAGGTCGGGTTTGTAGACTCGGAAACTAGAGAAGAACAAAGCAAAATGGTATTCTCATCTGCCATTACTACTTTTCCCGCGCAAATAACTTTATTTTGACATTTGTGTGACCACCGGTCTCTTACCTCGTAGCTCATCAAATTCTATCCACCTTGCCCATCCCTTCTCTGTTCATTCTTCACGTAGAGATGTGATTTTCGCCCCTGTGATATGGTTCCCCTTCCGTATACTACACGTTAACATCAGTGCTCTACGAACTGATGCCAAACTGCTTGATGAGCTCAGCGAGCTTGGCTCCCTCGGCCTTGTAGTCAATCGGGCTCGCGCTCATGACTTGGTAGCGTACCCTGGGAAGAAGTCAGCATTACGAAACCTTGGAAACTGGAAATAAGCGGCATACCTCTGAGACTCGCCGAAGGTGTCCATCTTGGCACGGCATCGGAAGTTCAGCTTGCGGCAGTTCGCCTCCTCAAAGGCCTGGGCCATCTTCGTATCGTCCTCCTCACGCAGGGCCATAAGCTCATCAGCCGTCATACCCATAACGACGCGGCCAACATCATCGAAGCAGCTGAGCCACAGCTGGTTGGTGTGATCGCACACGTTGACGGACATGATGTAACGGTACTCAGGCTTGGGATGGGAAACATCGCACTTCTCGCAACGCCATGTACCGTCGCCCATGTCAGTGACCTTCTTGTTGCACCCCTCGTTCATACACGCAGGGTAGGCAAAGTTGTCCTGTTTGATGTAGACAATGGTAGCCTTGAGGTTGAAGTAATCCTGTTGCTCCATGCCGAGGTTTTCTTCCTTGACCTGGAGAATGGACTTGTCCTGGTCCTTCCGACCAGTAGCATTGCCCATGCTAGCCATGTTGTTGTGGCTGCTGAAGGTGTCGTTGCGGCCAGATGAATCGTACCAGCCCTTCAAGCGGTGGGCATCAGGAATATCGGGGTCAATGGACATCGTGCCCGAGGAAAGCAGACTGAGACTGCGGCCACCGAAGTCTGATACCTTGGTACCCTTGAAAGCCACCACAGACTCGGGCTTGGCGTCAAAGTTAGTGGCGCTCTTGCCCCAGATGGTGACGCGAACAGAGTAATTCGTATCATCCACCAGGGTGAGCTCACGCTTCTCATAAGGCTTGCCAGTCGATTTAGAGACGATTTGGGAGACCTCATCAACATCCTTGAGAACACCAATGATATCCACGGTCGCATCCTTCTCAACCTCCTGGAGCTCTTGGATGTTGCAGAAGTTGAACCGCACCTGAGGCACATTACTCTGATCCTCAGCCTTCTCGATCATGGTATCGCGCTCGAAGGTGAGCTCGTAGTCGTTGGGGAGGTTTGTGAACTGCTTCTTGGCCAGTTGGACCTTGCAGGGGCTGGAGATGTAGTAGACGCCTCCCTCCTGGAGCAGATCGTAGTACTGGTCCACCTGCTCGTTGAAGCCGGTTGCCTTGATCTCGCCACTCTCATCAAGCAGGTTCACACTGAAGAGCTTGCCCTCGCCACTGGGCTTGTGCCACGTCCGAATGTCCGACTTTTGTGTGACACGAGCCTTGATGGTCCACTTGTGAGCGTAGGGGGAGAGGGCTTCGATGGGGTAGATGTTGTTGCTTCCGTGTTGACCGGTCGCTCCTCCAGCAGAGCGAGAGGGTATCGATTGTTGAGGCTTGGGCTTCGTCTCTTCTTGCTTAACACCGTAAAAGTTCTGTCCGCCGATGGTTGTGTTCGCTGCCGCGGGGGGAGGCTTTGCTTCGAAGGCTTGGGGCTCGCCAATCTTGTCTGGTGTGCCATACTGTTCAATGACCTCGAGGCCAAGGATGATCAAGATGCTGAAACATGGTTAGGTCATGTTCTGGTGGTTCGTATAGGAAATCAATAGCACGCACTTCTTTCCCTTGACAGAGTTTGCCTGGTACTGAGTGATCCGCACGATGCAGTTTCTGACCAGCTTGTTGTCGTGGACGACATGGTTCACTTGTGTGGCGAGCATGCACTGGACGTAGTTGTTGACATCGCTCAACACGATACGGTATCTCTCGGCGCCACCTCCTGCTTGTGCAGCCAAGGGCTTGATCTGCAGGCACTGAAGAACGGGGACCGGGAATTTCGCGTTGGCACCTTCGGGGTCGTTGAAGATGGCGCTGCACGACGCAGAAATTAGTACGAGACGATAGAATGGCAGACTTGAGAAATGTACTCACTCCAAGGCACCTTTCGTAATCTTTGATTCAACATCCATCTTGGAATCAGACGAAAGCGTAGTTATCTGGTGCAAGTCTGTCGGCTGAAGTTGGGTGGGATTCAGAGGGTCGCTGGAAGTTCTTGCGCGAGATGCGAGATGGCAAAGACGCGTCGACCGCGTTCCGATCAATTAAGAATGGAGGGGCTCTTAGGTAAGCTGGTCAGTGAGGGGTCCGTGTCGTGTCTGTCTAGGTAGATAGGTACCTAAGTGTGGAGGAGGAAGGGGTCCGGTACGTACTGACAACAGGCAACTGCTCGCGGGGCAGCTACAAGCATTAAGCTGAGACGTCATCCCTGGCAATGTTCCAAGCTATGTACACGTACTCAGGACAGACCCGATCCAAAGGCTGCGCCAAGGGAGACAAGTAGCTAGTTTGGCAGTGTCGGTTGCATTCCTCAGTTTACACTCGACATCGCTGCCACGTCTTGCAACTACTCCCCCAGTGTCCCATCTTCCGTAGCTCTTTGCCCTGCATCACAGTGCTCTGCACAGCTACCCATACCCCACCCGCCAAAGATGACGCAGCTCGACGTTGCGACGAAAACTCCCGAGAGCGACGCTCCTGAGAGCGTCACTGAGCCCGTAACCGAAAACACCTCCGCTGCCGACACGCCGGCGCAATCGACCAGCCCTACCACGACTATGGGAGGCGCTGGAGAGCACAGCGAACATTGCGTGTCGGACCGACCAGCTCGTGAGTGGTCTTGGGAAGCCTCCGACGATTTGCGCGATATTGACTTGCTTTAGCGGCCGGTCAGTCCTCGACCGGCGAGATCATCAAGATTAACGATGTTGAAGTAAGGGGAACTCCTATTTTCTTCGCAACCGCCAGGGCCTCGATCACATACTGACCTAGCACAGACATACATCTCGAAACCCGCCGACTACCCTCATGCCCCAGCCAGACTTTTACTCCTCTTGACAGGAGGCACAGGTCTGAAGTCGGTAAACAACCAACTTCAGGCCGACAAGTTCGCCAGCGAGGGCTTCGTGGTCGTCATGCCCGACCTCTTTAACGGCGACCCCGCTCCCAACTCTTCTACGATCGACAACAGCGAGGACACCGGATCGTTCCTGGACACTTTCAAGATGAAGATTGTCGAGACGGCGAAGAGCTTCCAGATCGACATGTGGTTGGCACGACACACCGAGGAGAAGGTTCTGCCGATCTTATACAAAGTCATCGAGGGCGCTAAGGAGAAGTTTGGCGACGCGGTGAAAAACGGCGATGGCATCTATGCTGTCGGCTACTGCATCGGAGGACGTTACATTCTGCACCTGGGCTCCGATAAGAAGGTTGCAACTGGAGGACAGGAGCCTGCTGACGCCGAAGCTGGCGAAGTCAAGACTGGTCCCTTCATCAAGGTCGGCGCGATAGCACACGGCGCTTCTGTTGTTCCCGACGACTTCACCGGTGTCAAAGTACCCATATCTCTCGTATGCGTCGAGAACGATCCCCTCTTCCCTGAGGAGGTCAGAAAGTATGGGGAGGACGTCATGTCGAAGGCAAACTTGGAACACGAGGTCCAAGTCTACCCTGGCGTTCCGCACGGTAAGGCTGTTGTTTCTAAACTAATAAAGATGTGTCGATTTTGCTAACAGTTGCGTAGGCTTCGCTGTTGTTGGTGAATATCAAGATGGATCAATCAAGGATGCTCAGAGCACCGCATACGAGCAAATGCTAAAATGGATCAAGGACCACTAGGATGACGGCGAGAGATGACTTGCGTATGTGTTATGAAACAGCCTTTGCTTTTGGTGTGAAAATCCAACCCGCGATCTACGATGATCACAGTTCTCTGGATGGACCCCTGTTACAGTTCAAGGGGTATTATTATATCAATGCTACGAAACTTCTCCCGTATGCATGCTCCCTTTTCTTCTTAGTAGTGACCCAATATACAACCATACATTTGCAAGCCTGTCCAACTGCTACAAACACGCCTCTATATTGCCTATGGAACTCGAGTTCCTGCGATCAAATGTAAACGCCGTAGTAGAGCTATATCCACTCTCATATTTCGGCGCCGAACTCGCGCCTGGAGAGTTGACGACGATGCGCACTTGAAATGATCGGTCTTCGAATATTCGTGAAGATTCAATATTTCCGTTATATGTCTTGTCTTGAAGGCCAGTCGAAGCGTTTTTCAATCACTATTTGGTCTCTTGCAAAAGGTGCCATGCGTTGGGCATACAGGCCACCACAATTCTTGTGGAAAGCTCGATGGCCGACCAAATGAGTGTCCCATGGGCATCAGCTACAAATGAACGAGGATCAGTCAAATAGCACCGTACACTAACCACGGCAATTTGCACATATGTGTCGGATTCTCTGTTGTTGCAAAATACACCATGCTACGAATCCGAACAATGCTAACGACCGTGAGGCTGTTGCTTTTCAAGTCTCTCATCGCACAATATTCCACTCGCGGTCGGAAACACTTACAATATACCCATACTGAACATAGCAATCACGCCAAGCTTCTTCTTCATCTTCAGATTCAACTTGTAAAGCTGGGTCAGGGGAAGGAGAAGCATCCAAACTTCGAGCGCGATGTTCATACTGCTGTGCACAATACCCATCTTGTTCAGGTCGAGGACGACACCGCGGGGCTCCTTGTCACGCCAGCCCTCCCAGATGAGCCAGGTTGGCTGCCTTTGAGCGAAGGTAAGCACGATTAAGATGAGGCCTACGAGGAGATTGTATGGCAATGGAAACCAGGCAATGATCCTGAATTTACTGTCGGGAAATATGCGGAAGAACGCTAGGATTTAGGCTTTGATGATCGAAAGTGTGAAGATGTAGAGGATTTGGACCATTATGAGGTACTAGGCAATATTAGCTACTGTTCTTATAAGAGATTTTTGGGCTGTTACTAACTTTAAGACGGTTTGTAATCTGATAATCATGCAAAGCCCATATGTCGAGACCGAGGCCTTAAAGGATCACTGTAGCAAGGTGTTAGCTAGCATCTCTCATGACATAAGCGCTCACCGTCATTACTTATTACACTAAATCAAAACCACGAACGCGGTCAAGCCGGCCTGGCCGGAATTAGTTGTCAATGTCTTGAGGGACCAGAAACCAGTCCGGGTGATGTTGCGGACTTACAAACCCAAGGACTACCAAGCTGTCGTCAGCGCCCCATTTTGCGAGTCTCATAGCCTTGCCCACAACTCGGCATGCGAGGAACAACGCGGCAAGCACGAACATGGAGAGGCTAGTCACGCGCGCCTCGCTACGGTAGTCTTGCATGGGCAACCCACATGCCGTTCTTGCGAGGTTAACGAATGCTACAGGCATCAAGCGCCGTCAGTCAGACCATGTTCTCTAAACCTGAGGAGAGATAACTAAGGCGAAGGTGGTCTTACCCAAGGAGTCCGTAACGCTGCATTCTAGCAACACGCAACCTTTTACGAAGTCGTTGAGGCCTTCGTTGGCACAAAGTTATGCTTGTGTTTGGTTAGAGTACGCAGGTTGGCTCAGTGCATGGCTTAGACATGTCGTCTGCGTTCGCCATTAACAAGAGCATACAACACAAAAAAGCAATGGCTTCCCTAGAGAGGGTGCGCGAAAATTCACACTCACAGAGCATGGAGGAGCTTCCTCTAACGGATTGGCGGCGGTGAACCTCGAGAGGCATAAGACCCCTATTACAATATGCCAGAAAGTCAACATTATGAGACTCCCACAATGACCGCAAACACATACATCCACAAGCACTCATGTGCTAAGAGGAGACCGAAGAAAGGGCAAGAATAGAGGGTGCCCAAGCCAGGTCATTGCCTCTCATTTAGTACTTGACGGAACGAGCATTCGTCGGTACATCCCATAGCCTTCTTTACCATCGATCTCCCTTACAAATACGGCACCACAAAGATAGCGCTGATCGTATTTGGACTACTGTTCAATTGCTCTTCCTGGCGCAACAACATCTCGCCGTCGTTAGATTGTTCTACAACACTGCCACAATTGGACAAATCGCTGATATGGGATTAAAGAGGGGCATTGGAGCTCAAATGTGAGCCCATAGAAACGAAAATGCATCATGATGCCGCCAAAGCGTGAGCCGCGGGGGAATCAAGAGATGCTCCTTGCCACGTACTGGAATGACCCATAGCTTTTCACGGCAGCAAAAGGTTAGCAGGCTACCGAGATTGAGACATCACGCGTCTACCTATAATCACACAGACCCGCAAGTATTCTCTCAAACTCTTACTTCGTCTGTTAGTATACGTAACACAGACATACCACTTTGTGCCTTCAAGATTCCGATGTGGACCGAAGCAGGGTATTCCCTCTCCTTAGGGCAAGGCGCTTGGTGAATGCCCCGTTCGAAATGCGATGATCTAATTGAGCCATCAGTAGCGGGACTGGACGAGGGTCGCTTCATTGGAATTTTGAGATACCTCGATCCAAAGCCTCGTCCCAATGGATGTCTTGCTGGCAGGAACTGAGCCCAATCACGTTCAAACCACCAGTCTAAACAAGTACGACAGATTCAATTAATCACCCGGCCCCTTAATCTCTTAGGAGATGGTACAAATAATCTTGCCCGAGTTCTTGTTCGCCTCCAATAGCCCATGAGCCTCTTGGATCTTCTCCCACGGCAGCACCGTATCAATGACGACCTTGAGCTTACCCGTCTTAAAGTGCGGCACGTACTCCTCCAACCGATCCCTCAGCTTACCCTGGTACTCGACATCCCTGCTCCGCAACGTGCTGCCCTCGAGTCTGATCCTCTTGTACAGCAGCGGGCCGATGTTGGCCCCCTCGATGTTGGGCCCGCCCAACAAGCCCAGCAGCACGACCCGCGCGTCCCGCGCCGCAACGTCGAGGTTCTTCTGGAAGTAGCCGCCGCCGACGAAGTCGACAATCACGTCGACGCCCTTGCCGCCTGTCGCCTCCTTGACCTTCTCGGCCCAGTCCTCCTCCTTGTAGTTGAAGGCCGCGGTGGCACCAATCTCGTTGACGACGAAGTCGCACTTCTCTTTGGATCCAGCAGTCGCGTAGATGGCGGACGCGCCGGCGTCCTTGGCCAGCTGGATGCCTGCAATGGAGACGCCCGAGGCGCCGGCGTGCCAAAGGACGGACTTGCCCTTGGAGAACTCGCCCACAAGGAAGAGTGCCTGCGTTGCCGTGATCCAGGTCTATTGTATTGTCAGTCGTCAAGTTCTTTACGAGAACGGAGAGGTACGAAAAAAGCGATGCTCACCTCCGGGATACCAGCAGCCTGCTCCCATGACAGGAAATCTGGCTTGTGCAGCAGCATCTTGCTGTTGACGGCGATGAACTCGGCGTATGCGCCGCCGTACGCGAGACCGAAAACCTCGTCCCCGACCTTGAAGTCCCCGTGGTCGCCGCCGCCGAACGACTCGATCGTTCCGCTGAACTCGACTCCCAGGGTCTTGGGCGCCTGGGGCGGGAGCGGGTACATGCCAAGGCGCTGGATCTGGTCCATGCGGTTGATGCCGAAAGCCTTGATCTTGATCAGAGCCTCGCCGTTGCCCGCCGTCGGCTTAGGCGTCTCCTCGTTGATGAAGAGATTCTCCTTGGGCCCCTTACCATCCTTAATGTCTATCGTATTTGTCAGCCAATGGCAGTCAGGGTCCCCGATGCAGATGCGACATACCAATTGCTCTCATTGTGGAAGCCATTTTCTTAAGATGGAGAATCCTCAAATCTCGAGAATGTGCAGTTGCAACGCTGCTTTTTGAGAAGTTATAAATTCTCGCTTGTCGTCAAGCTGTTGTCATCTCACCGAGGCTCCCGTGTAGTTCCCCTCAATGACGTGCATCCGGATCCACTGACTAATCCATTCGGTACGCCGCCGTATCCCTCCGTGACCGACTCCGATATTTCCGTGCCGCCTCCGTCCACACCGCAACCGGCCCCTCCGATCTAAAACGACCTGATCCATCGCTATCAGCCCTATGATTGGACTTGGCCGGGGTTCAACAACCCAGCATCCACTTCTTTGGACATGGTCTGGAGTGTCTCCATTTGGTCGTTCCGGCCGGGACAAATGACAATGGGCCGTGTTGGGCTCAGGTCCCTCCGATACTTCGCTTTTTTGAGGCGCCCCCGTTATTCTTCTCGTTTGAGTAGTATCATTAGGACTGCAGAGCAAAGGGAAAGGAGCAATGGCACGCGCTAGTGATCACAGCAGCAAGCCACAGGACTCGGCTCGACTCACGCTGACGTCTGTCGTTATTACCAAAGTCTGCAGCCTGAAGGGACCCAAGCCAGCTACTTGCGCAGTCGCGAGCCTCATTTATGAAATGAAGGGTCGAACACTGACAATATTGAGGTTGATTGTTGTTCGCAAATCATAGGCAGGGCTGCCCATGCTGCTGTAGTACGGCGATGCCATGCAATGCTGGTCGTCGACTTGTTTCTATATGAACTGTTCTTCGAAATACACGTTGCGATCCAGCGCCGGCACAGTCCACTATGTACTCTTCGGCCAAAGCAACGTTCTCGCTGAAGACAACTACTTGTTTGACATGATCCAGAGTTCCCAAGTCAACACTTAATAAGAGGTAACCCTGTTCCAGGTCGGTATATGAATGCAAACCTCGCGGACCACGAAAGGATAGGCAATATTCGATCTTCGGATATTTACTCATCTGCATGCTTTCGCCAGAGTACAAATAGCTAGAGAACATAGTTCGGCTGTAGAAGTCTCTGAGAGTCCTGTCGCAAAGCCGCCATGGAGGGCTTCGAGGCTCGAAGCAGTCGCGTAGAACGCCTGTTTCGTCGAGTCCCATTGGCCTGGCACCAAAGAATCCTGCGAACCCTTTCAAGAATATAACGATATGTCAGGCGAATTAGTACTAATCCGATTGGGTGCGTCTCGTTCCCGACCTCAATAACCGTGAGGCGGCATAAGCAGGGGCCAGGATGTCAATCGCAGAATTCCACAGCGCATGATCGAGGCCCAACGTGTGTGACCGGGCCTTGGGGCCGAAAGCCGATGTGACTGTCGATTACCCCAGACGAGGACTCTTGGCTGAACAAAGCATCCACAAACTGGGCTGTCACATAAGAAAACCTGAGCCCGCCACAACAGGTTGTCAGATCATGACAAGAGATAGCCTATGGGGAGGGCGATGAGGGCAATCTCGGATAGGTTGGTGAGGCAGCATCATCTCGGAGATGGGATACCATTCGCGGGCCTAAATGAATGGATACGAGATTGGCCGCGGGAAGAAATAAGGAAATGGTAATACACAATGTGTCAAAAATAAAATAAAAGCCAAAGTCAAAACAGGATGACGCGAAGACCGCAGGCTCCTTCGCGTCTTATTCTTGGTCGACGAGCTGACTCGGAAATAGTTGACCTCTAAAGGTCTCAAAGTACATAGAAGGAAGCTGCAAAGTAAGCTGCGTGAGCTGCAGGCACAAACCCACCTCGCCTCGTTCTAGACCAAATGCAAGTTGATGGTTGAGGCGGAGAAGAAGGAGGAAGAAGGAGGAAGAGGAGGAGGAAGAGGAGGAGGAGGAGGGGGGGGGGGAGGGTGTGGAAAGATGACGATTGGTCAATAGTCCCAACTGAGATGCTAAGGGTCTGTGTTTATGTGGAAATTGGATGATGGCCAGCTGGTGCGATGCGACACCCCGGAGTGGCCAAGCCATTTCGATTATTGTCGCACAGGCCATCACACCACCGCATTGTACACCACTGCAGGTGACCAGGGCAAGCGACCCGCTGCGGTATTCTGGACCGTCAATGGCGAAAGTGCCCAATTGGTCGTTGGCGCTTCAAGGCTCGCACATCCGGAAGAACCGAGTTCGCTCCAATGTGTTGAGGGAGGGAGCTTCGAGTTCCGGTCGAGTTCTATGAGGGAACTAATCGCGGAGCTGCCGCCTCTCAAGAGCCCCAAGACAACCGGTCGGACCGGGCATGTGTCGATTCCAAGAGCGCAGTCAACCGAAGCATCGCCAATGGTGAGCGCCTTAGCTGCGCCTTGTCTTCGTGGCTTCGCCGGATGCTGCGGTCGACAACGGGATGGCTGTAATGCTATGAGATGTCAAAAGCTTTTTCTAAAATCAGTTACCTCGTTACCGGGAGGTGGCGGATACGAGACGGACGTGGTGAGGCCGCACAGAAGCAGCCACTGTCGTAAAGGGAGGAGGGTACACCTTCAGAGTCTAACGTGGGTAGTGCAGAGCAGAAGGTCCTGCGCAATGTCTTGTCGGACGTCGACGTCGAGGTTGTGTTGACTGTTGACGTCGTTCGGGGCCCGTGGACAGGCTGCCCGCTGTTTACTTAGCACTTTATAACGTGGCACCGGATCTCGATACGATGGCAGACGATTCCCGATGATCAACGTTGATTTGCTCCGAGCGATAAACATATTGCGGTCTCCGCCTCTCGTCTCCGCTGGACGCAAGGACGTCAACTCAAACGGCGGGATACCTGAATTCGAGAATAGAATGGGGACCCAGCGGGCTGTCGTCGAGTTGTCGTCGATGACAGGGAAGTGTGAAGCTGTGACGACGGAGGGTGCCGGGGCCCCGGGGGCTTCGGGGGACCGTTCGACTACTCCCCTGCGTCGATGAGACTCTGACATGTGCACCAAACCTGGAGGAACCCTGTGGTCGATGCTGCCCTGGTCCGCTGGCCAGGGTGGGGGGATAAGGAACCTCTCAGACCTGACGTTTCTCCTTGCTTCAGGGCAGATCCGAGGCCGTCCGTCCAATGTTTGACCCTTTGGCCATCGTCTAGTGTTTGCATCTAACCGCGTGGTTCTCGGACGGACCATGTCTAAATTCGAACCCTTCACCTGGAACGACTCGTCTAGTAGCCTTTGCCAGCACTGGGTCTCTTCCATAGGGAATCATGGTACTCCCGCCAATCGTCTTCGACATGTCACGGGCTGCTATTGGTGAACCATTTCTCGTGACTCAACGGAGCAGCCAAACGCTTCGCGAACAAATCTCGCAGAAAACGGCGGATTCCTTAGCATGGGGAAGTGCGTCTGGCTGATAGTGGACGCAACTATCATTGACTCGACAAGAATGATACGAAGCCTGACTGGAAATGCGGGAGCCATTGTGGGAAGTCGGGAAATTGGCAGAGAACACATGTAAACTACAATAGTGTCCAACCTGGAGGTCAGGTTGAGCCCCTGACCCTGACTCGGCTGCGGCATATTCTTCCTCTTCGTTGGCTGCGAGGGCCAACACGCGCCAGGCCCAAGCCCGTACTCTTTTTCCCGTCTAATAGCGGCCATTGTTCTCATTCCCGACTGGGCAACCTCTACACCAGCGCGCCCGCCACATGGCCAATCACAACTCTTGCAAGTTCAATTTCCATCGAGATTACCCTGTCGCCGCCTTAGACCGAGTCTGCCCTCGCCCCACAGCATCTCCAGTTTGATCTCCCTTTCCCCTCTTCGTCCCGAGCTCGCCCACCAACTCCTGCAAAACCCAATGACAACATTAATTGCAGCTGTTCACCCCTCGTCTTTCTCCGTGCACAGCAAGACCTTCTAGCGGAGGAGAGAAGAAACGACGAGCAGCAGCCCTGCTACCTAGTAGGCGTAGCGTGGCCTAGAGCCGATAGTCCCATGGACGGGTTTCACACCACGCGAACGGGCAGAGATCACGGCGGTGATGGCTTGCCAGTGCTGCATGAGCCTAGCCAACTGGATCATAAACCTGGCCACCGGCGTCCGCTGGGCTCACGGCAGCCTCGAGCCTATATCTACATTAGGATCACGACGCAAGCCATGGCTTTCGATATGGTCCTTTCAGCCGCCACTCATGGTCTCTACCGGAGACCTGTTACTGGCCACTCATGGTCTCGGCGTCTTTATTCTTGTCACCTTCAGGTAAGCCCGCGGGTTGGAATAGCACGCGTTTTCCAGCCGATGTCCGCCTTTTACGCTGAATTCGGCGATTACAACGCTGCGTGGTACCTGCATTAGTGTCTGGTTTGGTTCCTGAAGTGCACGCTGCTTATGACGCAGGCCAGTCAGCCGTCAGCATCAATGGCGGCGGCGGCAAAGAGGCAGTGAGTGAGTGCTGCTGCAGTCATCTTGACGATGGCACATCTCTCGGCGAGTCGGCGCGTCCATTCGTCGCCTGCCATGAAGAGCAATACAGACTCTGACAGAGCGTCTTGCAGTTTAATCAAAAGATACGAATGGCAAAGGTGGATGACGGAGAGCGGTCTGGAATCTCGGATCACGGCTGCGCGTCAAGAAACTAAACCCCGCCTTGGAGCAGGCATATATGCCCAGAATCAGGTGGATAGTGGTATTGGACCATCCAGCGTGCCAGAAGGAGTGTTGCGTACGTGTGCATGCATTGGCAGCTCTTGTCATGGACGGACAGCTGGTTGGACGACCCACCGAAACTACTCAAGCCTACCTTACGTCTGTTTCTTTCGGTGGGCTCGAGTCATCTCATCTCGGTCGTCCGAAGTCCTTGCAGATTTGGGAAAATCCAACGGTTCGCAGCTGCAAACGTGCACCGAATTCCACGCAGGGAGCTGCTGGAGAGGGTGTTCTCGAACGGCGGACAGAAAACAAAGCCTAGACGGTCAACGAGCGATCAGACGAGGCAAGCGCTTGCTAGGTAGTTAGTCACTCCGCAGCGCTGCTCTCTACCTAGGTATGCTGTTGTGCCCAGCAGC